ATATCATAAAGGTGTTTATTGACGGCAGATAGACGTGATGGCTGGGGGAAGACTCAGGGTGGGGGTATAATCTCCAATCCAAAACGGTCACCCAGCTGAATCGGAACCTGAATCCTCGAAGATAACGTCTTCGGACTGAAGGATGGACGAAAGACACAGGTGGAGGGGAGGGGGTCAAGAAAGCTGACCCGGCTGGTGTTGTCGGGATAGGACATATAAATAGGGCTTCTGGGTAATTGAAGGTGTGGCTGAGATAAGCCGTGGTTGGCTGGAGAGGAGGCTGAGGCGTGGTCCAGCTCTTGAATCTCAGTTATTCACTAAACTCATATATCAAAATTGGTATCAGAACTGAGAAAGCTGGATCTGTGCCTCCCTAAAACTAAAACTAATACTGAAACTCATTTGAGCAGGTATCGATACTAAAAATGTCACATTTACAGGACAGAAATGAACCTTTCCTAAATAGCTTTAGAATAATTGTGAGCTGTATCAGAACAAGAATAAGAGCACATAGACTGAGGGATTACACCGATATAAGGTCACATGGTAATATAAAAGAAAGTACTATGTTTTAATATTTAAAAAACACATTCTATAGGCTCTATTCATGCTTACACCACAAACAAGGAAGACGTTTGCAAAGATGATATTACAACTTCCAGTGTAGTTACTGACACTGGGCTCACCGACCGACTGTGATAAAACCCATTGAAGTAAATGTGATCAGCAGTAAAATGAAGACTGCAGACGTATGTGCTGTTTAGAATCATTTTGAATTTGGCCCCTCATCTCTTGTAATTACATGTACCCAGTGTGCTCAGAGTTGTGTGCCAGTGGGGAAATTATGAAAACTGAGGTGTGGTTGTAATTGTTGATTAGCTGAACATAACGGAATGCCACAATGACATGGAGATGAAGAAAATTGGGCCTGGGAAGTTGTTGTTTCCAAACGTCTTCTTGGTTTGCGACATAAGCGTGAATAGATCCCACTGCCTAAATAAGAGTGTTTTTATTATCATTGCGGTATCAGAATCAGTACTGAGTCTTTAGTTTTAGTGTCATGACAAAACTATTCACTTACATTTGACGGTGAAGCGGTTAACGTTCCTGACGCACAGCAAAAAGGTTTTAAATTCAAGTCCTGGACGGCGTGGGGCTTCTTCGTTTGGAGTGTACCTGCTTGTGAAGATGTCCTCGTGGCATTTCAGGACTCATCTGTAAAAGAGAGAAGAACAGCAAAAAATAAGAACTCACTGGTCTGGCAACATTTTAAAACTGTCAGGAGAGAAATGAAAAATATGACCTTGGCGGCAATGTCGGTGGAATATGTCACAAACTGCATTTTACTTCAAAAACCAGCGATTGCTACATCTTATCTGTCAGGCATCTGTTTGAGTGGATGATTGATGCTCAGTCTGAAGTTCTTGTTATCTGTGCAAAGTTTCAAAGATACAAATCCACAGCAAAGTTACACAATCGTAAGTCACATTCTGCATTAGGGTTGTCAAAAGTATCGGAAGTCAGATACTAATCAATACTAAAGCTAGAATTTAAACTAGATACTCATTTGTGCAAGTACGTTTCCTAAATCGCTTTAGAATAGGGCAACCAAATTTTCCAGATCAAAAACGGGGACACTCTCGGTTTGTGGTAGTTGGTAATTATAAAATTGTGAAATGAGTGCATAATTAAGGAAAATTGTTATTCATTCATGACTAAAATGTGAGCCAGTAGTCACATTTTCTTTGTGTTTTGGTCATTTTTAAGTATGCTTTTCTGTATTTTACTACTACTTCTTTTTACTGTTGGCAGGTACCAAATTTGTCAAAATAGGGACACCTGGAACATTTCTTGTATAAAACTGGAACAAGTCACTGGTTTTGGATAAATCTCCTGGGACAAGGGACACAGGGCTCAAAATTGGGACTGTCCTGTGTAAATAGAGACATCTGGTCATACTACTTTAGCATGTATAGAAAATATAAGACCACATAGATTACGACAGCATTATAAGGCCACATATAAAGGAAAGTACTATGAGTTAATGTGTAATCAATGTGGTGGATAACTAGCCTGATTCATCAGCTGGTTTCACTTCGTAGAAACCGTTTGACCTCGCAGCTTTGGAATTCGTTCGCTTGACGGAAGGTGGGTACTTTTTTTTACTTAACCAGTCGCTGCTATTTGGTCGTGACGTATGTAATGCACCACTAACGGGGCTAACTGGTATATTAAGCTTTTCCCAAATCCTGTAGGAAGAAGGGCAATAACGTCTTTCCCCTTGATAAAATTCACCAAACATTCTCTTTGTTCCGGCTTTAAATCCTCGATCTCGGGAATCGTTGCCAACACTGAATATATGGCTCTACGCTGATTGGCTGGTGTCCGAACTTGCACTTCTGGGGTTTTTGCGAACAGTCTAGTGTATTTTGATTCCTGACCTAGTAGCTGGAGAGAAATGAAATTGAGCGGAGGCACAAGGTGGCGCCAGCCTGGCTAGTGGATAACTATGGCAGCACTCCGTTTTGGTATTTCTCCTTTGAATTTACACTTACATTACATTTAACACCACATATAGTTAAAGTCATTAAGGTATTTTTGTTTTTTATTACTTTGGTGCACACTGAATTTAATATTTGTCTTAATATTTTATACTAATATTGTTTCTTTTCAGGCTTCAGAATGAGACTGACACTATTACGTTTATTACTACTCACTGTGTTTTGTTTAGTTATAATGTTTTGCCTTATTGTTACTTACCTTACAAGGTTAGCATTTTTGGTTTATTTTTAGTGCAATGTCTCCCTCTAGTGTTCATTTACGATTAGTCCTCATGAATTTATTTTTCTGTTCGGTGACACATTTTTTTTCTGTTTCGTTAGTTGACCTGAGTCCATTTTCTGACTTTTGACTTTGTTAAATTCTACTTTTCCCTAAATGTAACACTTGTTGTCTTTGTCGTTCTGTGGTCCACTAAAATCAAAAAGCATTAGACTCTTTGTAGACAATTTTAATTTTGCATCACAGAATCTGGGTATAAGACCAAGAAACCAAGTATTTCTTTTCTTGAGTGATCATGACCTATCTGGCAGTACATAACATTTTAATATTATCAAATGCAGAAACAGTATAGAGAATCTTTGTAAATTATGGGGATTTCACAGTGGATTCCATATATACGTTGCCAACCCATAGTCTGGTGAATAAAGCTTTTGTTCTTTCCCCCTGCAGTGTTGAAATGTGGCTTATATGCACAGGTTCTGACAGGTATGAGCTCTACTTTCCATCATATTCTGTAGGCCCATCTGTTCATTGTGGAGATAGAATATTCCATAGGAGCTGCCGTTGCAATATGTGGTGCTCGCTCAGAATCAATGCCAATACAGTAATACACTGGTGCATAAAATAACATTAATTATGAGCACAATGGTTTTTGAATCTATGCCACCACAAATAAGTAAGTAAAAGAGAAAGAAAACTATTTATTTAAATCTCCTGTGTAGGTGGGTGTTCTGTTTGAATGACTTTTAGGCAGAATCTACAATGCACTGACAAATTTAACTTGGCTGTACTAACACAAGTTTGCTCTGAGGATACTGCGAGGTGTAATCCAGGTCTTTTAATTAATTCTAGACAGAAAGCACCTGACACTTCTTCCCCCTGTCCCTTGTCTTCAGACTTCTCTGACCAAACATCACTAAACCCTCATATCCCACATATCTGTACTTTATTGCAAACTTTTTTTAAGGAGCTTTGACAAAGCCTTAGACTGACTATCATGGGGGTTTTAGCATAGAGCTCAAATAGAATTCATGTTTGTTTTTTTCTGCTGTGCAAGATATCAGCAGTTGAACTGTGTCAGACAGTGAATCATGTCAAATTATTTTTAAAATAAAAGAGATCTGGGGTAAAATCACCTGCCAAGGGCCACAATGACATAACAAGTAATTAAAATATCGTGATATTGTATCATCAAAAGTCTCACAATAATATCATGGACAGTCACAATATATTGAATCTTAAGTGTTTCTCCTTAAATTCATTGTTTTGGTGCAGCAACAGCTAAAAAACTACATAGACCATGATCCTTTGCTCTATTTCAGTCCAATCTACATGTTGAAATAACTGTTATGAAGCACTTTTAAATTGTAATTATTTGGATTGTGGTGATGAGAGAAAAGTATCATACTAATTTTTTTTTTCTTCCACAAAATATCACAATAAATATCGTACTGTGAGATGGATATCATGAAAATATCATATCGAAAGGGTTGGATAGCGTTACATCCCGAATAACAAGTACAGAAAACAGCCAACAAATATTAAATTATAATATAACGTAATAAACGAAAACTGCAGTAGTTTGTATATAATTTGATTAGGTAATACTACTATTTGTAGTTTGCCATCTGCTTTACAAAACTTTTCTATACGCGTTTTCTGTAGTTCTAATTACTATTCATAATTTTAATTTGTTTGACGTTTTCTCTATAAACTATATTAGAACAAAGGCTTAGTAAATGCTAATCATATATTATTGGTTCTATCTTGCGAGATTTTTAAAAAGACTAAATACAAAAAAAGTTTTAAAAATTGTCTAAGTGCGAAGATTACGTGTGATTTGTTTTGTCCCTCCGCTCTCGCCGTAGTTGAGTACCTGTCTCCGGTTGCTAGGTAACGCGCTTTCGCTCCAAATCCTAAACACGGAAATTGTTCGTGTTTATTTTATTTACTGTTCGTGTTTATTCTTTACATTTATGACTGAAACTTGATGCAAACCCTTTAGTTTAGTACAATAACAGGTAAAATGACCGCGTTCTGAATTAACACGTGCTCAGAAAAATGTTTTACTAACAAATTTATCGCGTCTGCCCGTCATATCTGCGTGCATCAGCAGTTCTCTAGATTTTATAATTTAACTTTATGTCGTTGGTGAAGTGTTAATGTTAGATAGAGTTCCACGTGGTTTGTCGATGCTAATGTTAAATTGATAAATGGTAATGGCTGACGAGTTTGATAACGTGGATTCAGTGGAGATCCGCAGGTTAATTTCAAAGGCCAGAGATGAAAAAGGTCAGTCACACTTACCAATGTTTCTCCACATAACGATGACTCTAAAAGTACTTTGTTTATCGTGTGCAGATGCAGACGCGTTGCAGATCGCTTATGACTTCTTGACGAACACCGGAAACAGCGAAGAGTGCGTTTCCTCGGACATTTACGTGTTGTGTGCCGAAGCAGCTCTTCAGGTGAGTCCTTTATCTCATCACACGGACCACAATGTTATGTACAGTGTTGGGGAGTAACACATTACATGTACCGGAGTTATGTAATCAGAGTACAAATTATGAGTAACTGTATTCAGTTACAGTTACTGTTTCAGTGAGTGGTAATTGGATTACAGTTACTTGGTTGAAATAAATGGATTACATGGCAATATTTTCCTGTTTTCACATTTTGGGCTAAACCAGGACTAAACCAGAACTAAAGTAGGAGTAAAACCAGGTCTAAACCAGGACTAAACCAGGTCTAAATCAGGACTAAACCAGGACTAAACCAGGTCTAAATCAGGACTAAACCAGGTCTAAACCAGGTCTAAACCAAGGACTAAACTAGGCCTAAAACTAGGACTAAACCAGGACTAAACCAGGAATAAATCAGGTCTAAACCAGGACTAAACTAGGACTAAAACCATGTCTAAACCAGGACTAAACAGTAAGAGACCTAACAGTAGGGTGGACACACTTTAAGGCAGCAGGGATCTCATATAAAAATAATTTCTCTATCAATAATATTTTTTAAGTACAGACTGGACTTTTTATTTTCTTTAAACAGACAAAACATTTTATGTTAAGATCATCGTCTTTGCTTCTCTACAGCAAACAGTTTCTTATTCATGGAGACTTGGACTCAGCCAATTTGAAGAGAACAAACATGAATTTTCAGGATGTGGTTGGTACATTCATGTAGTTTGAAAAAGCATAACAATATCAAGTAATCTAAAGAATTCAGATTACGTTACTCACTCTAAGTAATTTGATGGATTACGTTACAAACTACATTTTGGGATATGTAATCTGTAATCTGTAGGGGAATACATTTTAAAAGTAACCGTCCCAACACTGGTTATGTAGTTAATTTATTTAGTACGAATAACTGTGGAATTTGGCTTACTCTACTCCATTTTATTTTAATGTTACAGGATTATTATTATTATAAGTATTATCATTTATATAAGTATTATATTTGGGCTCAAACATTTTTTTTATGTATTTTTCTTGAACAAGTAAGAGATTTACATTCTTATAAAATTGGAATATGTAACATTAGTGAAATCATAAAAGAAAAAATATTCTTAAAATTACTGTATGTTTCCAATCAAAAATGCATCCATTGAAAATGTACTGTATATATATTTATCTGTATGTAACTTATGTGTCTTGTATTCTGTTTTTATGTGTGTAGTTTATATTTTCATATGGACAGGTGTTGAAAACTAGCACTTGTGCTAAAACACTCAAAGCAATGCATCTGGCTTGGCTAAGGTGTTTGTGATGTCCTTAATAAGAATAAATAAAAAAATAATAATAACCACAACAAAAAGGAAAAAAAAAATGCCCAAAAAGGAGTGGGAAGAAGAAAATGTATTTAATCCCACCCCCCTCTTCTAATTTAACATGAGCTTTCTTTTGTATTTTTCAGACATTTTACATTAAACTATATGAACTACGTACAAATGCGAGTAATGAGCAACTGTAATATCTTGGTAACATAACTATCATCATATTGCAATAATACATAAGCGCACCAACAATGGTACAGATACAAGAAAGAGGAAGCAACAAGCATAAACCAGCACCACAGAAGGCAGTATTGTTCCAATATTAAGATGTATTCTCTATATACTGTGTCCAGACCATATGGTTATATAACAGCTTGAATTTATGGATGTGTAGCCAGACTGTTCCAGAGTTTTACACCACATATAGACACACATAAACTTTTACAGATACTTCGAACATTGGGCAATTTGAAATTTCCATGCTCTCTAAAATTATGAGTTCTCTCTCATTTTGAACAAGCTTTGTAGATTATTGTTGGTATTAATCAGTTGAATTCTCTAATAATAATGCTGTACAATAATGAAAATGGAAAATGAATAGAAATTAAATTAAACAAATTGCATTCACTTGTAAAACAGGTGATGCCAGTAAGATGAGAAACAGGAAAAAAAAACTTAAAAAAAAAACGCACCAATGCAAATGAGACACCTGTGCCTTTGTGTGCACCCTGGAGAAGGCTCACCACAGCAGAAACGTGTTTGTACACTTTTTTTTTTTTTTTTTTTTTTTAACTTAACCATGTGCAAATACAAATTATATTATCACCGCCAAGAGTGCTTTGGAGTTCTTTGCCTGTTTTCCATCTCACTTTTCCAAGGCTGTAAAATTAATCGAATTTTGATCACGATTTTGATTTCATGTGTCAAACGATCTCCAAACTCCTGTAATCGAGTTGAAACGATTTATTTTGGGGATTTTTTTTTTATATAAATAAGTATATTTATACTTTTTTTTTTTAAACACAGAGATTGTAGAACAGCCGGATATATAGTTTATTTTGGATACATTTATGATTTTCTATGCCTTATTTCATGTTCAAAGGATATTTTATTCATTTCATGTTTTATGAATTGCAAAATGGCTCTAAAGTACATATTTGTAGTCTATATTTATTTTCAATTTCAACGTTTTGCGTAAATTATCAATAAGAAAGTGGCGTATTTTTTAGATAGAAATGCTGAATAAATGCATCGTGTAACTAAAAAATAATCGTCTGAATAATCGTGATTTCAATATTGACCAAAATAATCGTGATAATGATTTTTTTTCCATAATCAAGCAGCTCTAACTTAATCTGTAAGCGCGACGAATCGTCCCACACTTCCAAACAGCACTTCACTGACTGAACTGTTTTACGCACAAAGATCCATAAATATGTGTTTTGCATTTATTATAGAAAAGGGTTGAGCATATGGAAAATGTGTAGGTCATTTATTATATATTTTGTTAACCACCGATTGTATAAACGGTCTAAACTGACTGCAGTGTCGCTCTATAACTATATGGACTAATTAGAAAACTCATTTGCAAGGTGATCGCTCGTATCTCAAGGATATTATAGGGAAAAAAATGAATCGCAGTGTCCTTTAACGTCCTTATTTCATTTCCATAATTGCGCAGTTTAGCTATGCACATTAGAAGCATATGGAGAGAGACCATATAGTGAAAGAGGCTGTGTCTGAAGAGCAGCAGCGCCCTGTTTAAATTCACAGAGACACCATCCACCTACCAGCCTCAGTCACCTTTCAAAGAGCCCACGACTGATGAAACGTCCTGTAATACACAACGCTTCCTGGTGCCTCACAGAATCAAGCATTAGCATATTACTGAAACATGGGACGCTCATTACCTCCCACAGAGGGCATTATGTACCCGACACATCTGTTTGTGTCTGTCAAAACAAGAACGTAACAATAACTGCTGCGCCTCAAATGTCTTTATTCAACAGCGTTCGAACACCGTGACAGGACGGTCTGCGTATGCGGCTGCTTTGGGGTATGCGCACACCAGTTTAGGGACACTTCGCTCTGTTGAAGTTAAGATATTGTTATTAAGATCAGGTTAGCCGCGAGGTCTTAAAAGTCTTAAAAAGGTCTTAAGTCTTTCCCCCCTAGACGCCTACTAGGAACAACCCATACATATATGACTAGGGCTATAGAGCGTAATTGCATAAAAGAAAACAGACTTCCACGAGTGATTATAAATGATTTTTACACTCATGAACTTAATTGTAACACAGACATATTTGGTATCTCTTTAAACCTTAGACTCTGAACTATTCATTTATGGATGTTTAAATGTGATTCAACTCATTTATAGGTGTATATCAGCTCACTGAAAATGAGTTTACCTGGTCAGGTGCAAAATCAAAAACAAAAAACTACATTCAGCATCTGATATATGCATGTTCTGAGTACTATATTTATAAAAAAATAAATATAAAAATATACTTTGTCAAAGTATTTAAACAGATTTCATATCACCAGATACAGTATACCTGTTTTTACCTGTTGTACACCTGTGTGTGGACCTAATTCATTTTTTCCATTTAACTTATTCAACTTATTTAATTTATTCAACTCATTTAGCTTATTATAATATAATAATATAATAATAAAACTCTTCCCCATCAGTGGGTGTCCAGTATTTGTCATCTTGGTTACTTTCTCGTGTGCAGAGCTCCGCATAAACGTTTGTTTCTGTAGCGATTCTGTCATACATCGCATCTCGGAAAAAAATACTGAAATATTTTGAAGGACTAGCCTGGGAAACATCCAGATTTCAGGGCAATTTTGGGTCATAATCGAGTATAAAGCCGGATAGTTTGTTCGGATATCGCAGGACTCCATACAGACGCATCAGCGGTATTTTCATCTTCTTAAGATTCACTCTCTGAAAGTCCGTCGCTATCGCTGTTTTCCACTTTATAATCAACTTCATCATCACTTTGAAATCTATAAAAGTCACTTTCTCTAAACTTATCCATAAAATACGTCCGCTCCTCAATATTTCTGAAACTGTGCGCCGCAGCGCCGCGATCTTTCCATTGCACGTGTTTCGTGTTGTTTGTTTTTGTTTTGTTTTTTTTACAATCGTCACTACTTCGATTCACTTTGGAAAACATATCCTTGAATCTTATTGGTCAGCCTAGTGTGGGTTGTAGTGGCCTCCACCTATCACAGTCTCTGTTTAAATGTGAAAAACCGAGCCGTTTGTAATGGTCGTCAAATCACGTCTTTAGTGATACAGCGGAGGCGTCAAAAGACGTCATTAAGGGTACGGGGGGTTGTCAAATGTCGTCTTCATGGGAGAAAGAGTTAAAGGGATAGTTCTGATTTTTTTATATGAATCTGTACGTCATCCCCGTGAGCAGTGTCGTGCATCCACACGGACTTACCCCCGACAGCGTCCGGTGAGCCGAGATACTGGCCGTTTTTGGTGCTGACGAAAGTAGTCCGGCAAGTTGACTGGGGACCTTAAAATAAAGCGTTTTTCTTCTCAAAACAATATGTGTTCAAAAGAGTGATATGTTTGCATGACAAAACCATAGTCCTCAAAAAAGTCAGACCTCATAATCGCTTGGCACTATTTTCTCTCTGTTCGTATCTCTGCACGCTTCATGTTCCTAAATTTAGGCCTTAAAACGTCTTAAATTATGTTGTCCAAGTCTTATTTTTTTCACAAAGGGCTTAAATTTCAGTAGCCTATTTTTTGTGTTCTCAGTCGGGCTGCAGTGCGATGTTAAATGGAGGGAGGAAAAAACAACAACTGTGAAACCGCGTAACGTGAATGAACATCCAATTTGGAGTATGAGCAAACAATACTTTGGTTTCTGGTGAGCAACAGTTTGTTCTTGTTGAAAATGTTAAATGGTTGAAGCACTTTGAAAAACAATGTGAGACAAGACAATGTGAAAGGTTAATTTTTCTTGTTAGAATGTTATAAATTATTTTTTGGCCATTTTACAAGCAATGCATATGACTATAAATGAGTTCTGGAGTTCTGAATGAGAGTTTATAATAGATGTATTTTCTGTTATTTGAAGCAATGAGTAATAGTCATTATTAGAATTGATCTGGTGTTTTTCGCCCGCATAATGGGTGCGGTGTTGGTCTTAATTTTCATATAAGCGGTCTTAACAAGGTCTTTAAAAAGTCTTAAATGTGGGGTAGTCAAACCTGGGGATACCCTGAAGATATTTTTTATGCAGCATTGCCATATCTAAACATCTGTAAATAGGCCTGTCACAATAAGTACTATATTTACATTACATTTTTATATCTACATTTTAGCAGCTTCTTAATTTCTTCTTAATTGGTTCTTTTCTTTTTCAGAAAAAAGTTTACTGAAAGTGTAATATTTTAACCTTATAGTACAGTAGCCCTGCAAATATAAAATCGTATGCCAAACATTTTTATCGTGACAGTAACTGTAAAAAACAAATAAAGTTGAAAAATATTAGTTTTTTACAGATAGGTCTGTCACAAAAAAGTGTTTGATATACGATAATTTATATTTGTAGGGTTGTAGGGTGCACCACTTGTGTTGTTCTGTTTTTTTATCGTTAGAAGGTTACATGTCCTTGTCTTTTACATTCAGTCAGTAGGAGTTTATGGTGCACTCAGGCATTGTCTTTTTGATTATGTCTTGGACAATTCCCCATCGTGTGTTGTGCAAAAAGCAGCATGGGCAGAAGAGAGTCAAGTGTAGCTGAAAGTATTTTCCTTATTATAGAGATAGCAGAAACTTAGAATGATTCTCTTTTTTGTGAACAGGTACCAGTGTGTAATTAGTTTGCCCTTTGCGTACAGTGTCAAAAGCAACGCAGCAACTTTTGAGAAAATCATGTCCTTGACTCCAACCAAATGTGGACTAAAGAAAACTCCTTACGTACTGTTCTGCAGTGAGTGGCTCTGCTTTGGTCTGCTCTTTCAAAGGAGCTGAATTATTTCCGCTATTAACGACAGGTAGTGAAGATTTATAGAGCTTAATAAATCAATATTATGATTTATCAGCACTAGCCTCAGTCCTGCTCGGATATGAGCACTAATAGGTTTTCTACAATAACCTGAGATTGCAGCAGCCTCCGTAGGAGATGACATGAATATTCACTAATGTATGGATGTGTCCTGCGGCACAGGAAACTTATTTGAATAATAAAACAGTAATATTGCATATTCTGATTTGGTGTTATCTTTTTAATATTAGAAAGCACTAGTTTTGTAAAATGCTTCTCTGAGTCTCAGGCGCCCTGTGAATATAAAATAATTGGCTCACTAATAGGCCTACATGCTTTTTGGTTTTTCGGCGATGTATTAATATTTGATTCCTAACGCCACTGTCTGGAATCATTTGGTTTAACTGGTGTGAAATATTAAGGGAAAAACAACCTGTTACCAGAAATGCAATTAGTCATAATGCAGCACAGCCTGAGGCGAGGCAATCAAAACAAAAGCTCTACAGCAAAGTCATGGCAAATATGAAACTACCACAAAGGATTATATTAACCAGAAAATGTATTGTGGGTTCAATTTCTAACCAATAATTTCCCAAATGTCCCTGTCTGCTCAGTTCTGTTGATCAAGGAAACCCAAGAGGGAATATATATAATAAATACTATAACCAGAATATCAACAGTGAGTTAGTCTGTCGCACAAACAATATGACTTTTTTAAAGATGCACTGTGTAACTTCCGGCGGAGACAAGCAGGTGATGGAGTCTCAATCAAAAAAGTTAGACAGTGCATATTTGAGTCATAAGGCCAGTGAAAGAGCAGCACTTGTTTACTCTAAGTGCTTTTCACATAGATTTTTTACAGTTTCATGAAGTCATAAAGGCAGAGCTGTTATGGCAGTACCCGCGGGATATGCCATGATTGTACCATTTTATTTTTAATGCATCACTTTCTCCTCTTCCATTTCAAAAGTAATGCTTTGAAATATATCCCGCGACACTGTTCAAAATGCATTGGAACTTGTGCTGACAAACAAATCTGCGGAAAGAACCCCGAACGCCAGCCTCCATTCCGCTGCAGCTTGTGTGTTTTTGCTCTCTGTGTTTCAGCTTGGACGTGCGCAGATAAGCAAACCGTGCCTAAAGATCTACTTTGAAGGGAATCCGCCAGCGAATCAATTTCTGTGTCGAGCCTACCTCTGCCAAGGCCAGCTCCAGTGTCCCGGGGCCAGTGGGAGCACGGTGAGGACACATGATTGGACACATCTCCTCGAGGCTCTGAAGTGTATTCAACTGTTGGATACATACTAGTGTTGCCATGATGCGAACATTTCAAATTCGATTTTGATGCTAAGGAGTAGACTCAATACTGATTTTGGTACCACGATGATACTAAAAAACTCTAGAATGTGATTAAGAACATGAACTAATAGTACTCCCTTTTATGCTTACTCTTATTACCATGAGATCTGTAATCCCTCAGTCATCCAGGTAGGTTCTGTAGTGGTCCATGGGTCTATACTAGTCTACACTGTCAAATCTAACACTAGGGTTAACTTCCTTACTCACAGCTATGAATTTGTGGATTTTAATGATTGTGGTAAAGTAACAGTGACTTTCAGGGTGAAAAAAAGCACATTACTTGTTGATTAGAGTAAGGTTAACTTGAATGAGACGAGTAACCTCAACAGTGACGTATTATTGCCAAGAGTCCAGATCCATTTCTCAGTTCCGGTCCTCCTTTTGCTGCCTTCCTGTTTTTCCTACAGCCTCCACTCATTCCCGAATCATCCCAGGACCGTCTTTATCCCTGTGTTCGATTACCTTCCGACTCACACTTGGACCTCGGAATTAACATCATGACCGAGCTTGAAGCGTGTTACTATGTTTCGCGTGACGAACTACGTGGACTATGAGTCATCTTTTGAAAACACTGCCACTTTAACTAATTTGATTTTTGAAATTTGCATGGATGTTATGATTTCTCTTTCATTGCAACCTTAGGGATGTTTGTTCAATATTGACCTCACCACAACACCAACTACCACACCCACAGGCAGTGATACGGACAGGGTAAAGTATTGCAGTAATACGAGTGACTGAAACTGTCATTTAAACCACCAAAGTATCTAAACACATAGCAATCTTGGACATAGCAATCTTGGATTCTGACTCGGAATCCTTGCTCAGTCTACTTTTTCCGCCACCGAGGAAGGGGCGTGTCATGCGTGTCGCTAGGCAACTTCCTCAGAAAACCAATTCGGAAGGATAATCGAACGCAGGGTAAATCCTGTCTGTGTTCATTCAGTCTCGATATCCTCCCTCTGTTCATTCACTCTTTGCTCGATTACATCTGTACACCTGTTTTGTTTCTTCCAGCATTTTTTGAGCCCTAAGTGCGGGGGCCTTGGTTGAGTTCATATGGAATGACTGAGCTATGTCTATTATTTTATTGTTTCACATGTTATGATGTGTTTTGAAATTAAGATGAATCCAAGTTTTGCTACATTTTTTTTTTTTTTTTCAAAGACTAATAACTATTCAAATCCTTGTACCTGATGCAGATCTAAATGGCATTATTGTAGAATAGAACCTGTTTTTACCCTAACTTGTGTAGATAAGTAACATTTACTTCAATTCAAGGCAATCAGTTTCCATGGTTTTCCCAAGTAAGATGAACTTACTCTTCAAGTAAAGGTTACTACATATTTCATATTTGAGGAACTGACTGATTAGTTGACACAGCTTCACAAAACATGAGTTCTATGAATGAAAACTAAAGTAAACTTAACTTGCCTTGCCTAGTTAGATGAAAGAGGAATTTACTGTACAATGCGCTGACGAATTACCGTACTTGCAAGCTGAGTTTTAGATTCACAGTCCAGTTTATCCAGATTTTTCAAGGCAGTCGGTTTCCTAGATTTATTCAAGTAAGATCTACTTATAAGATTTTATTTTTGTCCTGTGACTTAAACTTTTTGAGTATCGATACCTGCTCAAATGAGTATCTAGTTTTGATACTAGTTTTAAGTATAAGTTATAAGAATAAGCTTTTAAGTGTAAGTATCAATGAGAAGTTTTTTTGATACTTGAACTCACACTAGAAGGATACATTGGGCTACATTTATTATTACCCAAAAGTAGAACAGTTTTGCAGCTTTTGTACACAGGATGCTGACTATTCCTTTGTCCTTTTTTGTTTTAAGACGCCCTTTGTTCCCTGTGTTCTGAGATGTCACGTTACTTTTTATTTTTATATTTCAGGAGGACGTTGAGAAGGCCGTGGACTACTTCCTCAAAGCGATTGAAGTTGCGAAGAACGAACCAAGGTCCGTAACCTTTTCTAAACATGTCAAGCTTTGTTTTTTTTACGCTGTCAAAAAATGTTTAGTAATTCATGTTATGTGCGTTTCATTGTCTCGGAAGTGGTAAAGAAAGTTCTACAATGGCAAAGTGCACATGTTACAGGCGACTATCAAAGAGAAGTATGCATGTCAGAGGGCAGAGATGTTGCTGTGAAATACAAAGATCATAGATTGAGATGTAGCATAGGTTTTCGCTCTTATTAAAAAGACGACCTCCACAAGAGTTTCACGCCTTAACAAGGACTGGTGTTAAAGCTCACAGCACGAATACAGTCACAATAATAATAGCACGCAGTTTATTTAAGTGCGAAATGTCTTAGAGTCCATTCCACTTTAATGATACCGCAGCTTGTCAATAGAAGGTCAAAATGAGCACCGCAATTAAAACCAAAGGGAAAATACATCTAATGCGTCCATGAAAGCCTAATGCCCACCAAGCTCCCTGGTGAATAAATTTGCACATTTTTCCCACACGATTTTCAGCAAAAATCAAGCAATATAATCATAAATGCTTCTTATTTCAGACAGTCTTCATCAGCCGGATAACTCTCCAATGGTCTATATTGGAATTTACAGTGTGTTTTCCAAGAAATGCAGCAGTTTCCATGGACATAATGTAAATAATTCAGTGTGCAGTGTTCATCAGGATGTGGTTTGGTTCTATACACAGAGTAATTTACCAGTGTTATTGACAGGGGGCTGACAGGCCTGGATGCACGTAGACAAGTCATTTCGTTCCATTACATATGTACCTGACAGCTGTGCGTTGGTCTGAAAGCTGAGTAAAATCTGGACAATTATATCAAAAGTACCAAATATATAAAAAGTAGAAATAAAAGTGGAGTTTGTTTAATTCCATACTGGTTTAGTTTATGTATTTACACAGATACTAGGGAGGTAACGATATCCAAATCTCTCTGTACAGTATTATCACGATATGCATCTCACGGTACGATATTTATTGCGATATTTTGGAGTGGCAAATATAATTCTAGATAGGACACTTTTTTTTGCTTTTAAAATACCTTGGCAAGATTTTGGTGTGAATTATTACTGTCAGAATCTCAAGAATTCAAGTAAAAAACATTTTTTCATGTTGTCTGTGCTGAAATGAATCATGGGACACAGTTCCCAATGTTTATTAGCTGTTCCTTCTAAGGAACAATTCATTTAAGCAAAGGAATTTACTGTATTTTCCACACTATTAGGCGCTCTGGATTATAAGGCGCACTGTCATAGAATGGTCTATTTTCAAACTTTTTTTCACAAATAAACCGTACCGCACCGGACTTTAAACGAATTACAACAGTTATTTGGGTCAGTGGGACTTTGTTTGGCGTGTTCACGGTGACTCTGGGCTTTGTTCAGTTGTGGCGTGTAGGGAGGGTGCTGTCTGGGACCGCTGGATTGTCGGCGTGTTCGCAGTAACTCAGTTGTTCAGTTGTGTCTAGAAGTGGCACATTGCACTCGCTTTTTCGGTTTGTTCCTCCGTTCCGTTCCTCGTCGGCGTGGAGTGATGAGTGTGTCTGTGGGTGTTTTTCGCTGCGCGATCGCTGTCTGCTCCGTGCGTGTTTGCGTGCGTGTAGTTTACTGAAGTCGAGCTGGGACACCTGAGTGGATTGGTGTATAGGACGCTCTGGATTCTGGTCGTTTTTTGATGGGGTTGGAGGCTTATGGTGCGGAAAATATGGTATAATTCGATATATTGTGACAGCTCTCGATATTATTGTGAGAATTCTGAAGATACAATATCACGATATTTTGGTTATTGTTACATCCCTAAGAGATACTAAAACAAATCATGCACAATAGGTAAAATCCTCCAGTTAAGATAGTTCTGACCAAGACAAGCTCAAGATCTGGAGACAGGTTCCTGACAAAGTGTCGTAGGGTGGGTCAAATGCAGAGCACAAAATAAGTTTACCTTAACATATGAACATTAGACAATATTATGTGGCTTCTCAAAGTCTGATCTCATCAAATCTCATAAGCTAAGCAAGGTCAGGCCTGGTTTGTACTTGGATGGGAGACCACTGGGAAAATCGGGTGCTACAGTGGGGCGCCAATTGCGAATACTATTGTGTCTGTAGGCAAGGCACTTCTCCCACATTGCCTAGTATGAAAATGGTGTGTGCATGAATGTTGGAGGGGCCAATGGTGCAGATTGTCAGCCTCACTTCTCTTAGAGTGTCCAGAAAAGTGCTATATAAAACTGATGCGTTATTAATGCATTCATTTTAAGCATTATTTTGTATTCAGATTAATATTTTGGATGATGGATGGATACCATAAATTTCAATACTATTATGTTTGAACTGTGACGTGTTTGCAGCTGTGACATTATTATTTATTTATTTGGTGAAGTTTATGTATGACAGTCTTACTGTTTAATAAATTACCACATCTCAAGAAGCACTTTTATAAGCAAATTAATTCACACTTTTGTCCACAACAGGCCGATATTATGCTGACGGCTTGACAGTGTTGCAAATGTGATTTCAAACTCATGAATACAGCTCTTTTTTTTATCTCGATGTGAAAATTGTCTCCTGAATAGTCTTCCTGTGTGGTCTTACATTTTGACAACAGTGACAGAAAAGAAGTGAACCTGGAAGGATTTGTACTTGACACATTTGGATTGAGACATTTAATTTCACACATACTGAGCTGCTTTTCTTTCTCACAGGTACCATTGTCTGGTCTTTAACGCCTCCGTGCTGTACCTCCACGCAGTACGCCCTCTGCTGGTGGAGGGGAGGAGCTACACCCTGGTCCCTTCGCTGAGGCAGGTGCTCCAAAGTCTGGAGGAGGTGAACGACCCGGACCACGACTGGAGGGCTCAGCTCATGATGTAAACACACATCTTTTCTTGAATCTAACCAATCAAATAATTCCTTCCTGATTTGAAGGATTTTGTGAGGATCTTTCATCATAAAATTTTAATGTGAATTTCATTATTTGTATGGAAACAGTGGATTTTTGCCATAGCTTAAAACCTTTTAAAAGTGCGTTACACCAGTCACAATGCCAAGTGCTGCACAATAATAAAAATCTATGACTTTTTTCCAACACATATCTACGTGTGACAGGTGTCTAAAGCTTCTGTGAACAATTGAAACTTTGCATCATCAACATTCTCTGAGGGGTGTGAAGCTAACTGAAAGCAGTACTCTGTTAGAAGCTTTCTTACTCAAATGAGATTTCTGAGCTTTATTTTGACACAATCTGACCAGAAAGAGCTGACTTGGTTGCAGCTGCCACTGGTGAGACGTAAATGACTGTCACAATTCACACCAGTTTTTTAGTTAGTCACTCTCACCCTTTTTTGTTGAAAATCCAAATGCTTAAACAGGACCATGAATGCTCATATTGATGACAGCTCCTGAAAGTGCGAATCCATTTTGTATATTTTCTTGAGTTTCCGGTCAAAAGTTTTAGAACACCACACTTTTTCCAGTTTGTTTACTGTTAACTGGTGACAAAAATGTATTCTAAACTTTTGGTTCATGAAAGTGTCCACCTTTGGCAGATTTAACAGCTGAACACACTCGTGGCTCGTTCTTTTTACAATAGAAATCAAATATTCTTCAGAAAGTTCTTCCCAAGTCTGTTGCAGAAGTTCATATAAATGTGTGGCTCTTGTAGGTTGCTTCACTCTTCTGTCCAGTTCATCCCAAACCAGCTCGATGAGGTTTAAGTCTGGACACTGTGCTGCTGCTGGACACTTCATGTTTTTCAGCTTCATCGTCTTGTTCCTTTTTCCTGAGGTAGTTTTGGCAGAGCTTGGACTTATGTTTCTATCTTTTTTTTTTAACCTCTGTCTGTTCAGTTCTTACCTTTGTACCATTTCAAGCTCTTCATTGGACTTGAATTGCAATAAATAACTTGAAAAATTAGGGTGTTCTAAAACTTTTGACCGGTAGTGTATATTAAACATTATTTGTCCTTTTTTTCCTAATATGTGCATTGGGTCACCATGGTAACTGCTGAACGTTCCACCAATAGAAATACATGTAGAACACCAACAGCGTGATGCCTCTGCGACATATCAATATTCAAATCACACCCAGTACAATACGCTCTAAATCTCACAAGAGGATATTATTTATTTATTATAATATTGTGCAGAGTTTTCCCCATAGATTGTATTGTAACATCAGCATTTTGCAAGAAAATTAGAGCACTGTGGGCTGTCTGCATCTGATAAGAAAGTATTTTATCGATCGTATACTCGTATAAAGTAAGAGCTGTAAGCCACGGCTAGGATTGGTGGCAAGCCCCAGATTCGCTTTGGTATGAAAATCTGATAACGCAGCTTTAATTGAGACCAATTTTATATAATGTATAAATTCTCAATACCAGTTCTAGGCAAAAGAGCAAAGCATCGTGGGCTCTGTAGTCGCCTCTGCTATGATACTAAAACAATATATAGTACTGTGGCATTTTTCATAGTAAATATAACAATACTATCATTAATTGTAACACGTTTGACTGGTACATTCACATTCCTGACTCACAGAACTAATCAGCTCGTGGTTTATTTAGTATCACAGTACTCAGAGTCTAGAGTTAATTGGCTCTCTCATTCTTCGCTATAGAGTGGAGAATCTATTTCAATATAAGCTGCGTTATCATGTCTTTCTACGGCGCCCCAGGTCTAACTGTTAGTGTTATCTCTCTTATAGTCTAATGCAGCTCATGTTCAGTATATATAGAGTTAGCGATACAGCTCCAGTATTAATTAGAGGGCGTCTAGCATGACACACATTCACTGCTGAATAGGTTCCACATAACAGTGAGAAAAACTCCATAGCGCCTTTAAAATTAGCTCACAAAGACTGACATAAACAGGCTGAAAAGCATTACACGCATGTTTGACATTAATGGAATATAATCCACTGTACCAGCAAGAAAAATCCACCATTAAAATCAAAAGCAATAAGAGCCATAGCATTCAGCTCCATGGGGACTTAATTATAAAAGATTACATTGGGTAAAAAAAATGTAAGGTGTTGTTAGCTGATGGGCTGCTATATAGGCCGTTTCTTATCTGTGGGCTCCAGTAACTTCATTATCTTACTCATTCCTAAGGCAATTCATCAAATGTAATGTCGATGCCGGAAAAATGGAGGAAGCCACAGCGTTTGCTAAAGTTACGGAAGATTTTGTCAAGTCCCATACACCTCATCTCTTTCCTGAACTATTTGGGCTCTTGGTAAGTAGGATAAAATACCCTCTTCGTACAATACATGACAAAAGCGAAGTATTTTTCCAAAGACGGGCGTGTTGTGAATGTCTTGAAAGGGCATGACAGCTAAACGGAGATCACAACCTCATTAGTGGAGAAAGATATGAAACATGTAGGAGATGGCGTAAATAATACAAAAAAGGGCAATGGGAGGGTTGAAGATGTTCTGAAAGTTTTAGTGATGGACTGAATAAAATAAAAGAAAGTACAACTAAAGCAAACTAATCAGAGTTGCAAAGAAAGAAATCATTTCAAAGACGGGTATGTTGATGTATCAAAGGACCTGAAATCAATGTAATGGTTCTATATTACACAAAGCTGATTCTTGTGAACTTTACGCCGTGTTAGATTGTTGTTATCTCCTCAAAAACATATCTGGAGTTGTGTTTTGTTTCATCCACACATGTTTAAGTTTATTATTAATCTGTCTACATCCAAAGCTCAAAATTCTCCTTGTAATGTCATGAAGCAGTAGTTTTGTGAACCGCTACCTTTTACCTTTTGTTCATTAGAGATTGGCATTTCTAGGGCTGAAGTTATCCAAATGCAGGGTTCCCACGGCCATGGAAATCCTAGAAAAATCATGGAAATTGAAAATGTCATTTTCTCAGCCTGGACAAGTCATGGAATTGTTTAAATTCAATTCAAGTTTTGGAAAAGTCATGGTCTTTCAAGCAAATAAAGTGTTCTGTTAAGTTCTCATTAGACTATTATGATTATTTCTGAACGTGTGCACCTTTTGTTTAAAAGAGACGACAATAAATGCACTGACAGTATTTTGAATGTTAAAAACTATAATACCAAACTATAAGGTGAGTGGAAAAGGTTAACATTTCATATTTAGCCCTAAAAGTCTGATCAGTTCTACACATGTAGGTGCTGTAAAGTCATGGAAAATTCACTTTAGGTCATGAAAAAGCCATGGAAAAGTTTTGAAATTTTGTGAAAAAGAGTGGGAACCCTGCAACTGGTTCTAGTGATGGTATATGGAGTTTAAAAACACAGTGGAGCACTTCCTGTATTACCACATGACATCACTAATAAAGAGAAGAACTCATCTTAAACATGCAACGTTTGTGTGTTACATTTGTGAATGAAACAAAACAAAACAATGAGTATGTTTTTTATGAGGAAACAAAATTGTAACATAGATGAGAAAATAGTTTAGTGTGAGCCCTTTTAAACATTTTAAATTGAAACTTGAGCTGAAAAAAGATGAAACTGAGATCCAAATTTGTACCTGTTTTTGTGTGTAATGGTCTCACTCCCCACTTAACTATTGGCAGTTTCATTTGTAGATCAGTTGTTTTAATTAAGTTCCCTTTTCCCAAAGCGCTCTTCTCTGCGCTTCTTTGAGTTTTAATTGGAAGCCTTTAGTACAAAAACACTTTCAGTTTCTAACTTTGTTGTTTTGCTTCAGATACAACACAAGCTGTCAGACTGCGATGTCTTACTTGAGACGAGCCGGCAGAGTCCCACTTTAACAGCAATTTACAAGCTAGAAGAATTTAAGAAGTAAGATATGTTTCTGCACACATCTCATTTGCACCTGTTCATTTGAATCTGTCATCCAGGCTTTGTAATTTGTGAGAATGTTCCCAGTTTGAGTCTACAAAAGCTTTTTCTTCACCACCATATCAGCCAGTTTCATACTTATCACAACTGGAGTAAACAGGCTCCACTGAACCTCTCTAAATAACCATTGATTGGATCTGCAATTTCAAATTGATGCATAATCTCTTTTGATTGGTTTCAGCTTTTTAAATTGATGCTTGCTCCAATTTCAATTTTTTTCTGTATCTAACTGTAAGCATTAGAACGCACCCAAAAGGCATGACTTGGTTTTGCGGTAGCGAATACGTAGAGATAAGAATTTGAGTTGAATCAGGTAATCAGGTATTGTATCTTTATCTGTATAATAAGAAATGCTCTTAGCCACGGTAGTGAAAGTCCATTGTTGTAATAGTAAAGTACAAGCAGATTAACATTATCATGGAAAATTGTCAAATAAAGTAAGAAAAATGGCTGGGATGGTGCCACTTAGTACCTCCGCTCAATTTAATTTTTCTCCAGCGACTAGGTCAGGAATCAGAATACACTAGTTGGTTTGCAAGAATCTCAAAGTGTGAGTCCAGGCACCAGCCAATCAGCAAAGAGCCATACATTCTGTGTTGGCAACGATTCTCGAAATCAAGGATTTAAAGCCAGAACAAAGAGAATGTTTGGTGAATTTTATCAAGGGGAAAGACGTTATGGCTCTTCTTCCTACGGGATTTGGGAAAAGCTTAATATACCAATTAGCCCCGATAGCAGTGCTTTACATATGTCACGACCAAATAGCAGCGATTGGTTAAATAAAAAAAGTACCCACCTACCGTCGAGCGAACGAATCCTAATGCCTAGGTCAGTTCCCACGAAGTGAAACCGGCTAATGAATCAGGCTAAGAAAAATCAAGATGAAAGTAATAATTTGTTGACTTGACTTGATATATTTTCCATTTACCATCAAAAATTTTCCTCAACATCAACAACTTGGTGGATTTCAGCGCATAACTTCACAACATTCTATTGAGGGACTGCTAAAGTAAATATATTTGAAATGCAGATTTTTATTGTAATGCAACAAGTTAATGTGTTACTAATCTCCATCATCAAATTACACATTTTCACATTTACCTTTTGGATATTTTGTGGCACAGTACAATGTAATCAATAGGGATATCAGGCTCTTATAACCAATCTTTCTTTATGTGACACATTTTTGCTCATTGCTATATTATTATGCAGATTGCTGTTGCTTGCGCCTGTAGCATTTTTTGTGAGCCAACATGGAGAGCTCAGCAACACACATTAAACCTAGGTTAGTGGGACAATTTCTCCAGGCTTCTTGATAATCTCATATGCTTCTCCAGAGCTGCCTTCATGCTTCTGGTGTGCGCTAAAGACCCCACCATTACCCGGCCCCCCATCTCCTCCTGTCTGCAGGCCTGTACTCAGCACGTCACAGATCCTTATGGCTTTTCAGATTAGCACTAAATGTCAACCGTGACCCTGCCGTCACAATCACACAAGATTATTATGAACTAGAGTTTATCCCTAGTTTGGTGTGAGTATATTAGTGACGATTTGTTGAAAATTGGTTTTATGACAAGTCTTTCTGTGCCGTTGTAATAGGTTGGGGAGAGCCAATGGAGACGAGCTAAAGGAAGGAGATGCCGCGAAGCTTCAAGAGATTTTTGATTCGCTCGTTCCCACTAAAGCTTCTTCATCTCCCACGGAATCCAACGCGCAACCTCTGCCGCCAGCTGCAAGGTGCGTGACCTGGACTGACCCAATCCAGTCTCCGGTATGACGAGATTACCTTTGTGGCTGCCTGTCCTCTTTTAAACCTCCCACCAACATAAAACCACATATGGATTTCCGCGGGCAGTACATGGCTTAGATTACCGCACTGAAGGCTTGTGTGAATTGTATAAATTATGTTTTATCTGGGATTTGCAGAGTTGCCTTCCTCCTGGAGCTGGCTCTGCTGGCCTTGCAAACCAAGCATCAGGAAGTAGCTGCCGACTGTTTGAAAGCGCTAAAGACGGCGGAAGTGGCTGTGAGTGTCCGATTTTCTCCTCAAAGCTCCGCAAATGGACGGGGCTAGCTGGTTCGACTTATCATTAAAACATGTAAATTTATGCTTGCAAAATGACATCCTGAGTTAAGTAGGCGCTTTGTAAAGGATCCAAGGTCACTGGAGTTAATTCAGCTCCGCAAAGCATGTACCGCACGTATTCTGGGTCACAGGAACATCTTTTTATAGTCAGCAAGCAAGTTATTTAACTACTACTGCAAACGGGCCTTCAGATAGTAACTTGAGTGACATCTTTTGTGGCCCTCCTTTACACAAAATGATTCACTTTTCTCTTGTACCTTTTTTTTAAACATCATACAAGCACCATGGAGTTTTGAATTAATCACAAGCAATGCAGATAAATGGCCAGAAATGCATAACTTGGTCAAGAATTATTCCTTTTTCCAGGGATCACATGGTGTGTTTAGAGTCAGATTCTTCCAACTCAAACAACTGCAAAACATTTTCACATTATTATTCAAAACTTCCAACAGTATCTTTGTACAGTGCACTTCAGATACGATCTATTTTTCTGTTTCTCTCCTCCCTGAAGACTTGGAGTGTTGACAGCTGTAATCACACATGTGTTTGTCTTTCTAGAGCACAGGCCAAAGGATCATAATGGAATGTATCAGCTGCGAAATCAGCCTCCTGAAGAAAGAGGCGAAGATGAATGAGTACTCCAAAGGCAGCGTGGAGGTGCTTAGTCACACACGGAAATTATCGACTGTGGCTCCCTCTCTCCCACATGTAACAATACAGGCTGTGGACTCATCGGCACTGCCTTGATTAACTGTTTGATAAAATTATCTTTAAACTTGTGCCTCAAGGAATAGCTAATCTATCTCCAAGCTCTTCGTCATTAAGTGACAGCTTTAATTATCTCATTATTATTCTGTGCAGAAGTTTGTTGCTCTGACAAAACTCACTCGGCACATCACATTTGGTTTTAAATTGTACATGTCACATTTATGCTTTGGCACAGCATATCAGACATAATTCAATTCCAGCATACATGCCAAGCGATTGAAGTGCTGCCTCTTCAGCATTACACCAGCTATGCTCAATCTGGGCTTGTTCTCCCACAGGCTCGGCTCAGGGAAATAGGCCGGTTGGATCAGTGGCTCCTAAACGCCGAGCGAGCGGGGGCCCCTCAGGCCGTGCAGGCAGTGTGTGCCACTGTGTGGAGACTGTGCCTGCCTCTGCTGCAGCACAACCTCCGCAGGAACATCACAAGTGCTCTGCTCCGGGTGGCAAAGGCGCTGGAAGACATCCAGAGGTCTGTTTCCTACGTCTGTGGAGAGGAGTGTGGACACAGAGAGCATGACTAAGGGCTTGTGCTTGTTGTTACTGCAGCAGATGTCAGTACATCTCTTGTACAACATAGTGGAATATTTGCACCTATGGGGTCAAATCTTTTCACTGTGTTTCTGCATCTGCAAATTCTCCAAAACCAAGGCTGACATAAAAATTATACATACCTATCTATCGTCTAGTGTTAAAGTAAGAGTTAAAAATATACAAAAATCACAAATAACAATTGGAAGTGACTAGTCATAGTGCAAATATTCAAAATGAACACAAATAGAAGTCATATAAAGGACAACTTAATTCAGCACCATCTTAGAAGCACATGAGTGTTGATTATGCCAATGCAATTTTCATTTTTAAATTGGGAGTGCAACCAAAACAGGAGCCACTCAGCTGTAAATAGGTCATAACAGAATAATGCTGTCTTTGTTTTGATGTCCTCACCCGGGGCAACAGCCTCTTGGAAAATTACACCGGACACAAATGAATTGATTTCCAGAAGAATGATAATAGAATCTGCATCTCTTCAGGTTCTGGGGCCGAAATGCAATTACAGTTCTGCCAGTGTGATTTAGAAAGGGAAGAATATTATTATTTTATTGTAGTTCTTCATCAATACAAAATAAAAAGAAAACATAACACATAATAAGGTAGGTTAATATGGTGGTGTTAAGGTGAGCAAAGGAAGATGTCCCGTGTTTTATTGTTATAAATGGGTTTGAGTTACTCTGCAGTTTCAATTCAAAAATATTACCTCTTTTTAGTAATGTTGAGTCATATTAATTAAGTTGTTTGTGTGTTTTGGGATTTTTAAGACCAGATGGAGTTAGATCATCTAGTAATAATATTTAAAGGGGTCTTGATTGTTGAGGCTCTCAGAATTACAAAAAATTAGGCCATAGTGATTAACAATTTAAAACAGAATTTGACATCTTTGAATGAGAAAAACGCCTCAAAATATTGCACAGAACATGAAGCAAGAATGATGTTTTATTAAGAGGATTCTGTTTAAAGTTTACATTTCAAACACGTCAAGAAGAATGTACAGAAAGACTGAAATATGAACTGGCAAACTAATAGAAGAATCACATTTCAGAACAAGTTTGAACAGATCTATTGGGCAGAATAAGACAGCATATTTTGTTGGTTGTTGAGGAAATGATGGCACTTCAAAAACTGCAGCCTGTTGTGCTAGTTGCGTCCATTCAAATCGCAGCTTTGATTCGATTATGATTATTTTTGCAGTAACATAACATAACTAACATAACAGGAAGCTGAAACCCATGAACCCACTCCTTTTTTGTGAGACAGTACATTACATCAGGCTTTCTTCCACAGCCTGCTCCTGGAGACGCGCTGTCAGATTCACTCAGAGCTGGCGCTGATTGAAGAAGAGGAGGGCCGCCTGGAGGCTGCTCTGACTCACCTAAACAAAGCTCTGCAGCTGGATCCGAACGGGACGCACCGAGAGCCACTGTCATCCGCCTCTCGCCTCCTCCAGCTCAGAGCTCTACACAACACCCCGGCCCGGCCCGAGGACAGAGCAGCCATGCTAATGCAGCAGGTTTAGCCTTTTCTGTCACACTCCACACTATGTTTAATCCCACTTAAACCCTCTTACAAAGCACTACTGCTGCAAATGTCTCACACTGGATAAAAGAACAGACTTGTACTGTTTGCTTTGTGTGCAATATAACCTAAAGCTAAACTAACAATATATATATTTTTTTATATCAAAAATCTGTACAATGGCAGTTGCTTGGTTTCAGTCAGTTTTATATTGAATGCCGTAAATATACTGTTAATTTATTTATTTATTTCGGTCATAGGTATATTTTGACATTCATTCACAGACAGTCATATTTAACATACACAGACCGAAAAGGTGTAGGCTGAAGCTTAAGCGTATTATGCCTACTCTTTATTCCTTTATCAGAGTGTCACCTTAACACCATTTCATCTTCATAAATAGGGTTCATAGTTTCATTTTTGACAAAAGCGCGCGTTGCATGCTGGGAATTATTTTGGTCGGCGGCAAGAAACACTAATTCAACATGACGGACGGAGCGAGAAAGCACGTAAAGGGTATTGATCCCGGTTATTTATCCACTCTAACGGCAGAGGACCCAAGACCATTTGACCAGAAATTGGTCATAAGCATCAATGGACGCCAAATCACCCTTTTCAACCCCTACAAAAGGTGGATGAAACCAAATTTCTGGTCAGAATCGCCAACTACCTGGACAAATATTCACTTTGGCGATATCCACAATGACTTGGTGGAAACTCCTGGGCCATTCACAGCAGAAAAGATGAAAACCTCCAAGAGTCTCAATGTGTTGTTGAACTTGTTGGAGTCCACGGTTTGCTAGGAACTTCTACGTTTGCTCTGCGAATGTTTGAAAGCCGTTTAATTCGCCGTTAGCGGTTCTTTTCACTCGGAATACGAAAAAGACATTTTCCTTCTTCCGTGCTTCTATTTGTGCATCCGATAATGCAGCAGGAATTTACCATTATCGGGGATAAATACGCGAGGTTACGCACTGTGTTTGACCGCTATCCTGTTTCTTGCCTCCGACCAAAATATTTCCCAGCATGCAATGCGGGCTTTTAATAACAATGACGTCAGCTGAAACTCGCCTATATAGCAAGAGGAAACAAACAAATCAGAAACAGTACAACAAAGTACTACAGCACAAACTAAATATCATATTTCATGTGTCTGTCCAGAGTCAAACATTTAAATTTCTTTATAAAGTGAAAGAGACTGTTGCACAATTTTAGATTTTCTGTACAGTTGTTCCAGAGCTCTACCCCTTTAACAGATTTACAAAATTTCATAATGTTTGTTCTGATTTTCTTTTTGATAAACACGGCCGTGCCTCTGAGCTCATATTGGCTCTTTCGGATTTTGAACATGTTCTGTAAAGATTTTGACAGGAGATTGTTGTTTACTTTGAACATGATTTTCAGAGTATAAAGGTCGACTAAATCATAAAGAGTTTGAAGGTTTATAAATAACACATTGGTTGGTTCATGATAATGTGATTGCTCTTATTGCCTTTTTTTGCAAGGTAAAGACTGGATTTGTTGTTAATATGCAGTATAATCACGGGTATAGATTTCAGTTCAGTGCTGTTTCAGCATTAGTAGAGTTTCCTTTAGAGAATGGAAAAATGCTTTGTATCACATTTATGGCGGGGGGTTTGCTATGCTTGTCCCCACGGAATGGAAATGTTATTGCCTCGCCTAGAATGTTCTGCGGTACGGTATTGAACACACATTTACATTTTACAGTGAGTGTGTTACCTCTCCATAGGTCTGCCCTGTAATTTAGCCTTGTGTCATCACCTGCTTGTCTTCATGATGGAGACCAGTCATACTGTAAAATATTCTATGCAAAGCAATAATATCCTGCACATGGCACAAGCAGATAATGGATCCTTCACCAGTAAAGTTTCTGGATACTGTACATGTAAAACACCCTAACATGTTATTCATTGTTCAGGTGAAGGACATGCCAGATGACAACACAGACTGTCGCCCCGTGCTGGTCTCTGTGGGGCTTCTCTTGGCCCCTGATGTTTTCCGAGCGGTTTTGGACGCAGATGACCCAGCCAGAGGTACCTTATTTTATGGGCTATTAGGCACTCTGGATTATAAGATGCACTGTCATTAAATGGTCTATTTTCGAACTTTTTTCACAAATAAACCGCACCGGACTTTAAACGAAACCCAACAGTTCGATGGGTCAGTCGGACTTTGTTTGGCACGTTCACGGTGGCTCTGGGCTTTGTTCAGTTGTGGCGTGTAGGGAGGGTGCTGTCTGGGACCGCTGGATTGTTGGCGTGTTCACAGTGACTCAGTTGTTCAGTTGTGGCTCAGAAAGGCACATTGCGCTCGCTTTTTCGGTTTGTTCCTCCATTCCGTTCCTCGTCGGAGTGATGAGTGTGGCTGCGGGTGTGTTTCGCTGCGTGGTCGCTGTCTGCTCCGTGCGTGTTTGCGTACGCTGCGGGTGGTGTGGCTTTGTAGTTTACTGAAGTCGTGCTGGGACACCCGAGTGGATTCGTGTATGGGGCGCTCTGGCGCGGTTGTTTTTTGATGGGGTTGGGGGCTTAAGAGCGCGCCTAATAGCCCAGAAAATACGGTACAGTTCATTTTTGCCATTGCGTGCACCATCAAAATCTCCTTTAGGTCGTCAAGTTGGTGTCATTGAGCACTGAAAGAAAATGGAGTTTGGATTCCACTACATAAATTCAAACACAATGATGTCAGACGCCCATTGTCCGCTTAATATCCACATAATATAAAATAAATGAATCATCTAAATGTACTGGAACCCTGCTGTTAAATAGTTTCATGCCGCAGGTGCTTAATTGTGCTCGTATTATGTCCGTGCAGCTTTGTCTAAGTATTTAAGAGCAGATTTTCTTTTTTAATGAATGAGCAGCCTTGTATCCGACTGGAGCCTGCTTCCTTCAGAAAGCACACCTGCAAGCTGTACTTTGCCTTAATTGTGTAATGAGTTGCCGTCTCAGTAAATCACGCACCGATTAAAGTTTAATTGAATGTCAGGGTGCAAAATTACTGTGCTGTGCCATGCAAATTTCCAGTACCCCACATCTGTACAGTGCCTTTTTAGTGGCAGCGGTAAAATTTGTTATGAAATACAGTGCGTGATTTCTCTGGGGTAATGGCCGTGCCCGCTGTGCAGAGGCTGGCTGGGAGCACTCGGATGTGGAGCAACTGCCGACAGTCTTTGATCTTAAACTCATTTCGGCTCCTCGGTCTATGGCTCCACATCAGCATTCAGCAGCCCTAATGACCCAGGGACGAACCTGCCGTGTCCAGCCACGCACAGAGCTTCTGCCTGGGGTTAGGGTTAAAGTCTAGAGACCCCCGAAGGGTTTGTTTTTCTCTATAAAGCACTAGTAGTGTTTCCCAGAGAAAAACAATTAGCTTCAAAGTAATGATGTGAGAAAAGCATAATTAATTAAGGCAAAAAATATTCTAAAATGTAATCAAGCATTAATAGTTAATTACATATTTCACTGAAGAACCAAGATGAAGTGGGATTGGATAAGGTTGGATAGTAATTGCCCATAATGCGTAAGGTAGACATTTCAAACCTCACTCAAGCTCCAGGTTTCACATTTGTTGGCTCTGATTGAATTTATGAATATCCCAAAATATATAGATATATGTTTGGTGTATTGCATTTTGAGATATCCTTATATTTTTAAGTTATTTAAACTCTTACTCTTGTTTAACTTTAACTTGTATTCTACTCTCACATAATCCTATAACCCTTCTTTACAAGTCTGAATTTGATATCAGATTTACTTTTTAGTTACTTAGAAAATAGATTTTGAGAAAGTAAACCTAGTTTGAATGTATAAATTCCTACCATTTATTTGTTATAGCTGTTATAGTTAGTTGAATCCAAATTCTAATGCTTTGAATATTAGGTTTGTTCAACACTGATGCAGAAAAAAATAGGCTACATTCACTTAAATCCTTATACTGTACTGCTCTTCTAGGGCTGCTTGATTATGGAAAAAATCATTATCACGATTATTTTGGTCAATTTTGAAATCACCTTTTGAATAAAAGGTTATTTTTTTAGTTACGCGATGCATTTATTCCGCATTTCTTTCTCAAAAAAAAAAAACAAAACCAAAAAAAAAAAACAATCTGATAACTTACGCAAAACTTTCAAGTTGAAAATAAATATAGGCTACAAATATGTAGCCTGATTCATCAGCCAGTTTCACTTCGTGGAAACCATCTGACCTCGCAGCATTAGGATTTGTTCGCTTGACAGTAGGCGGATACTTTTTTTATTTAACCAATCGCTGCTGTTTGGTCGTGACATATATAATGCGCCAGTAGGAAGAAGGGCAATAACGTCTTTCCCCTTGATAAAATTCACCAAACATTCTATTTGTTTCCGGCTTGAAATCCTCGATTTTGGGAATCGTTGCAAACACAGAATGTATGTGTTCATTTACATCCATCTTGACTGTTTACTGTTGTGCTGTACCACAAAAGGGACCCACACAGGCGCTTGAGTTTGACGTCATGGCTTCACAGCTCTTCTCTGATTGGCCGGTGCACGGTCTACAACTTCCGGGGTTCTTGCAAACTGTCTAGTGTATGCCGACTCTTGACCTAGTCACTGAAGAGAAATGAATTAGGCAGAGGCACTAGGTGACGCCAGCCTGACTAATGAATATGTACCTTAGAGCAGTTTTGTGATATATAAAACATAAAATTATTAAAATATACTTTGAACATGATTTAAGGCATAGAAAAACATAAATGTAATCTAAAAAATAAATATACTTCTAATATCTTGTAGTTGCCAGTGAAGTTGATGGTTCTGGACCGATGGCAGAGCTCTGTGCGAAGGCTCAGCATCATTCAAATTCTGTCCAAATGGTCAACAAACACCTGGTTCACCAAGAGGACACCGACACCAAGGAAAGGTGAGGACAGGTCTTATTTCAGTATGACTTTGTGCCTGTAGCATATTCTATCTATGCACTAGTTCCCATCTGTTTTCCACCTATAGCAATAGTATCTAAATAATTACTTTCAGCCTCTGGCCTTCCTAGAATCGTTGGCAGTCTTTTAACTAAGCCTTGTTGAATGTATTACTGTATGCACCCATTGCTATCTGCTTGTTGCATTGTTTCCCTAATGTGTTGTTAAAGTTGTATTAAAAGTGTAGTAGTCCTAAAAGCCCTATTACAACCACTCGTTTACTGTTCAGAAAGAAGAGAAACTGCTTAATGGGGAGACTTTGTGGGACTAAGCAAAGCCATCAAAACAAACAGACCGCTTTGTGAAAAATTATTTATACCTTGTAAACAAACGCAATCCTACTCTTTGACCTCTGCCCACCTATAGACAATGTGTTTGTTTTTTTTTCTCTGGTTTGGTGATTGGCACAGACTGAAGCTTTGGGCAGCTCTGGCGAAGACGGCGAGGAAACAGGAAGTGTGGGATGTGTGCCGAGCAGCGTGCCGGTTCTGCCTGCTTTATGACGACGGGAGATGGAAGCTGTCCAAGGCAAACACTCAGAAGATGAAGGATCCCGAGGCTGAGGGTATGAAAATAAAACACTCAAAATCTAAAAAGAATGCCTGGAAGCTACTATATTAGTGATTTTTCAAGAGCGGTTTCTGTAAGACCATAATATAATCCTTATGAAATCTAATATTAATAAGAGCGTAATGTAAATGTAAATGTATTGTTCATAATTGTCTGTACTTATCTGGTTTGTATATTTGCGTGATAGGATTTCATGTTTTTCAAAGTGTTACTTAGTTTTATTAGGATAGTGGCTGTGATAAAAAATATATATGTATTAGTTTTAGATTAGTTATGTGGCAGTTTGTGGAAAAAAGTTGGTTATAAAAGTACAAAAACCCAAGAATAGTGGTGAGTTTTAAATATGGAATATGACAAGTCATCGAAAGCGAAAATTACATCCAAAATTCATGGACAATTTGTGCCCAGAGAACTTTTTTTATTTTATTTTTTGAGTAAACATGGATTTAACAAATAAAGGTGTTGGCATCTATTTTAATTTAAGATTAAGATTTGAATTAACATGGATTTAAACAAATAAAGGTGTTGGCATCTATTTTTTAATTTGTGTAATTTAGTAAGTTTTGGCTCTTGTTTACGTTATGCTTGCGAGGTAACAGAAATGGAATGACCTTTGGCATATGTTGTAAAGTTATGTGTTGAACCAGGAAGAAAAATTATAATCTTAACCAAAAAATAAGTAAATTAAATAAAAATACAGTAGAAAATAGAAAATATTGAAATGAGTAGTCTAACCTGTTGTGTTTATAATGAAATATGAAATAACTTTGTAAATTCTTCATCATTTTTCATAATTTCATGCAGATAGTTCTTCAAAAAGAGGAAGTCCAGATCAAAATACTTCAGACTCCTACAGAGAATTGCTGCGCCTGTTGGCTGAAATACACTTCATAAATGCAGAGGTAATATTACACTCACGTCATTTATGCAAGAATGTTTTAGTGCTGCTATTTTTTTAAATTTTAGGCTTGGCCATATAACCTAAGTGAAAGTCTTGTGTTGATGCCTGCCTTTGATGCTAGTACAGATTGTCACTCACACAGCGGGAAATGAAAGGGCACTCAGACACCGCCATCTTCTGCCAAGGTCCCATAGTCAAAATAATCCAATCAGTCTTCTCTTACCATGTTAGAAAAACACCGGAACCTGCTGCTTTTAGCCGGAAACCCTCTGGAATCCAATGAGTTTGTCCTTGAAGATGCCCTACACTGTCAACAAGTTATGTAAATGTGTTGTTGTATATTTCACGTTGACTATAAATATGGCTATGCTTTTCTTCATCTTCTAGGCCTCCGGTTACCTTGCATCTATAACCTCAGCATGTTTCTACTCGTGTATTCAGTCCCCTTCCTCTGAACATCCCCAAAGCATCTCAATCCGGCCTCTATCAACAAAACCTGCCACATGATCCTCTCCTCTGATGCACTTATAGAGCCTTATATAGTGTTTGTAAACAGAACACATGTATTATAAAAGCAGGGACCACTCCATGTTAGCTCTAATGCATTTACAATTGCGTTAGACTCCAAACATGGCATGTTTCAGTGAATGACAACCGCTCGACCACATGTGAGTAACTCCAGAGCTTCATTTGAAAACATTACCACATGCAACAGTGCTTACTTTAGTTTATGGACCCTAGTGCTTATAATGATAAGCACTAGGGTTAGGCAGTATCCAGATTTTGATACCGTTAAACCTTTTCAGCATTTTACCGTGGTATACCATATTACAGTATTACCAAAATGTTTTAGTACGATTTTGGTAAGCTACAAAGCTGCATCGCTATACGGCCTATGCGTATGACCTGCAGACATATAATCTCAGAAAAGTTTCACATGAACAATCTCCAACGCGATACACACAAGAAACAGACTCACCCTCAGCAGCACATCCTTCATCATAGAAAGAACACACATATTTCACTGAGTCCTGTCCTTTAGTCCGACAGAAGCTGAACCGCCTCAGCGCTCAAAGAAAGAGCTGTTTTTATCAGCGTTTTATAGTTGATGCAAATGAGCCATGTGGTTTCTTTAAAATGTAAACAAATGCGCTCTAAGCTGCAACACATTATTAAGCTGCAACACATTATTACTTAGTGTATATTTATGTTCTCCTCGTAGGAAATAAAAAAACAAACTTAAATTATCCACACACATTCACATTCATAATACACATTCACAAAGACAGGGAGGCAACGCCGGGCAAATTACGCCATGATCTGCCGATGGATCGTGGATGCCTGGGCTAAGGGATCAGTCTTCCGTGTCGTCTGTTTTTTTCGCTTAATGCTCCTTATAATCCAGTGCACCTTCTATATGAAAATAGATGAGAGAATTCAACATTATTGATATTGCGCCTTATAATTCGAAAAATGCGGTAATAATAAAAACACTAATATTAAAAGAACGATAATACCAAACTGCAGAAGTACTAGTTTTTTTTTTTTTTTTTTTTGGGACCAACTCACTTGCAGCCTGACTTGCCGTCTTGTCTTGATCTCCCTTATGAGCTTCCACATGACAACAGAACGAAACTAATCGAATGTCATCTCCCCACGCAGTTAAAGAAACATTATAGATACTATTAGTTTTAAATCATGATAGCATTACATTGAAAATACAACCACACAACAACAAAAAAACAAACACAGCAAACAAATTTAATATCAATAAATTATAATATTATATTAGGTCCTTATGTGCTGCAGATTTTTTTTATGACGGTAATGAAACTAAGTGCTGTTTGATACTGCGGGATAATACCGTATTACTGCCCAACCCTAATAAAAGCTAAAATTTTAACTAAAAACCTAGTGGGCCGCAATAGTTCAACAGTGAATATATAGTTTTATTTCAAATCCATAAAATTGTGAACTGTGGAGAATGGAGCTAGAAGTTTGATATTGTCAGAAGTCATATTTTTATTTTGCTGCCTTATTAAAATGAATTGGATAGAATATTTATATTGGTACCAGGCAGTGTGCGCAACTGTTCTGAACATATCACTTTGAAGGATCTATTCCTAATCTTAACTAACCTACTTTTACAGTTTTAACAATGCTTTCTCTTTCATTTTATCTGTTACCTTTAGCTTCTCTCCATATGTGCAACAAAGTGTAATCAATACTGCGCCTGACTTGACTTTCATTGATTTCTGTACCAATTATCACACCATATATTTTATCCCTGTAACATACATATTGAAAATACTGTAACTTAAGTGTATAATTCATCATACATACATTTTACACGGCCATAAATGTGATTCTAGGATTAAGAACAGGCCCTAGAGGTGGACTGACTGTAGTGGTAAATCTGTTTTGCTTGTGTTTGTAGCTTGTCTTATCATGTATCTTGTCTCATCCCACTCTCGCCTTGGCCCGAGGTTACACTTCCAAAGTCCAAAGAGATCCAGCAGCTTTGAAGGAAATAAAGGCACCGATCCACAGCATGGGTCGGACCAAGTCAGACTTTCACCCCTGCCTCTGCCCCCCGCCCCAATTCTTCCCCTTTATTCTTCAAACTATTCGCATTTCTTAAGAATATCATTATAACTACTGAGCTAATAAGACTCCCATGATGAGGATAGTTCTTTTTGTCTTGAGTGCCTTTTCCACCACTGAAATAAAGTCATCTCCAGATATTTTCCATGTCTTTGATCAGCCAAAACTGGGCTTTAAAATGCTCTGAGAAGCTGACAACAACTCTGCATGAGGTTTTCTTATCTGCTTGGTTTATAGAGTCATCAAAACCGTTGTCACCTTCGCTGTTATCCCTACAATTTGACAAATAAACATGTTTTTTTTATGTTTTTTTAGGCTGTTGTTCAGAAGCTCCACACAGAAGGGGTGCAGCTTAATACTTGTCCTGTTCCTCCTCTTGTAAATAAGCAGCGCGTGTCTGAGGATGATGCTGATTGGATTGTTTACAGGTACAGACTCTGAGTATATTTCTTAATGCTTCTCAATTGGTTTGTTTTTTGGAGGTTAAAATGTTGTTTAAATGTTGAAAGATTGATTCTAGATGTGTTTTTGGTTAGATTACTGCAGTTTATTTCAAGTTCTCCCTGCAGGGGTTGTCACAGCAAATCATCTACTTGTATCTTTGTTTAGTCTGGCATACATTTCCTTTAAGCTGCGTGTTACTCGACTTCTTATAGTAAAATGCACATGAAATGAATTACACATTAGATGAAGACTGCACGATATATCACTATCAATTGAAACTGCTTTTTGACTTGGTGCAGTTATGACATATGCAAAGGCTGCAATTATTTTTAGATAATAGAGTGTCCGATAAACAAGTTCTGAAATGCATGGGGTTCTTGTTTTGAACTCAGTCGAATCAAAATAACTTAATTTAACTTGAACTGTAGATAGAGCGTCAACACTATAAGGACACAAAAACAAAATAAAGGGCACATTCGTCAACACATACAGCAATAATAAACTGAATAATATATAAAAAAAAAAAAAAACATTAATGTTTTTGTTTTATCAGTTCATGTTTTCGCCTAAATGTCATTGCTGCTGGAGTTGTTTACAGTGTGCACTCTGAACACCATCCTATTTTCTGAACATAAATCTAATTGTAATTACAGTACAATTAGATTTTATTTTATTTTTTCCCAAAATCGTGGAGTCCTACACTATAGTACTAGGCTGAGGAGGGGAATTGCAAGTCAGATTTGAGTCACTATTTTTAGAACTAGAGACTTCTCTTGATAATACTGAGTAAGAATTGGGACTCGACTTGGACTTGAAGGCCAGTGACTTGGGACTTAACTCGGACTCAAGGCCTGTGACTTGAGAAGACTTGCAAAGCACTTTTAAATCTGAATTCTTTCTATTCTGACCATAATGATTCACACTAAGATCTTGTCAAGACATTTAAAAAGGAAAAATTTACTAAATTAATTTCTACAACTCTTACATACTCTATAAATATCAAATCCAATCTACTTTATTTCTATAGCACATTTTACAAACAAACAGTTTCCACAGTGCTGCACAAATACATAATAACAACAATAATACAATGATAAAATAAAAGCTCAGATTTAATCATACTAGTCTTAAAATAATAAAACCAGTGAAATAAAATAAGAGAAAATCCAAAGAATAGCAATAAATTGATAAAGGCAATAAAATAACATAAAACATAAATCAAATAAATAAAAGACACAGAGAACCACACAACTCACGCAGTGTTAAAAGCCAGAGAATAAAAGTGGGTCTTAAGATGAGACTTAAAACACTCCACTCTGGGGGCTGTTCGTATATAAATATACCTTGACTTTTTAAGTACAATTTAGTTTAAAATTAATATAAATTGCAAAAATTTGGTTTAAAGACTTGAAATGACTTGAAGCTCAAAGCAGATGACTTGGACATGACTTGGACTTATGGGCAAGTGACTCGAGACTCGACTTGGACTTGCCTGTATTTGACTTGCGATAAAAATCTTATTGTGAGTTCATCCTTTTGAAGATCTACTGTTTTGCTCTTAAGTCACTATTCTATTACATTCTGACTCTTGACACTTTCCCCACTCACTTCTCCAATTGGTAAGACTTTGACTGGATTTAACCAATCACAGAAAAGTGTGAGTATTCAGAAAAGGCCAATGACTTAATTTACTTCTTAAAGGCAAGAAAAATACTGTGTTCATTCATTGTGATAAAACTGAAATCATTATCTGGTTCCAGGAAAAGTCATTATTATATATGTTGTCCTATCGCTCATCCCTGCATTAGACATTAGAATATCTAAGTGCCAAGAAATCACAAAGTAGTTTTAGTAATTTTAACAACTTTGTCATCCATAACAACATGATAATTGACTTGATAATGAGGATAGAAATCGATTTAGTTTGTAAATTAACACAATCATACATTTTCTAAAGCACAAACGGCTGAACATATGCATTAAACTGACTTGAGAGACTGCTGAATTTGAATGAAGGAAAAGGATCCACATCGTACTTGTAAATGAGTTACACAAAGCTGACGCCACCTTTCGCGACCTTTTCAAAAGTGTAACTTCTGCACTACCTCCCACTGTTTTAAATGTGCAGCGCTGAATGTAATAATGTAGTTTCAGCAAGTGGTGACATTATTGTTAGTGAAAGCTTCTGCTGTGCATCCAGGTGGTTAGACAAATGTGTGGTGAACGCCTCATTACGAATAACCTTCACAACATCTTTAAGTGGTTCCTTTGTCTCCTTCTGCATAGTGCAATAGAGAAAGCGCATTAGCACACTTTCACTACAGCTGCTTTCCTCATTAGCTGTAAAAAATGATAACAGACTTACGAACTTGAATTCTTTTGGTGTAACATTGCTATTTCAAGTACAATTTTTATGCACGTAATTTTTTTGTGTTATTGTAAATTCATAAATGGTAAATGTGTCAAAATTAATGCAATTCTGATTTCAAGATACTTTTATTTTAAAGGGACAGTCCAGATTTTTGGACATAGGACCTCATTTCCTAGTGAGCCAGAGTATTGTTATTATTAAATTTATTGTTAAATATTCCATCCAGTCCTTGTATTTGCAGAGGTCACTTTACGCTGGTGCATGTCAATGGCCATAGTTATCCTGCCACTAAAAACAGTCTTACCCACTCCACAAAACACCCGTGCTAAATCTATTATTACACCAGACTGTCCATGTAAATGTCTGTGTTAATAGAATAACGTTTGAAATAAAACTAACCTTGCAACACTTGAATTGTTGCATGTTGACAAACAGAGCAGCAGTGGAATTTTAATTTGCCGTAAGATAGGTGCTAGGTGATATCGGTCCATCACTGCCAATCTTTCTATCAGGAAGTACAACTTGCTGCTAGCCTGATTCATCAGACGGTTTCACTTCGTGGAAACCGTCTGACCTCGCAGTGTTAGGATTCGTTCGCTCGACGGTAGCTGGGTACTTTTTTATTTAACCAAATCCCGTAGGAAGAAGGGCAATAACATCTTTCCCCTTGATAAAATTCACCAAACATTCTCTTTGTTCCGGTTTTAAATCCTCGATCTTGGAAATTGTTGCCAACACAGAATGTATGGCTCTTCGCTGATTGGCTGGTGCCCAAATTTGCACATCCGGGGTTTTTGAGAACCGTTTGAGAACCGTCTAGTATCTCTGATTCCTGACCTAGTTGCTGAAGAGAAATGAAATTGAGAGGAGGCACTAGGTGGCGCCAGCCTGGCTAACTCGCTGCTGTTGCTCAGATATAAATCCTTCAAATGCAAGGTTGGTTTTACTTCTAAAATTCTATCGACACTTCGATAGTCTGGTGTAGTATTAGTATTGCTTTGGGTGTTTTGTGGAATGGGTAAGACTGTTTTTAGTGGCAGGATAACTATGGCCATTGACATGCACTAGCCTAGCACCAGTGACCTCTGCAAATACAAGGACTGGATGGAATATTTAAAAAAGTGTCTCCACACGTCTCCAACACTCTGACTCAGTAGGAAATTAGGCCCTATGTCCAAAATTCTAGACTGTCCCTTTAATAAGCCCCATGTGCCATTCATTTTGGATGTTTGTAATTGCACTGAAAAACATAAAAAAAAAACAAAAAAAAAAAACATGCACTGTTAACGGGCTTGCATTTCCACAAACCTGACTTGACCTACTGCTTGTCTCTAGTTCAAATATTGCTCCTTTGACTTTGACACGGTATGGCAAAACGTATCTCTATGCAGAATGTTTCAAAGTGTGGTTTTAATTGGCTATTTCCATGGAATCATTCAAGTGACAGCTTCTGAAAGTGACCTGTTGTCGCTTTTAACTTATTTTATTTTATTTATAGTAGAGATACCTTTGTTTTTGGCATTATTCTGTGTTCTTTGCCAACTTCTGTTTTCCCACTCCTCTTGTCTTTTCACAGAGATTGGATCATTTCTCTGTCAGCCTACGCCTGCTTGGCTTTCTTGCGCGCAGCCGAGCTCGGGGCAGAGATCTCCGAGCCGTGGGTTGTTGCAAACGCTGCCATTTACCTGTGGAATTACAACAAGCATCTACTCTCACAGAGGCGCTACCAGCTTCTCCTGCCCACCTTCAGGCCTGTGGTGGACCTTATGCAGAAGATACAGTACACTGGGTAGGCTGGCTCTTAAAATACTACTGTGGTCTTTTACCTTTTGTTCTGATCTGAGAATAGACACAAGCTCACGAAGAATAAAACTGTATGGTAATATCACTGGCACATTTGTTTACTTGATTTCCTCAGTGTTAGAACTTCATATTATCAACTAGGGCTGTTGGTCATTAGTCGTTTATTTGATGATTTTATTGAGCTGGCAAGGATTTAGACTATTAGTGAAAAGTTTAGACACACCATCTCATTCTTTTTTTCTTCTTTATTTTTACTACCTTCTACACTTTCTATACATACAAAAGAGCTCAAATATATGAAGTAAGATATGTGGAATTTTGTAGCAACCATGTCTTTGTAATCAGTCATCCAAGTAGGATCATAGAACTATAATAAAATCTGGAAGATGAATCCAAGATGGCGCTGTATTGTTTTCAGTGGCCTGTGCTCATTAGAACATGGGCCCAAAAAAAAGGACCATTGGACAATCAGAGCGAGAGCTGCTAGAGCAGAGCTGGCGTGGGCTCAGAGCAGGGCCAGGATAACTTTTACAAAGTTAACTTTTAGGCGCTTTGAGGATTTAAAAAGTTTAAAAAGTTTATGTTGTGAAAAAAGAAAAGAATCCCTACAAAACCCGACCTTTGTGAAAGTTGTCGATACCTTGTCAGCTGAACACGGGACAGTTTGAATTCCCCAAAAATGCATTGTGCTTTTATGTGAGAATTCTTTCTGGAACCAAGATCTCAGGAGCTGCAGTACCAATGGAGCAGCCACTAGTCGGTCTCGAGCCGGTACAGAAGGGGAATGCCTTATCCAGTTTTTATTATGTGTCCATGGGTGGAATCCATGACAAAAGAAAGATTCGGTAACACTTTATAATAACTACACCTTATTTAGCCTCAATAAAGCATGAACAAAGACTTAATTAATAATGAACAAATACTTAATTAAAGCATAATTAGTCTTCACTTTACAAAATCTCTTGAAAAGACTTAACTAACAGGTAATAGCTGCTTGAATGAGCATTGCATTGCAGTATTAGTAAATCATTCTCTCATGGTTTACTAATCTTTAATAAATGTTCAAATCTGTACACAAATATGCATTTACAAATACACACACAAGTGGTTAGTTTATGGGTAAGTAAATATACAATAAGTATGAGTAACTATTTACAGTACAAGCTAATTAAGTGCAAGTTAAGTGCTAATTAAGGTAGTAGTTAAGTAGTTATTAAGCCTGAATGACTCTTAGTTAAGTATTTGTTCATTATTAATTAAGTCTTAGTTTGTTCATGCTTTATTAAGGCTAAATAAGGTGTAGTAATTATAAAGTGTTACCAAAGATTCGATTCTGTCAACTGTCAACTGTTATTTTTGCATGTAGCAATGAAAAAAGTTAAATAACTACTAAATATTTTTCAATAAAGCAGAAGGTGGCTACTTGGAGTAGTCAGTTTACCTCTTTTCTTTACTAAATAATCCCATACACGGTACTTCATAAATTTAATGTCTTCTGTGTGTATATACATTGTAGAAAGTAGTAAAAATAAAGAGAAATGAGAAAGCGTATTCAAACTTTTGACTGGTAGCGTATACGCGGAAAGAAGAAGTGGGTGGGTGACTGAGTTCGTAAGTTCAGATTCATAGGTTGAATCTGTCTTTATATAAATACATTGTTTCCTAGTACTTTTGTCTGCATAAATAGTTGTTTTTGTATGAACTCCCGTGGTGTAGTCTTGTAAGTGCAGTTTGGGTCAGATATACGGAGAAGCAGACAATGAAGCAGGTCTAAACAAGTGCTATTTTCATCACAACTGAGATTATGTATGGACCATTATTAAACTTTTCACTCTGTGTCCTTTCTACAAGTTCTGTTATTATGGTGTAAGCCACTCCCCGTATTTTACACACTTAAGAAGTTATAAGAGACTAATTTCTTTGGCTTATTTTGAGAACTTTAATAACATGCCATTCTTACACAAGGCTTGCACTTTTTACTCTGATGACTGCACATTTTCACTGACTTTGTGAATGGGTTTCTTCCGCCTGTCAATCACTTACCCAACCCCTGAGGACCTCTGTGTAAACATGCTCTATCCCTCCAGGTGAAACTAGCAAATTACTCCTATTCAGCGACACCGATGCGTCCACTACAATAGTAATTTCAGAGTCTGTCAAACCTGTCCCAGTGAAGTTTTCTGTGGACCTATTCACTGGGAAATCCACAGAGCAAAAAAGGAGTTTAACCTCTGCTTCTGGAGAGCCAAGCACAGCCCAAATGTCCTCAGGCATTAATTATATTCATTATGTAACCCTCTGACTTTCTGAAAACACACAGTTACTTACAAGAAAGTAGTAAAAATACATTTGTTTGTCCTCCTGTCCCGGACTTGCTTTATTTTTAGTTCTCATGTCAGTCTGATGCATTTTGGTCTCTTAGGGATCGCGCTCTGTTTGCAATGCTGTGTAACGCGGTGGCTCGAGGCCTCATCCAGCCCCTGTCTGCTCCTGTCGTCGTGAAGACGCCAGTTCCAGTGGACAGAGGTAGAGCCAGAGGGGGCTCTGCCAGCGTGAGTGGGCCTGCACTGCACCCATCCGTCTTACAGGATGCCCGCAAGGCTCTAGAGGTACTGAGAGAGGTGGACCTGTGCTAGAACAGGGGATACTGAGGGCTGCTGATGACTCACATGTTTAACGCTCAAATCCTGCATATTTTGGCTGAGTTCTTCTCTCAAACAGAAATGTCATGTAATACAGGAAGTGCTCCACTGTGTTTTAATCTCCACACACCTTCATCAGAATCATTTGGATCATTTCATCTCTGGAAATTTTAATCTCTATTCTAAAGGAAAAGGTTGTTGTTAACTTGAAAGCTTCCACTTCATGACATGAAAAGATGAAGCTTTTCAACATGTGTAAATGAAACAAAACAAACTCTGGGTATGTTTTTCAGTTTTGACACTAAATTAGAACAAGGCTCACAAGAATCCGTCTTGTGTAACCAAACCTGTAGCACTACACGATGATTGGGCTTAATAAAACATGAACAAAGACTCATATTGAGCAAATACTCATAATCAACACATTGTTTATTAAGAATGATTCAGGCTTAGTAATTACTTAAGGAAAAGGTTTGTGTTAGGATTTTGAGATATGGTAATAACTAAGTACAAAGCCTGGGTCATTCTTATTAAACTGTTCATTATGATTTAAATCTTTGTTCATACATTATTAAGGCATGAATAAGTGTAGTTACTGAAAGCATTACAGAAATTACCTTTTATTTATAATAATAATAATAACAATAATACTGTATTTTTCTGAGTTTAAGTTGCTCCGGAGCATAAGTCGCACAAGCCAAAAAATGCATAATGTAGAATTAAAAAACATTTATAAGTCACACCGGACTATAAGTTGCACTTTTTGGGGGAAATTTATTTTATAAATTCAGAGACCAGGAACTGACATTTCATCTTGAAAGGCAAGTTCTAGTAATAACAATAGAACAGAGAACAACAGACTGTTAACGTCACATATGAACAGTTCTTTAGATAACTATAACATAAACAACAGAACAGAACAGAACAAGTTTAACAAACTCTCCATCTCACTCCAAATCAGTAAATCCATTGAATTTTTCATCCTCGGTGTCACTTCTGAGTAACTCCATGACCTCTGAAGGTAAACCATAGATCCATGAGGTAAACAGAGCGCAGCTTCCTCTTCTGCATAGCTGTCGTCAGACTCAGCATCAGTTCCAGTTAGAATTATTTCCTTTCCGACCTTTCTTAATCCCGACAGGACGGTTTCGGTTGTCATTGAAATCCTCAGAAGTTTCTCTCTCACTCCAAACTTTCTTTCTGCTGCTGAATATTTCACTACTTTCAGCAGGACAGCGGCTTTTTCTGCAGGAAACATGTGCAGTAGAACCATGTGACAGTGGGACAATAGCAGCAGATACTGACACACAAGCCTAGAGCGCCCTCTTACAGCTCTCAGTCTGAAAATGTTAATATATAAATCGTACCAGAATATAAATTGCAGGACCACCCAAACCATGAAAAAAAAGTGTGACTTATAGTCCGAAAAATATGGTAATAATAATAACAATATTTCAAGTTACATTGCACTTTTTGGACATTCACAGATGCTTTACGTGCAAAGAAAAAGCAAACAACAGCAAAAAACTGCCTGAAGGAAAAGTCAGCTAAACCAAACTTGTTGAAAATCCCAATGAGAATATTTATTCATGGTTTACTGATGTCTTATTTAATCGATGTGCTGGCAGTAGGTGGATGCACTGTAACCTTCCTGACAGCTACTTGGATCCATTTTGATTTAACTTAAAATAACACCTCCTGAAATCCATTTTCTAAAAGCACATTGGATGTATGACTTATTTTCTCAAGGGTCAAATGATACAGTCTGTTTGTGAAATATATGCAATCATATATTATGACCTATATTTAAACAGTAATTTACAGAGGAGGTGGGTGGACAGATTGGCGAGAGTGAGGGGAAGACCTGGAGAAATGAGTTTGGGATTGAATCACAACGTTCAGTCCATTTGGAATCTTAGTGCTTACACAGCCAGTGCAGTATTCAGCTTCAAAACTACTTCTACTTTGTGGTCATTGGTTAAACAGTAGGATTTATGTTCCAGTAATACTTTTTTCATGTGTGTATGTGTGTACACTTGAAAAAAAAATGAAAACAAAATGAAAAAATGACACAGTAATTAAAAGAAGAAGAATTAAGAAGAAACAAGGCTAAGATAATAAAAAAAAAGAACTTGAACTTGGTATAGCTCTACGTCAATGTTGAAAAAACGATAAAAGTAAAATTCTAGACGACACTTCCTTATTATCTTACAGAAGCAGATTGTAGAAGAAGTTTATAATTTATTTTTTAAATCACAGCCCAGAGTAGTGGACAGATAAATAGACGGTGTAAACATGTTCGCCATAGTGTGTTAACACTGGAGAAGCCGTGCGTACGCGACAATAGCTTTCATCTTTTTATCTTTAATACATTTTGACAGATGCACATTCAAAGCAGAAATCATATAGGCTTGTTTACTTCTAGTTTTGCACACAGACAATCACATGTGACTGTCATACAAGTGTCTATGTGCCACTGAAGTTATCGAATTTGTCACATCTTCCCACTATTCCAATTAACGCTGCCTTTCTTTCTTCTTCCCCATTCAAAGGATTTCATGAATATCAGCTGTAACCGGGATAAAAGTCATTTTAGCGGTGAATTATTCACTACATTTCATCTTATCTGTTTCTCTTTGGGTGGAAAACGTCATCTTTAATGCATTTTTCATAAATAGTGCAGAGTTCAGCAGAGGTCAGATACAGTGGTCTTGAACAAAGTCGTCCTGGTTTTTCTTTGCACTTTTTCATTGCACTGTCTGTATGGGTTGAGTGGAGAGTTGACAGGCTGCCAAAAGAGGCCTAGGGCAACGCAATGTCCAGACTGAACCAAGGTCGGAGATACTTGTGTTGGCAATATACTGCTGCGTAGAACTATTCCATATATATTCAAAAAGTTGCTATCACTAAATGTATTTTTTTTAGTTGCTGGCTGGTTCACCCATGGTTTGGCCTAATAGTAACCATTTTTTGAGATTCTAATATTTTGTGTCAAGTTTATGATTAATATACACTATCAGCCTAAAGTTTTAGAACACCACACTTTTTCAGTTTTTTTTACTGTTTATTGTTGACAAAAAACGTATTCTAAACTTTTGATTCATGAAAGTGTCCACCTTTGACAGATATAACAGCTGAACACACTCGTGGCTTGTTCTTTTTACAATAGAAATCAAATATTCTTCAGAAAGTTCTTCCCAAGTCTGTTGCAGAAGCTCCCATAAATGTGTGGCACTGGGTTTAAGTCTGGAGACTGTGCTGGACACTCCATGTTTTCAAGCTTCACCGTCTTGTTCTTTTTTCTTGAGGTAGTTTTGGCAGAGCTTGGACTTGTGTTTTGCATCTTTTATCTTTTTTTTAGGGTTAGGGTTTTAGGTTTTGGGTTTTTTTTAAACCTCTGGCTCTTCAGTACTTACATTTGTACCATTTTAAGCTCTTCATTGGACTTGCACGACTTGAACAGCAATAAATAACAAAAAAATTTGAGTGTTCTAAAACTTTTGACAGGTAGTGTGTCTGCTTATACATATGAACTAAAAACTGTGGAAATATGCTAATGTGAACAAAAGTAACAAAAGTTTATTCAATTCAGTTACCTGGGTATGGTCACAGTATAATGTTGATGGGGTTTTTTTTTGTTTGTTTGTTTTTTATGTAATCCTATGACTTGTTGAGCAATTTTGGCCTTTGCTCTTTATCTAAAATAGTTATAAAACCCAACTATGGTACATGCTGTAAACTGTAAAATTCCGGTAAAGGTGATTCTGAGTCGTATGTTTTCCTTCTCCAGCTGTGTGATTTGGCTCTGAAGTTGTCCAGCGGCGGTGTCCCTGGGGAGGTGGTCCCGATTGCAGTGAGGAGCCAGGTGGTGTCCACATGGGTCCAGACCAAGAGGCTGTTGCAGCAGCAGATCGGCTCGGCCCTGGACCCGGGGGATGAGGTACCACCACTCCACTCTCAAATAACAGTAATAAAAGTAATGTTTCATATACAGCATTTCTTAAAGGTTCACTGTGTAACTTTTCAGGTTGAGGGGTCTGCCACCTGTCTAATGTCATGGAGATGTTTTATTTGTTTTTTGTCTGACAGGTTCCATAGTAAGACATTAAACATAGATATCTTACCTATCTATCAATATGAATGGATGGATTGATAGATTCTAACTAGGGGTGTAAGTAAAAAATTGTTTCAGAGATATATCGTGATACTTCATTCTCGAATCGATTCAAAATTGATCCAAATTGATTTTTTAAATATTATTTTTATTTATTATTTAAAATATTATTTTTTTATTTAAATATATTTTTTCCCAAAAATTCATTAGTTACATTCACTGTTCTCATGATTTTTTTTTTTTTTTAAATATATAAATTATATCTCTATTGTGTTCTCTTGAAGGTGTATTTGACTGTATTATTAGAAGTAATTATTGATAAATCTAATTTATTTATTTATTTATTTATTTATTTATTTATTTATTTATTTATTTTTATTTATTTATTTATTTATGGGACCCCCATTAGTCTTTACTGGGGTAAAGACTATTCTTCCTGGGGTCCAAGTTGGCATAATTTACAATAAAATGCTCCATTAATAACAAAAAGTTCACACATAAGTTGATACAGTCCTGTTCCATAGTATATTGCACTACACAACACTACTACAATTATAATATATACAATAAATTACAATGCATAACTAGTGACTAAATATAACTATATAATAAGTACAATAATAATATGTACAATTTCCAATATATTTCTTTAACATTTTCTTAAAACTTGGTTCATGCTTGTGAACAGTTAAGGTTTGGGGGAGCGTGTTCCAAAGCAACATCACTCTGTACAGAACAGTTCTTTTCAGAGCATTAGTCCTGGGCAGTGGAAGTATAAAATGTCCATGTGAAGCTTGTCTTGTGATAAAACCATGCTGCCCACTAGAGGGCAGTAGTTGCGCAAACAGGCTCAGCGGTCTTTGTAAAATACATACATTTAAAAAAAACAAGAATATATCATCCATTGTTTTAGTATTGGGATATATCGTGATATAGTGAGTCATGATAAGCGAATCATGATATGTATCGTGTGACTCAAGGCAATACACACCCCCAATTCTAACATTAAGTTATATGTGTATTTTTTATTCTTTTATAAACTTTTATTTATTAAGTTTGTATCCCCATCTATGTACCATTGATAAAAATCCAAATGTTACTTGTGTTTTCCATTTTACAGATATAAAATAAATATACCGTATGTTTTACAAAGTGAACCAAATCTTTTGAGAAGCTGTGGTTGAATATGATTCATGAGAAAGAGGGCAAGACCTCGAGAAATGAGTTGGGGATTGAATCACTGCATTCATGGCTGAGGTCGTGTAGAGTGAGAGTTCTGTAGAAACAATATTCAACAACATTTGAGTTATCACATTTCAAATCACTACAGCTACAACTACTGCTAATTTAATTTGCAGTGATATTACGTGTCTAATGGTAGAATTTTAGGAGTTACAATGGTGACACAAAATCCCACATTAACAAATGTTTAAAGATTTTCTGAAAAGTCAAGAAAAAACACAATGGATTTAAACCAGAAGTCTCCAACCTTTTCTCTTTATTTAGTTTAGTTAATTTATTTAATGAGACAAGGACAGTGCACAATGTACATTAACCTTAACACGAAAGATGCATTGTACCGGGTTGTTGGCTTGATTCATTAGTTGGTTTCACTTTGTAGAAACCGTCTGACCTCACAGTGTTAGAATTCATTCGCTCGATGGTACTTTTTTATTTAACCAATCGCTGCTATTTGGTCATGATGTATGTAACGTGCCACTAACGGGACTTACTGGTGTATTAAGCTTTTCCCAAATCCCCTAGGAAGAAGGGCAATAACGTCTTTCCCCTTGATTAAAATTCATCAAACATTCTCTTTGTTCCGGCTTTAAATCCTTGATCTTGGAATCATTGCCAACACAGAATGTATGGCTCTTCGCTGATCGGCTGGTGCCCGAACTCGCACTTCCGAGGTTTTTGTGAACCGTCTAGTGTATTCCGATTCCTGACCTAGTCGCTGGAGAGAAATGAAATTGAGTGGAGGCACTAGGTGGCGCCAGCCTGACTACCAGGCTGTAGCACCAGTGCTAATTTCCACCTGTCGTCCCTGGGCAGATTAATTGATTGATTGTATTTAATTGACCTTAGCTATCAACTATCAGCTGTTCTTCCTGGAGACCTATGTCGCATGTTTTGGCTTTACAAAACAAAAATGCCAGAAAGCTACTCATTTTAACGGCTGTAAGAAATTGAGACGATGATAAGAAAGAGAGCGAGCCTTTGGGTACAGTTAGATGCCTATAAAACATAAACCATGGTCCATTTATTAGTTGGTATTAAAGGCTTCGGAATGATACAATGGTAATAGGCATGTAATTAACTAATGCTTTGTTATTCAGCACAATGGTGTAATTCTGAAATCCCTTGGCGAGCTACTCAGACGGGGGTGGAGAGCTACTGGTAGCTCCCGAGCTACAGGTTGGAGACCCCTGATTTAAACACAATTAAACGCAATTTCAGGGACATGGATTTTCAACAGAAATGGTGAGTGTGAGTGATTGAAAAACTGTTAATTTGCTAATGTGAGTGTAATTTCATGTGTGAGAGACTTGTTTAAGAGCACAAATCAGCTCACCTGATGTAGTTCCAGCCAAGTCAGCTCTTTACGGTCAGATTCTGTTAAAGAATATAGCACAAATTAAAGTCTAGTAAAGCCTCGGATAGAGCAGAGCGTCTAAGGAAGGTTATTTTCACAAACAAACATGTAACAAAGAATAATTTTATGGAAATAATATCTTTTCATCATCAAACATAAGCACCGTTCTGAATGAAGTGCTGTTTAATTTTTTCAGTTCAGAGTTATTTCCTGATGACAGACAGCTCAATCACATTTTGGTCAGGTCTGGGTACACGGCATTATTCATTTGAAAGTTTATTAAGTAAGGATCAAATGGAAGCAGGCAGGAAATAACTATTTAATTGGATTATTCATTAAGATATTTTTCTGCTCTGTTTACAGATTTTCAAATTGCAAATGACTTCTTCAATTTATTTTGGAAATGTGTTCAAAATTGAGACATTACATTTAAATGAATATGTTAATCTTGCACTTTTCATGATTCCTGACTTCATGTTTTATTTACTAGCAGCAGCTAATTATCTGTGCATGTTATTAGGAGAAATTTTGAGTACAGTTTTTAAAGTTTTTGTCACGGTGCAGTTAAAGTGAAAACATAATGCATTGACAGCTTAGAAAACTTTTAATTGGCAAATATTTAAAAATTAAAGCATAAGGGATTATTTCCGAGACATGACTGCTGTGGCATGCTGTCATAATTACATTCACTTAAAATGTGCTCAGCCTACTTTACACGTCTTATATAAACTCACATGAATAATTCAAACACATGACAGAAGCCTGGTTTTAGTGGGTTAATGCATCTTTATGTTGCAGCTGTAACCACCAGAGTTCATTTCTCTGTTCAGACTATGTGAAGAAAGGCTTATGTTTCTGTTTATTCTGTTTATTCTGTAGGTGGGAGTGCTTAAATTTAGCATTTTGTAACATTTCCAGTGGAGGGTCCGCCATCTGTTTGTCTCCATGGTGACATCATTGCTTTGCCTGGGATTTTCCACCCTATGGCATTAAAATATTACAGTATATATACAGTATATCTTGTATTTATTCCATTAGAGGTGTTTTAATCGTCAAAACTACCACAAAAACATGCATTACTTCTGTCAGCGGGTCCACTTCTTTACAGATCTGATCCTATGACTTGGCCTGGTGATGTGGCCTGCTTGTCTTCATGGAGAAAATTAAATTTAATTCCATACTGTAGAATATTTCAGGAAAAAACATGGAGTCAACCCGTGGCAGACTCTCTACCAGAAAAGTGACACAGTGTACCTTTAAAGTGCATATGACATGTTAGACCACTCATTTATGAAAAATATAGTTAACATCTTTACATTTAAGATTTTACCATATTTTTTGGACTACAAGTCACTCCGGAGTACAAGTTGCACCAACCCAAAAATGCGTAATGAAGAAGAAAAAAAAACATATAAGTCGCACTGTTTGGAGGAAATTTATTTTATAAAATCAGAGACCAGGAACTAACATTTTGTCTTGAAAGGCAAGTTCTAGTAATAACAATAGCACAGAGAACAACAAGCTGAATGGGTTTCTGGTATGTTAACGTCACATATGAACAGTTATTTAGATAACTAGACTATAACATAAACAACATAACATAACAAGTTTACCAAACTCTCGATCTCACTCCAAATCACTAAATCCATTGAATTCATCATCTTCAGTGTCACTTCTGAGCAACTCCACGACCTCCAGAGGTAAACCATAGATGTAAACGGAGCACTGCTTCCTCTTCTGTGTCGCTGTCATCAGACTCAGCATCAGTTCCAGTTAGAATTATTCTGGCCCTTCTGAATCCCGACAGGATGGTTTCGGTTGTCATTGAAGTTCAGGCTTTGTCCATTCATCCAGTGACTTCCAGGAAAGATACATGGCGCACCCTCCCTGCTGCCGTGAAGCTGTCTTCTCCATCCCCGCTTTCCGCCAGTCCCTCACAAGTTTCTCTCTCACTCCAAACTCTCTTTCTGCTGCTTGATTACCGTTTTCAGCTGCATATTTCACTACTTGCAGCAAGATAGCAGCTTTTTCTCCAGGAGGCATGCGCAGTAGAGAGCGAAGTGACAGTGGTACAAGAGTAATAGTAGTACTAGATACCGGCACACAAGCCTAGAGCGCCCTCTTACGGCTGTCAGTCTGAATTTTTTTTTATATATAAGTCGCACTGGAGCATAAGTCGCAGGACCACCCAAACCATGAAAAAAAAGTGCGACATATAGTCTGAAAAATACCGTATGTATGTATTAAATTGCAAGTGTTTTAATTGTCAAAACTACCACAAAAACATGCATTTTTTTCTGTCAACAAACTTGGCCTGCTGATGTGTCCTGCTTGTCTCCATGGAGATAGTTAAATTAAATGCCATACTGTTGAACATTTCAGGAAATAACATGGAGTCAACCTGTGGCGGGCTCTCTACCAGAAAAGTCACACAGTGTACCTTTAAAGTGCATATGACAGAAACATAGTTAATATCATTACATTTAAGATTTTACTCACAATCTTGAGCAGTTTTTACTAGTTGTATTGTACAGTAATTTTTGTACAGGTTTTAATTTTACTTGCTTTTTGGACAGCAGATATGAGATACGCAGAGATATTATAGCTGCCTCAGTTGTGATTTGACAAATAAAAATAAATGACAGTACCGTTATTTTGTTAAATCAATGTGACCCTGCAACCCTTGTCAATAAATTGCCCCTGTATTTTTGATGTAAATGTTGATGACATAGGTAGAGGAATTCTGTTTTAGAACTTAGCTCTAGTTCCTGTATTTTACAACTAACACATTAAAGGCTGACACACACTACAGGGGAATTTGCCTGATTTAGGCTGCGATTTGTTTCACCCCCGAGCTCGAGGAGGTGTGACCCGACTTTCTATCCTCGTATGTGATTTTGAAGCTGCTGTGCTCCTTGTGTGTGTGTGTGTGCTCTTCATGTGTGTTGTCAGTGTGACTCTGAACTGCTCTGTCATATCATAACAGTAAAACATCACCAGCACTGCACCAGCCAATAAAACAGAGCATCAGGGGCAGAGAAGTGACAGACAGAGGCGTAAGCTCCAAACTCAGGAAATAGCCAAAATAATGAGAAGACTTTATTACTCACCTCTCGTAAAGTTTTACATTTAAACTGCAGCATCTTCATTCACATTATCCATAGAATTTGACCTCTGCAAATAATGACACCCAGTCCACAAAACAGAGCTATTTATCCAGCTTGAAGCGAGAGTAGTTCCTCAAGTGTCTCTGTTTACATCCATGCAGAGCACGGATTGAGGTGAAGCTGCAGATTTGTGATAGTGACTCTACTTCCTGTGGACTTTATCCCCAGTCTTCTGTGCATTAAAAATCTTGTATCTGAAGTATTGCACCACATTTAACAAAGACTAGTCACACAGTTTTGACTTGCTTCTAAACTAGAAGTGCTCTGATCTTTTGAACATTTAAGAGTGAGTTGTTTTACTCTAGACAGGAAATAGCTGACGTGAGGTGCGCTCACAGCCATATCCCGCAGCGATCTTTGAGATCGGAGATTTAATATTTAATCAGAAGACTCGCCTTGTGTCTGTGGTGTGCACTTTTTGTTGCATGTTTAAAAATCATTTAAATCCTGTAGTGTGTGGCGGCCTTTAGAAGTGTGATTCATTGCTGAAGAAAATATTGACAATAAACAATAATACTGAAACAAATTCATGCCACTGACTCACTAAAGCAGAATAACATATTCAAAATGGACAATATTGTTAAAAACATGACCTCCAATAATCCAATAAAGTAAATACTGTGACAGGCCTAAACCCTGGTGTTCACTGCACAATTTTTTTCATCTTGTTTGGTTGTTGGATGTCGCACTGCACGATACAATAAATTTAAATTGTATGACTTCACACAGACATGTGATGGTGTTCGCGATCAGTTGTGAGTACGACCACTGTTTATCTGAGCGAATATCAGGCTCCAGCTCTGTGTGGTAATGTCTCCATAACTGTAAACTAAGGAATTTTGTAAGTCTAAAGGAATGATATAGGAATGATCACGCTCCTTCTCCCTGTTTCTGAATGAATACGACACTCCTCTGACCGCTGCTGCCAAGAGAGTAGCTCCAAACCTGCGAGACATCTCCTCGACTCTGTCATAACCCAGAGCTGTCAATCAAAGCACCGGCCTGAACCAGCGCCACTGTCCTCATCTCTCACCCCCGCCCCATACAGAGAGGGAGTAAAAGAGAGTCAACGAAATAGAAATGCGGAAAAATACTGCTGGCCACGAAGATTGATACCAGACACAGCGAGAGGCGGGCTACTCCAAACTATCAGACAGGCTTGATATCAGTCGCAGTTTGTCTTTGGCCGTACGATGGTTGAGCTTAGTCCCAGTCTCGCTCTGAAAACTACAACTCATGATTTTTAGCTGTGACTCAAGAACAAAATCGTGCAGTGGACACCAATCGCTTAAAGGTCGTATAGAATATTTTCCAAGGAAAGAGAATTACAGTGACTGTTTGTCTTTTTACAAATGTTCCTTCTTCTGTTAGCGACATCAAAAATGGACTTTCTTTTGCGGCGAACTGGTCGTGAATTCTTGTCTGCCATTACGACAAACTTTGTGCAAACTGAGAGGAAGCTGCAGTTCGAAAAAGATGCCAAGAACCGCAGTGTTGGTTGAGTAAATGGCATCAGTGCGTGAGAGGTGAACGTAAACCACGCAATCCCAACGCGCCGGCGAGTCAGTGACACTAGAAACGTAGGCAGTTTGATTGACAACCCAACAGCCAATAGATAAAGAGGTAGCCTTGTTATCTATTGGCTGATGTTTATTTGCCCCCACCATGTCCACAGGTGATGGATTTTCATTCTTTTTTTTTTTCGTCATCGTAATTACAGGCTGCTGGATCTCTATAATTCTATTTTGAATTTTTATTGACAATTTGAAAAAAACAAAAAAAAAAATCCTCCATACAACCTTTAATTTAAAAGTGTTGTATCTTCAACCCTCATCAAACATATGAGCTTAAATGTGTAACTTTAGGTGATACAACTTAATAAGACACAAGTTAGGACTATTTGTATTCACCCAATACCTAGGCCTTGGTGGTTTGATTGCCCTTTTGACCCATTGGATTCTGTTGTGTCCCTGGGCAAGACACTTCATCCACTGTTCTACTTCCCACATAGATTAATTCTCTTAATCTTCTCTCTTGCGTGTAATTGCTTTGGCCTGTAATGACCTAAATGACTCTACATTAGCCTTTGTCTCCTGTGTTACTTTGAACCTCAGCTGTATCAGATCTGTATCATGTCACGCTTTGTAAACATCACAGGGGGTTATCTCTAATTGCAATCAATAAATCATTCAGCAGGCCTTTCTCCACACTTTGCCAGACATGAATTATCAACAAGGCCGGACTCCACTGCATTTGGGACACGTATCATGATCACACTGCATCGCCATGGATAATTTAGAGCAATATATCTAACGTTTAGCTCTGCGTTTTGTATAATTAAACTTCGGGACAGTGAGCGGTGTACATTCAAAGGACAGTGTAAGATACTGTCAGCAGTTCTGTGCTCTGGTAATACTCTGGAGTCTTGTCGTTCTTGTTGCAGTAATGGCTGGTTTAGTTCATTTTGTCATGTCCTGGCATGATCCCAGTTTAGTCCTGATGTAGGATGGGGTTGGTCTTGTTCTATTCCTGGTCTAATTCAGGTTTATTACCAGGTTTTATTTCTAGTTAAGTCCTGATTTCTGAGAGAGTGTCCCCCACTTGTTCGTTTACATCTTACGAGTTATTGCATTGTCTGGAATGCGCTGTAATCAAGGGCGCAGGTTTTCTTTTAGCTTTAGTGGGGGAATTATCAGCAAACGCTCTCCCATGAAACCAACTGATACGTTACTTGATTAACAAATTAATTATATAATATCGTTTACTTTTCGTTTGATGCACACTGCAAAAACCATACAGCACATGTTTATAAGAAAGGGTAAAATGGGATAAGAAGTTGTGTATATGTTTGGTGAATTCTTTCCAAAAACACACAAAGTCTGGGCAGGTCCAAAATAAGTGAGAGGTGGTTAGTTCAGCGACGTAGAAGTTTGTAGCAGGTTTCCCTTTGCTTGTTGGTGATGAGATATTTGTGAGGTCATGTCCGAACATTTTTCCATGGAATATTGTCAGTAGAGTCGGGCTGCTCACAGTGCACGAGTAGGGCTCCGTTGGGGAGGTGCACTTGGGGCCATAGTCGCTCTTTTTCCGCGGCGACTCATTATAAGACAAGTTTAATTGAAGATGAAGCCAAGTAAGTTTGTTTTGAAAAGTTTTTCAAAGTTTGGTGCGCAGCATCTTCACTCACGTCTGCTCAAGCCGACATCTTCAGGTGCGGCCCTGTCCTGCCGCTTCGACAGTTTAGGCTCCTGGCTCCACTAATGACATCACTCTGTTGCAGCCAATGAAATAGGGGTAACTCTGTTGTCATATCACTTAATACATCTCAAAACATCTAATAAACAAAATGTGAACTAAAACATGTTAAATTAATACTATTGAGTTTGGAAAATTATCAGAATAAATGTATATTTTTGTTTATTAAAATAAAATGGCAAATATTGGTAGGGACTATTTTGTCTTAATACTGGTTGTGACATGTCTCCACCGTCCCTATGCAAACCTACACTCTTGTCTATAATACAGGTTTTAATTTATCAATCTCCAAACACCAGGTCTGATCTGTGGAGAGGCGAGCCCACAGACACACGCGTCTTTGAGACATATGTCTGTGAAAAGCACTATTTTTTTTGCAATAAAACACATGTAACTGAGTAAATGTAACACTGAAAATGCCATAGAACATTCAACACAAAGCATTAACATCTCCATGGAGACAAACAGTTGGCAAACCCTCCACCAGAAAAGCTACATAGTAAATCTTAGTTCTTAAAGTGTGCTTTAGTACACTCTAACTCCCTTTACATTTGAATACAGTTTTTGCCTAGAGTTCACATTAATAATTGTAAGTTATTTTTTCTTCATTCTCATTTTTTTCTCCTCCTCCTCATTTCCTCATGTATTATATTTTAAAAAGCACACGTTTGTAATAACCCAAGACTTTTGTGTTATTTCCAGAGCCTTACCCCAGAGGTGCGGGCGATGACGCGTGTGCTGGTGGGGCTGGAGATGTTTCAGTGCAATAGGAGCCCTGGGCAGATGGACTTCTCCCTCCCTGCTCTCTCCACAGTATGTGCTCTGTTGTTTTATTATGCTGTGTGGGTATTGGTTTGTTGTCCTGCTGAGGCTGTGCTCCAGATGGTGAAGCAGATGCAGCTCTGGCCAAAGGGACAGTGAAAGCATGTCTGAATCAAACTCACAACGTGTTTTAATACCATCATAAGGCATCAGCTGCTGCTATATTACAATAGTTACTCTTTATTTGGAGCTGGAGTTGAACAGTATGTTATTGTGCTCTATTTTTGAATGGTGTTGCACTGATTTCTCTGCCACAAAAGCCAATTTACAAACAACACCCATGGGTCATTTCAGGGTTAGTGTTGCCACAAAACTTCTAACACTCAATTTTTGTACTAGGGAAATGTTTTGATACTAATTTTGAATGTAATTTGATAATGAACAACACTCTTTTAGATGGTAGAATGTCATTTACAACACAAAATATACCATATTTTTCGGACTATAAGTCACTCCATAGTATAAGATGCATTAGCCAAAAAAAAATGAACAAGAAAAAAACATGTAAGTCGCACCGGACTATAAGTTGCACTTTTTGGGGGAAATTTATTTTATAAAATCAGAGACCAGGATCCAACAATTCATCTTGAAAGGCAAGTTCTAGTAATAACAATAGAATAGAGTTAATGATAATATGAACAGTTCTTCAGATAACTATAACATAAACAACAGAACAGAACAAGTTTACCAAACTCTCCATCTCACTCCAAATCACTAAATCCATTCAACCTTCATCCTCGGTGTCACTTCTGAGCAATTCTGCGACTTCCGGAGGTAAACGGAGTGCAGCTTCCTCTTCTGTGTAGCTGTCGTCAGACTCAGCATCAGTTCCAGTTAGAATTATTCCGGCCTTTCTGAATCCTGACAGGATGGTTTCAGTGTCACTGAAGTCCAGATTTTGTCCATCCATCAAATCACTTCCAGGAAAGTTGCATGGTGCACCCTCCCAGTTACCGTGAACTTGTGTTTTCTATCCCCACTTTCCAATAGTCACAAGTTTCTCGCTCACTCTGAACTTTCTTTCTACCGCTCAATTACCATTTTCGGCTGAATATTTCACTACTTGCAGCAGGACAGCGTCTTTTTCTAGAGGAGACATGCGCAGTAGAGGGTGAAGTGATAGGTACAGGAGTAATAGTAGCAGATACTGTCACACAAGCCTAGAGCGCCCTCTCTCAGCTGTCAGTGTGAAAATTTTAATAGATAAATCGCAGGACCATGAAAAAAGTGTGACTTAATAGTCCAAAAAATATGGTAGTAGTTTCTAGGGGTACTGCGCAAAATTGATTTTAAAAGAAGTTCTCTACCATGTTACAACATTGTTTCCTCATCAAAAACATGTCTGAAAAGGTTTTTGATGTTATCCATGTATGTTTGAGTATTTTTGCGATCTCTCCTGGGCCCTGTTCAAACCCTCTTTACCGTTAGCTGTAAGATTTTGTCCAATGCTCAAGCGTACGTCATCCAAGCTCCCACATGACAATTCTCCATCGATATACGAGCATGATGCAAAACTACACAGAAACTTCACAAACCTGATGCGATGTGCAATAGTTTTATTTGCGGGATGCATGCTGATTGTGTTTTGAGAGCTCTCTGAAAAGGGAGAGACTCGGATAATTCTAAAACTATTTACAAATGGTCCAGCACTGTTCTGTTTATGTGTTTTGTTCAAATGATCTAATTTCAATAGTTCATTTAATAGACTCTGAAGGTTGTGTGTGTAGTGCTGAATGTCCCTAAAGTCTGCGCTACATCAGTATTTTTAAATCTGAACACAGGTGAAGTGATTTCCTTAGCATGGGGTGACAGCTTATCAGAGAGTACTCCAAGATAGAAGAAATAAGCCTTGTCTTCTGAAGTTGTGGCAATACAAGCTCTGATATTTTCGCTGTGTGTTCATAATCTATCGCACACTTTTACTAAACTGAGGAAAATGAAACACAGACATGACACTCGCTCTCACAGGGGTCCTAGAAACTGAGCATGCTGGGGGCGTGTGTGGAAAGCCCTTAATTTACCAATGGCACTAGGTCTCTTTAGACTTTATTTTAGCATTTTAGAGACACTTGCAAATGACTATGCAAATGAAGGATTAAGATGGAAATACAGAAACATGCTGCATAAAACTGGATTGATTTTTCATTACAGAGGCACTGCTCCTTTTACTCCCATTTCAATGTTTTACTAAATAATCATGTCCAAAACAAGTTCCTGAAAATATCAAATGTGAGGTCTTTTTTAAGCAATAAATAAGACTGCATAAAAAATACACCATTATTAATTAAAGTTGTATCTTAAGGGCAATTTTTAATTAAATGAGAAACTAAACAATTTTGTGTAAAACAACAAATATTCCACTACGAGAGAGCAGCACTACAACATATTCAAATATTCTTAAGTTTTCCCAATTTCATGTAGGGCAGTAAAAGTATTGAAAACCAGGTAAAAATCTATTCTAAGACTAGTATCGAAACTAGATACTCATTTGAGCATGTATCGATACTAAAAAAGTCATATTCAGAAATTTACCTTAATAATTAATTAATAACTAACCTAATGAACTTGAATAACTCAAGAATGGTGTTAAGAACAAGTATAAGAGCACATAGACTAGTACCGTATGTCTCGGACTGTAAGTCACTCCGAGTATAAGTCGCTCCAGGCAAAATACATATAAAAGTCACACCGCACTATAAGTCGCACTTTTGGGGGAAATGTATTTTATAAAATCAGAGACCAGGAACCAATATTTCATCTTGAAAGGCAAGTTATAGTAATAACAACAGAACAGAGAACAACAAGTTGTTAACATAACATATGAACAATTATTCAGATAACTATGGCATAAACAACATAACATAACATTTACCAAACTCTCAATCTCACTGCAAATCTCTTCATCCTCAGTGTCACTCCTGAGCAACTCCGTGGCCTCTGGAGGTAAACAGAGGGCCTCTTCCTCTTCTGAGTAGCTATCGTTAGACTCAGCATCAGTTCCAGTTAGAATTATTCTGGCCTTTCTGAATCTCGACAGGATGGTTTTGGATGGTCGCTGAAGTCCAGGCTTTGTTGTTCCATTCAATAACTTCCAGGAAAGTTGCATGGCCCACCCTCCTGTTTACCGTGAAGCTGTCTTCTTTATCCCCTTTCTTTTTCCCCCTCATCCAACTTTCTTTCTGCTACTCGATTAATCTATTATTATTTAACTACTTGCAGCAGGACAACAGCTCTTTCTGCAGGAGACATGTGCAGTACAGCGCTATGTGACAATGGTACAGGAGTAATAGGAGCAGCAGATAATGACACCCAAGCCTAGAGCGCCCTCTAGCGGCTGTCAGTCTGAGAATTTTAATATATAAGTCAAACCGGAGTATAAGTCGCAGAATCACCCAAACTATGAAAAAAGTGGTATTTATAGTCCATAAAATACAGTATATGCCCATGGACCACTATGGAGCCTACCTGGCCGCATGGTAATTTACGAAAGTACTGATTTAATGTTGAAATTGTCATTGTGGTTTTGGAATCGGTTTTGAAAATCAAGTCTATTCCTTAGTATTGAAATCAAGATTGAATTTTTTGTATCATGACAACACTGATTGATATTATATCTTGCTTCCTTCACAAAAAAGAAAATAGTCAAAGCTACCTGCATTTTAAAAGATTTAGTCAGTGTACACTGTTTCATATTTTGTTTTCTTTTCCCACCCTCTAAAAAGCACAGATATTTTTCTTAAGTCGCACAGCTCCCACAATTGACAGCAAAACAGTCATACCACAGTTTTCTGGCAACACACAGCTCTATGTAACCATATATCTCCTCTAATCCTAAACAACAACAAAACACTGCATTCAACGTAGCAAGAAGTGGATGCTGCCAGGCACATCTCAAAAAAGACAAAACTTGAGTGCTTGTTTTCTGGCCAAGAATGAAGGATTAGAAGTTATATTTCTTTCATCATCCGTGTTATGAAACGGCAACGAGATGGTGGATTGTGTACATAAACAGAAACACGGGCATGTTTTTGAAGCCTCATTAACGCTGACATAAAGGCAGCCCGCTATAGCATGAAGAAGAATATGGACCATTATGGAGCAGATCTTGCAGAGGGAGCAGGAGGAATCTATATATATTTTCTACTCTCAACTGCACTGCTGGTTTGTGATGCTTTTCTGAGCAAAGTTTCATAGTATTTAGCATGTTATTTGATTTCAGTCATCAAATGGGTTAATAATTAGGTTTTGGTGGTTTGATTACCCTATTAACACATGGCATTCTGTTGTTTACTTGGGCAAGACACTTCATTTCATCCACTTCATTCTCTGTTCGAGTTCCTACATTGGTTTAACATTTCTATAAAGACACTGCTCCTTTTACTTCCATTTCAATGTGTTTTACTAACTAATAATGTCCGAAACAAGATCCTGAAAACATCAAACATGAGTTCTCTCTCATAAGCAATAAACAAGACCGCAGAAGACATACACCATTATTTATTAAGGTTGTGTCGTAAGGGCAACTTTTAATTAAATTTGAAGTTTGTCTATTCGATTTCCATAAGGGTCATTAAACAGTTCTTTCTAAAATTTTGATACTAAATTTGATAATTGCATCAAAATGTCTTAGATCAGGGGTGTCAAACTCAAATTCACAGAGGGCCAAAATTAAAAACTGGGACTAAGTCGTGGGTCAAACTAAATATTTACTGAAAAATTTCTACAACATCTGCATGTTTTCTCTTCTTTTGAGATATGTAATGTTAAACCTTTCTTGTTAAAATAAATGTTTAATAAAAGTTTTCCTTAAACACTGAATCCAGAACAAGCAGAATATAAAATAATAACAAAATTTTAAATAAATAATGTCTCTATAGCCTATCTGTAGCCGGCGGGACAGCTCTAATACATATTTGATATGATCTCGCGGGCCAAATATAATTATATCGTGGGCCAAATGTCTGTCTTAGATCTTAAATCAGTTAAGGCCTTGTGTAGCATTTAGAATATGAATATGAAGTTTGCACTGTGCCAACACTTGTGTTTTTCTGATCTGCTCTTGATTGTGACAATGTTAGTTGTTTCCAATTTTAGTCCCAGAGTTCACTTGTAATAATATTGTAACTATGGAGGAAAATCAGTATGATGAGATGATTAGCAGATGCATAAAATTCAAAAAGTAATATATAGATAAGTTATAATTATTTGTAGTTCTGGGTTCAAAAATAAATCTGCAAATGGGATTATTGCACTGGAAAACTTTTATAGGGGGTGCCTCTCCACAGATCTGGCTTGTAACTTCGTCAGGTAGAGTCACCTGCTTGTTATTTTAGAGGTTTTCTTGTTTGTCCAGAGTTGACCTGGTCTCTCTCTCCTGGTCCTCTGGACACTGCTGTGTTGCCTCGGCTACAGGTCAGAAAGGAGAGACACTTTTGTCCTGAGGGATATTACTCTCCTCAAACTGCCCTGACCTGTTGAACTGTACTTTTGTTTTAGCTTTTCTATTATTATTATTATTATTATTATTGTATTTTACTGCTCCTCTGGGACAAATTAAGTGACACTGATTGATTGACTGATTAATTGCTGACAACATACACCCCTATTTTAAACCTGACAGGATTTCAAAATACATTTCGCCTTGTTGCCGCCAATGTTTGCTGTTTTACATTATTTGTTTTTATTGCACTTCTGTTTTTAGTGACATTTGGGTCTGATTTGTGTCTCTCCTCATCTCCCCTGCTCGTCCTCTATTCTCTCTAATGTCTTACCTAATTCACTCCTCTTTCTTTGTTGCTTCTCTGGATCCCATTTTTGCATGTTTTCACCCTGATTGCCTCATCTCTCCCTTCGCCTTTCATTCCACACATGCCCTCCCTCCTCCCTCCTCCCCCCCTCCCTCACCTGCCCACCTAATTCTCTACCACTTTTTATCTCTTCTTTTTCCTATTCTGTTTCTCTCCTCCTCCCTTATTCTGTTCCTCTCTCTCCTCCTGTCACTGGCTTTCTCTTTTTTCTCTATTTCATTCATTTTTTATACTTTCCCCCTCTCCTCTGCTACCTCATTCTCTCTCCTGCCACCTCTGTCTATCCCTCTCTCTCTCTTTATCTATCCTCTCTCCTTCCTCTCTCTTTCTTTACTTATCCCTCTCTTTTTCTCATGCTTTCTTATCTCCCGCTTAACCCTCTCTCTTTCTCTCCTTTCTGTATCGCTCTCTTCCTTCACTCCTCTATTCATCTTTCTCTACCCAATCTCTCACTCTCTATGCATGTACCACCATTTCTCCTCTCTCTCTGTTTATCTCTCTCTCTCTCTCTCTCGCTTTCTCTCTCTTCCCTCGCTCTCTGTTACTCTCTTTCCTCTCTCCCTCTCTTCCTATCCTCTCTCTCTCTCCTCCTCCTCTATCTCCCATTCACCCTTGCCCCCTCCCTCTCCTTGTCTTCCTGCCCCCCTCTCTCTTCCCTCTCTTCCAATCTTCTCTCTTCTCTTTCTCTCTCTCACCCTCTCTCTATTCTCCCTCCCTTTCTCCCTCTCTTTCTATCCTCTCTCTCCACCACCTCTTCCTCCCTGTCTCTTCATCGGTCTCTCTTCTCTTCTCCTCTCCCTCCCATCTCCCTCTCTCTTCTCACTCCCTACTCTTCCAATCCTCTCTCTTCTTTTCCTCTCTCTCTTTCTTTCTCTCTCTCTCTCTCTTTCTCACCCTCTCTCTTCTCCCTCCCTCTCTCCCTCCCTTCCTATCCTCTCTCCACCTCCTCTTCCTCCCTCTGTCTCTTTATCTGTCTCTCTTCTCTCCCCCTCTCGTTCCCTTCCTCCCTCCCATCTCCCTCTCTCTTCCCTCTCCTCGCTCTCTCCAATCCTCTTTTCTCTCTCCCTCTCTTCCAATCCTCTTTCTCTTTCTCACCCTCTCTCTTCTCCCTTCCTCTTTCCTTCTCTTCCTATTCTCTCTCTCCGCCTCACCCTCCTCCCTCTGTCTCTTCGTCTGTCTCTCTTCTCTCCCCTTCTCTTTCCCTCCATCCTAACTTCCTCTCTTCTCTCTGCCTCTCTTGCAAGTTTCTCTCTCTCTCTTCCCTTCCTTTCTCTCTATTTTTCTCTTTCTCACCCTCTCTCTTCTCCCATCCTCTTTTCTTCTCTTCCTATCCTCTCTCTCCACCTCCTTTTCCTCCCTCTGTCTCTTCATCTGTCTATGTTCTCTCTCCCTCCCATTCCCCTGTCTCTCCCATCTCCCTCTCTTCTCTCTCCCTCACTTCCTTCCTATCCTCTCTCTCTTTCTCTTCCTATCCTCTCTCTCCACCTTCTCTTCCTCTCTCTGTCTCTTCATCTGTCTCTCTTCTCCCCCTCTCTCTCCGTCCTCCCCCCCTCTCTCTTCTCTCTTCCTCTCTCTCCCTCCGTCTCTGTGCAGTTGGTGGCCGTGGCGTGTGAGTGCAGTTGGCCTGACGCGGTGGTGGAGCTGCAGGTGTGGTCCCAGCTGTCGTCCTTCTGTCACGAGGCTGAAGACCACGGTCTGGTCCTGAGCTGCTCCCACCGAGCCCTCAGTCTGAAGCAAACGGCCGCCAAGAAGCTCAGCAGCAACCAATACGCCCTGTACGTCTGCAACAATCACTCAGATAAACACATACATACAGGGGATACTTGACATTTAGTAGTTTTCATTATGTACAATTTGATGACGCTGTACTCCAGGTGAGGGGTAAGGGCCAGTTTTACCTTCTGATTACTATAAGGGTGTAACGGTACATGTATTCGTGCCGAACTGTTTCGGTACAGGACATTCAGTTCGATGCGCGGCTGTGCACGAGTGGATTTGAGCAATTTGTGTGTGTTTACATTCCGCCACTACACGTGCAGCTACACAGAAGGCTCAACTGTTTAATATTCATGTGGGAACTCGTACGTGATTGGCGTGGCAGTGTTTCCCGCAGCGCTTTATAGTTAGGGCGGCCGTCATCACAAAAATTGCCCCCCGCTTGACTACGTCCCTCCGAACCACATGAATCCTCGCAAAACTACATTGTCGCGCCCCGTCTTTGTTGGTTTAATAAAGACACAAATAAACAACAAGTATGGTTTTGTATTTTGTTCCCATACTGTACTGAAAATGAACCAAACCGTGACTTCAAAACCGAGGTACGTAGCGAACCGTGATTTTTGTGTATCGTTACACCCCTACTGACTACTGACTACTTACATTGTACTTTGCCTTGAAATATCTAAAATCTAAATGCTCAAATGTTGAATCTGATCATTTCTGTCAGTATTAGTAGTATTTGTACTTTATCGCAACAAAATTTGGGGTTTAACAACACTCATTTTAGCCACCCTTATCTGTATTACATATTTCTGTCTTCCCTCCTCTCCACTGTTTCCTCGCTCTCACTTCCTCCTCCTTCTCTCTCCTCCTCTCTAATTGTCTTTTTTCCTTTTTTTCTCTCTCTCTCTTTTTTCCATTCTCACTAGGGGTGTACAAAAATATTGAAATATCGACGTATCGTATCATTTAATATGATGATACAGTAGCGATATCATGGGCTGCTGTATCAATATATCACCAAGATCATTTTTTGGTGTATTTTACTAAATTATTTCGTTACAGCGCTACAGTTTTGTTGTTTGTTTAGAGGAAGGAAATTCAGTAAGTGGTTTAACAAAGACTTTTAGTATCACAGCCATGATTTAGCCTTTATTTTTTATTGAATCGTATCGAATTGATTTGAAATATATCGTACTGAATCAAAAGCTCATTGTATCGAGGTATGTATCGTATCGGCAACTTCTTAAAGATACTCGGCTCTACTGATTCCGTTGTACTTTGCCATGAAATATTTAAAGGCTAAATGCTCAAATGTTTGAACCTGATCATTTCTGTAAATATTAGTAGTATTAGTGTTTTATCACAAGAAAATTTGGGGTTTAACAAAATTGATTTTCGCTGCTCTCATCTGTAATACATATTATTTGCCTGTAAAATTTTGTGATGTCATTTGAAACCCAGTGGGTGTTCTACTGTCGTCCCTCCTCTCCACTGCCCCCTCGCTCTCCCTTCTTCCTCCCTCTCTCTCTCATCCCCTCTAATTGTTTTTTTTTCCTTTTTTGTCCTTCCTACCTCTTCCACTATCCTCTCTCTTTTCATTTCCTGCCTCTTTCTTTCCTATTCAGGCTTTCTTCCTTTAGCCCTCTCTTTTCACCCACGCTCTCTTCCTCTCTCCCTCCTCTCCCTTCCGTCTCACTTCATGCATCCTTCTCTCCACTTCCCTCTCTCCTCCATCTGTAATGTAAACATACAGTATATAGGGGGTACTTATCGTGTTTGTTTCATGTCCTGCGTACATTTTGAAGGTGAATATCACGTAATCATGATGCAGGGCTGTTTTACTTTACATTTAAGCAGAGCACAGGATTTAACCTACAAAATGTGTGATTAGCAAGTGACATCTGGTGTATGACATTGAGTATTGCAGCTGAATTTATGTAATCAGATTTTATTCCTGATTTTTATAGGCCCTTGAAATGAAGGTCTACAATAAAAACTAGTTTGATTTTTTTCTTGAACTTGAGCTCTTTGAAATGACTTTGTACTTCTATTCATAACTGAATACCTTTTTGATTAATCAGTTGATCTAATCTTAAAGTCAAATGTGCACGTTTCTCCATGGAGATATAATTACTCTGTCTGGAATATTCCACAGTAAAGTATTATACACATTTGTCTTCCATTTATACAGCTAGAGTTCATTTTATCGCTGAACAATACTTTGAAAAACATGCTTTCTTACTGTAAGCGGACTCACCTGTCCACAGCTCTGACCTGTAACTTGGCCTGGTGGTGTCAGCTGCCACTTTTAATGGTTTACTATAAAATATTCCAAGTTAAGCCATTATATCTCCATGGACACCAGCAGTTTGCCAATATTCCACCAGAAAAGTTGCATACCGCACCTTAAATAGTTAATTACGCTGTTTTCTTCTTCTTTAGGTACGGTGATTGTGCCGTGAGTGAGATGCTGAGCAGAGCGGCCTGTTTGAGAGGTCTGAGTTTGGCCCATGAATCGTACGGTGACGTCAGCAAATACAGAGAGGCCCTGGATCTGCTCCTGTCCAGTGTCAGGTACAGGCTACAGCACATCTAACGTGCATATGACAGGTTTTCATGTTTTTCTTGGTTACTATTGCTTGGTTTGGTTGGTAGAATAGTCCCTGTGTTAAATGTTTATCATAGTTTTACATCAGTTCGTGAAAAACAGTTAAGAAGAAAAGTACAAAAATAGAGGAAATAGCGCTGAGTTCTAAAACAACATGCAGAGACAATTTACACACAGCGTACTAATTTTTCCGACAGTTTCAACTTTCATTTAACAACATTTTATAATTTATTTGTATTAATTTAATCATAACTATTGTGCAGTTTTGGCCCTTATTAGCATTATGGTTGCTAAGTAACTGGAAGTATCTCTACATATTCTGTAATCTTAGTAAAAAATATAATGATTCTGGCTATGTTTTAGAGAAATAAGTGCTCATATGGACCTTAAACGAGACTGTAATGCATGTATTTTAAATCTAATAAACTCCCATTTAAATGATGCTTAGCAGTGACATCATGCAGTGTTCTACGTGTGTCTCTACTGGCAGAATGTTCAGCAGTTACCATGGTTAATCAATGCACACATTGGCAAACACAGACAAAAATGTTTTATGAAAGCTCAAAGCTCAAGGAAAGATAGAAGATGTATTTAAACAACACATTTTCAGGAAGCTGTGATCAATACAAGGGTTTATGATCCTGTTTGGGTGATTTTCAACAAAAAACTGTGAGAGCCTTTTTAAAGCGCTCACATCATCCCACCACCAACTAAATCAGCTCTCTCTGGTCTGATTGTGTTAAAATAACAGTGTAGTGCTTTCAGGTAGCTTCACACCCTCAGGGAATATTGAAGACATCAGCTGCAGAGTATCAATATTCCACCTCTGTGTTCTGTGCAGATTTGCAGATAAGGCCGGGAGCTGGAGTCTGTGTGTGGCCGCTGCCAGACATTACTGGAACACTTGTCCCCCTTTGGCTGGGACCCCCGAGGAGAGAGCACTGCTGCAGGACCCCCTCGAGACCATCCAGAAGGCTCTAGTGCACACATACAGCAAACACACAGTACGTAGCTTATATATTATTTAATGTTTGTAAATCCCATAGATACTTTTATATACATAGCATGTTTTGCTCCAGGTGGTAAGTACACGCTGTTTATCGTATGTTTTTGCTACCAACATTCGTGTGTGTTTGCCTTGAGCTATAAATATTACACATATTGCCTCTAATGCATGTTAATAGAATAAGCACAAACTATACTTTGTTTGATCAGTTTGTTTTTTAGCACGTTTCTTTATTCATTATCATCTTTATTCCAGACTCATTGTCCATTTTTAAAACAGGCAAGGACAGTGACAGTACAAAAACAATAAACATTTAAAAGCCATACCTGTGCCTCCACATATTGGACTGATATCTTATTGCACTGAATTAAATTATATTTGTGATCGACGTTATTATATCATTGTCCGATTTGTTCAGTCTGCAGATAAAACTGTACATTAAAATTCTTAGTGAAGTTTGCAAAATTCTCGTGCAGTAACAAACATTTCAGTCGCACTCGTCCATCGTGGCCTCCTCAAAAGCACCGTAATGCATCATTGTACGCCACCTGCAGTCTTTGCAAACTGCTTTTTTAATAATTAATCCAGAGGTGGGCTGTGTACAATGGTGTACAGTATGATTTAAACAATAACAACTTTACATCCTTTGCCTGACCATAGAGCGTCCTACACTGTCTGTACATATCATCATCATCTGTCATGTCTGCAGTAATGATCTGCCCAAGATATTTAATTTTTGTTGTAACAGTCAACACAACATTTGACAGGTAAACGTCAGGAAATTTCATGTGCTTATCTTCTTTAGTCCTACAGATCATGACCATACTCTTGGTTGTTTGGTTGGTTTATTATGTTAGGGAGAGTAAAGATTGTGTGTAGGAGGTTACTACACTACTACAACTGCTACAACTACTACTGCTATTTTGCCTGGAATCCAAAATACTCAATTCTCCAATTATTTACAAAAATGTGAGCTCACCAGACACTGGTTATCTCCCCATGTTCAGATGGGTTTGATTGATAGGTGGATTAGCCAATCAAGAACACACATGGTCCGTTCAGTAATAATAATAATAAAAAATAAAAAATAAACTAGATGAGAGAAGTTAAATTTTAGTGATGCACAACCAAAGTACTCCTTCATTTCACATGTCACTGAAATAGATGTATTTGATTGCACGTTTCTGTCTGAATCTGACTCTAAGCAAGATGGAAGAAGTGCTGACCAAACTGATATACCTCTGTATTAAAAACTACTACTACTACTTTTATTACTGACTATTGTAAGCAAACAGGTAATGGTACATATTGAAAAACACACCAGGTACTTGCTAGAATTCATTGGGTTACAACTGTAAGATTTAATGTTTTTTTAGATTAACTAATTTACAAACTAGTTAGTGGTTAATTCAGTGTAAATCTGTTTTTAGCCCTTATTAATGTCCTTTTTTGCATATCCTTATTCTGTTGCTAACACTTTCACTTTACTAAACTCCTTAAAATGTTACTGTAATATTCTATCAGTTATAAAGTCATTAACATTCACATTCATTGCAGTAATTTAAATGCAGGTCCATTTTCAGTAATTCCAGTCATTTTATTCTCAGATTTTTCATTATACTCTGCTACTGAAACACTATTTAACTCCGGGGCCGCTGTTAACTTTATGTCTGTGCAGTCACTAAGTTAATTTACCTTGATAGTCTGAGCTCAATAAGACCAGTCCAGCTCTGAAACAATTGCACATCTCCCTCTTCTCTTCTTCTTCTTCTTCTCTGCTTTGAAGGTGGCTCTCTTTATGTGATGTGCAGTAAACCTTATGTAAACCTTGTTAGCAGGAGAAGGTGGTCTCCAGACAGCGGCAGTACAAAGACTCACACTCGTCCCTTTTGCTTTGGGAAATGCTCAGTCCCTTTCCAATTACAGCCCTCTCAGCGAAGGCCGCCATTGCTCTTATCAAAGCCTTAAAACTTGTTGTCCAAATCTTTACTGTTTACCTCGCCGCACTTTGCTGATAAACAACAATACAGAAGTGACAAAAACAGACGCATTTTTTATTATTTCTTATCACAAATGTCACTAAAGAAGCAGGAGTGGGCAATAGTGACTTCAAGTGATTAATTATTGTTTGTTTTTGAGAATAAATGAAAAGTTGGGGACAGTTTGCATGTAGAGAGTGAAGACATTTGAACAGGATCTATTTACTATTTACCATTTTTGTAGGGATGCACCGGTCCGATACTGGTATCTAGGGGTGTAACGATATCCAAGTCTCACGATACGATATTTATTGCGATATTGTGGGAAAGATCACGATATGGAGGGGAGGCTCACGATTAAGGATGTAACGATATCCAAATCTCTTAAGGATATTTACACAATATATACATCTCACGATATATGACATTTATTGTGATATTTTAACTTTTAATATGCTACTTTTTCTTCTTAAAATGCCTTGACAAAACTTAATCCAAAGAACTAAAACTTAAAAGTGCTTAGAACTGTTATTTCTTCATGTAGTTTACACTGAAATGGAGCAAAGGATCATGGTCTATGTAGTTCCCTCTGTGTTTTTTTAACTATTGCTGCACCGTAACTCTTCATTTAAGCAAATAGACTTGTGATTTAACATGTTGTGATGGTCCACGATATTATTGTGAGAACTTTGGCGATACGATATCACGATATTTCGGTTATTGTCACGTCCCTACTGGTATCAGACATCTAGCCTGAATCATCAGCGGGTTTCACTCGGTAGAAACCATCTGACCTCGCAGCATTAGAATTTGTTTGCTCTTCATAGGCAGGTACTTTTTTTCATTTAACCAATCGCTGCTATTTGGTCGTAGCTGGTATATTAATCTTTTCTCAAATCCCGTAGGAAGAAGGGCAATAACGTCTTTCCCCGTGATAAAATTCACCAAACATTCTCTTTGTCCCAGCTTTAAATCCTAGATCTTCACTCGTCGCTGATTGGCTGGTGCCCGAACTCGCACTTCCGGGGTTTTTGTGAACTGTTTAGTGTATTCTGATTCCTGACCTAATTGCTGTAGAGAAATGAAATTGAGCGTCAGCACTAGGTTGCGCCAGCCTGACTATCAGACATCAGCGTTGATACTGAAACATTTGCTGGATCGAGTATTGGCTTCCAAATATCAGCAAATAAATGCTGTTTTCAGTCTTTGCGCTGGTACTGGTTGATAATAATGGTGTTTGGTCGAGAGATATCAAGATTTTGATACCGTTAAACCTTCTCAGCATTTTACCGGGGTATACGCTATTACCTCGTCTACTTGATCACCGCACCTGTTCAGGCTTTCCAGCGGATACTATCATTTTTGTACTTTTTTATTTTTCTGAATGCCTCCTTTATGGCTGGTTGTGTGGTACTTGGCCTAGTTGTTGCTTCGTCGTCAGTATCAGCAGGAGGGGTGGAAATCGTGGAATTTGTTGAACTCGGGGCCAAACTCATCCTTGCAGCAGTTAGCGGGTGATTGATCCTCACACGAGCCCTGAGATTTGAGGTGTTTCCATCTCTCACCGTCACCGTCTTCATACATATTTTGCATATAGCACATACATTTTGTATAAATCCTCGATCTCGGGAATCGTTGACAACACTGAATATACGGCTCTTAACTGATTGGCTGGTGCCCATACTTGCACTTCCGGGTTTTTTACGAACCGTCTAGTGCATTCCACTTTCTGACCTAATTGCTGGAGAGAAATGAAACTGAGCAGGGACACTAGGTACCTTAATACCGTATTACTGCTTAACCCTAATAGTAAGTAAAGCTATAGTTGCAAAATCAGTATCAGAACTGAAAAAGCTGGATCAGTGCATCCGTACATTTTTTATTCCACTGCTATGTTAGTAAAAAAAATAAAATAAAAAGGACTTTTAGACAATAGAATGTCCATTTTACCACATTTTTTAAAATTTTTATTTTGTTATTACCTTGTGGTCTTACACTAATTCTGACACAGATCAAGACTGCTCTGAGGGTGCGTTCATACTTGCTCATAGCTCACATGGAAACGGGAACTAAACCCATTTCTTAACCTGGACTAGACCAAGACTAGAACTGGACCAAACCAAGTCAAGACTACATCAGGACTATATTCCATTTCTGTGCTGTACTGAAGACTCTCACTGCCAGATCAGTCCTTGTTATCTTGACCTGCATCATCAGTTAGACTGGACTGCGTTAATCACAATGTCTTCAGGAGTCATGTCTCTGGGTGCTGGGATCGTACTGATGGTAAATAAACTTCTCCTAGGTTAGAACTCCATCTTCTCTTCAGCTCTCAGGCTACTGCTACTTATTTTACAACATAGACTTTGCAGAAAAGGTCAAATTTTATCCTATTTATTCCTTTTTTTTTTTTTTCTAGACCAGTTTTAGTATTGATTTATATCTGTGTATCAGTTTTTAACAACTCTAATATAAGTACTGATTATTCAAGTCCTGTGTCGATAAAGTAAATGAAGACGTTGAGTAAACTTGGTTGTGCGTCATATTGAAGGACCATAAATGCTCAAAATGTTTTCCATCTTACTAGGGATGTAACAATAACTGAAATATCGTAATATCGTATCGTCAAAGCTCTCACAATAATATCGTGAACCATCACAATATATCGAATTATGAGTCTCTTTGCTTAAATTAAGAGTTAGGGTGCAGCAATAGTTTAAAAAAAAAAGACAGAGGGAACTACATAGACCATGATCCTTTGCCCCATTTCAGTGACTAGAAGAAGAAATAACAGTTCTAAGCACTTTTAAGTCTTAGTTCTTTGGATTAAGTCTTGTCAAGGCATTTTTGTTGGCCTCCACAAAATATCACAATAAATATCATACCGTGAGATGTATAACGTGAAAATATCGCACTGAGAGATTTGGATATTGTTACATCCCCAATCGTGAGCTTTCCTACGATATCGCAATAAATCGTACTGTGAGGTTCATACTGTAACAATATCGTATCGTGAGACTTCGATATCGTTACACTCCTACATCTTACCATTTTACCCATTAAACATTAATGAAGGGCTCATTTTAATCTCTATATTTTTTATTCTCACAGTTTAATAATCGCGTCATACTTTTGGTTGAGATTCAAGTATTGCAGAAAAAGTTTGTGTAGATTATGTTGCAAGTTTCGTAGAACATAATTTTCCATCAAAGCAGCAAATTTTATCTTGTACATTACATATTTCGACTTCACAGGAGAGTTGTATTCCTACTTTTTTTTTTTTTTTTATATTAATGATGAAAACGATGAGAGTTTCTAATGGGTACCGCTTCTGGAGAAATTGTAGGCATACATCTCCAGAGACGCTCCTATGGACAGCTCTTAGGCCAGGGGGATAAACAGTTGTATAAATGTGAAACAGCTCACTTGAAATCTATAATTAATGTCAGTTTATGTGGGAATTTGCCCGGTTCTTTTTTTACGAACTTGACTCCACTTTCCAGCATCGCTCTCAGGCGTTGCTTGTGTCTCTGTGGGCCTGATGTAATTTCTGTACTGGGTTTGGTCTTTCCACAGGCGCTACACAGTTGTATTAATTTTATGATAACTAACCTTGTGAAACATGGCTACCCAGTTACCATCATGGACATTTTTTAACCCATTTCATTTCAGAAGCAGAATAAAATTACTTCGGGATCTTCAACTGGCAAAGCAGAAGAAACAAGTGAGTACATAAGATACTGATGTTATAAAATGTTCTGTATCTGCTTCTATGCAAACATTGCGCTGTTTATCAGCGTTGATCTCAAACAAAGTGGATTTTCTTTTGTTCAAATTTGTGATAGATATTTACTCAATCTTTTTATTCATTTATTTATTTTGTTGTTTTCAAATAGACTTGGTTGAGTTGGATGTGGGACTAAACACCTAAACTCCACCTACAACTACATTTCAAAAAGAGCTGCTAAATTAGGAGGTACCTAGAGGATGAAAGAAAAGAGTGAGGGCGGATATGTACTTGTAAGGAGCCGTGCAATTGATCTAAAAGGGTGTCCACACCGGGTTTTAATCAGTGAAGACATGCGTGATGTTACTTAAAAAGTACTTAAAATTGCAGTCGTCACTAGAAACAGCAGTCTCAAGTGCTGCAAATTTACCTAGTTTGCACTAAAATTACTCAAAAAGTACTAGGAACAGTAGATAATGCTGTTGAAACACCATATACAAATTAGTAGCAGATTAGAAGCAGTTCAGAAGCAAAAAAGTTAATTTAGAGTTTAGTTCCTCTTTAATTAGTCTTAGTCTTTTAGTTGTTTACCTTATGTGATATTTCAAGGTATCTTGAGCTCTGCAAACATATCAGGAGTATGGGATAGGATAGAACAGGGGTCTCCAACCTTTTTATTCCAGTGAGCTACCTTTACAAAACAAAAATGACGGAGAGCTACTCATTTTAGCAGTCACAAGGAACTGAGTAAATATAAGAGCCACGACGAGCCTTAGATGAGCTACAGTCAGATGCCTATAAAACATAAACCTTTATCCATAGTAGGGCAAGTTAGGCATCAAAATGATACTTCATAATGTTAATAGGCATTTAATTAATCAAATTAGACTTATTCAGCACAATACTTGAAATTCCTTGGCAAGTTACTTGGAAGGGGGTGGAGAGCTGCTGGTAGGTCCCGAGCTAGAGCTTGGAGACCACTGGGATAGAATAACTAAACTGTTCAATTCACAAGATTAAAACTACATTTGTAACCTTTCTCAACTTGTTTTTGCAGATGATGATGTAGCTTTGAAGACTTCCATTTGCCGTTTGCTTCTCCAAATCCACTTGGACAAATCCGACTTGAAAAGTGCCAAACAGCTCCTGGAAAAGGCCCAGATCGACCTGCCTCGTGGTAAACACAAGCTGTGAGTGTAAGCCAATGAGAAACACATGAGGAAATTGATTTAGTCCTGATCTTAAATGTTGTCCTGTTCCTCCAGATCTTTGCTGAAGTCTTTAATCTGTGTAAAAGCCCGAATTGGAGACAGCGTGGTGATGGAGATGCAGAGGCTAGAGAGAGAAGGAGAGCAGTGCTGTTCTTTTATGTGGCACCGGGTGGCGCTATGCACAGGGGACTTAACCAAAAAACTGACGTGCTACCAGAGAGCCATCGACACACTCACTGTAATGAAACAGCTTTCATTTTACTGCACACTGGTCATATACTCACCTGATATCTGCCTGTTACTGTAAAAGACTCAGTATTCAAGTAGATCTTTAGCACCACCATGTGGATAATGGAAGGTACTACACAGAATCAAAACACTACTTCAGACATGTCCAAACTATGGCCCGGGGGCCAAATGCGGCCCTCAGACAAATTTTTCTTGGCCCTCAGGCTTCCATGTGAATTGGTCCAAATTACCTTGCATCAATTAAAAATGAACTTTTTACTGCAAGTTTCTTGAAAATCTACCTTGATAAAGATAATATTGAAAATTTAGTGTGTGGTTTTAAGGATCTTAGTGTGAATAAAGACTGATGACTCATTCTAACATGTTAAACATGTACATATTTCAATTATTCATTGTACTGAGCATCAGTCTACAGCCCTCGATCGGCCCTCTGCTTCATCTATGTTTAGAAATGTGGCCGTTGATGAAAAAAGTTTGGACACCCCTGCACTACTTCATATTTATCATATTAAAAGCCAAAAGACAATAACCATTTATAATAGCATACCAGTATTTGAAAGTATAGTATAACTTAGAAAATAATGAACTATTAAAAACATGCTTCAAAAGTCTAAAAGTTACATGGAACATCACATAAAATTGGAAAAAATGTAATAATGTACTTAATTACTTGAAGTCCACCTAATAATATTGTGTTCACATAATGATCACATTTTAAACATTTAGTGCATACATATTTTTACATTTTTGTTTTTGCTTATTTATTTATTTAATGAGACAGGGACAGCACACAATTTTTACATTAACCTCAACAGGAGAGATGCATTGTACCAGGTTGTAGCACCAGTGCTAATTTCCACCTGTCGTCCCTGAGCAGGTTCATTGATTGATTGTATTTAACTGACCTTGGCTATCAACTGTTCTTCCTGGAAACCTGTGTAGCGTGTCCGCTTGATAAATGACAATCTGACTCCCTTATTGTTTAAACCAATTCATGATAAAACTAGAACTACAAACATATCTATAAATACAGTCTACAGTCTAGATAGTCATTGTTAAATATGTTGTATTTTTTTTCTGTTTTCTCATCCTCTCCTGTGCTTTGTGTTTTTGTGTAAACAGAGCGCAGAGTTCCAGTGGCAGAAGGCCAGTCTGCTCCTGGAGCTCTCCGAGTGGATGTTCTTCAACAACTTCCCCAAAGCTGATGCTGTTCAGATGATCCAGTGGGCCATAGACCTCCTCCTGCAATCTCACCCTCAGAATACACAACCACCAGGTACCATTACCTCTATCTTTACTTGTACCTTTATTACTCAGCTTTAACACCTGTTATTACACTTTTTCTGCACCAAAGTCAGGAAGAGAGGATGTAAAATGTAAATAGATTTAGAAATGTATTTTTAGGCACAAAAACTGGGCTTCATTACACATTTGTCTTGTAGTGGTGTTCAGTGAATTAGTAGTAATATCAAAACAGTTAATTTGAAGATATGCAAAATTAGAAGTATATAAGTAAGTATGTTGCCTAAAATATATAAAAACAGATGCAAAAAGAGCAGATAAAGAAATGTGCAGTATAATCTTTCAACAAGGGCATAAAGTGACTCCGATGTTGACTAGCCTGAGCCGGTGTTTTTTGTAGATGCATACAACACAGTATCATCAGCGTACATTTGAACATTTGAAAAAGCAGGGGCCAAGTGGCATTCCATAGGGACTGGCTAGTAGTTGGGATGTAAGTAAATTTTAAGAAATGTATGGCATTATTAGAATTTCAGTGAGAGCATTTTTGGATGGAAACATACAATAATTTAAATATGCTTTTAAGTTTGTTGCTATTTGTTTCCTATTTTAAATCCGCTGTAGCAGTTCCACTGTCTAGGCCCCTGACCAAGAGTGGTCCTGTACATTAGAACAACAGAGTTACCACTCTTGTAGTGTACAGTTTATGGTCCTGGAAAATTCTGAATTCAGTGGTGTATCAGAGTTAAGACACTGACAAAAAAATATTTAAAAAGATTAAATTGGGTAAAAATATTCCAAGTTAAATAGGCTACTTTTTTTTTTTTATTTCACAGTGGTGCCAGTGTCTGAGGTTTTAGTCAAGGACCTTAAGGGTAAATTGTATGTATACTCTTTAATGAACAGAGAGATTTCAATGTGGTTGAGGAGGTTTGGGACCATGACATGATACAATAAGATAGATGTAAGAAGATCATTGCGTTCATGAATAGTTTTGAAGTATGCCTATATCCTAAAATGGTAAATGGTCACATTTTTCTATAGCGCTTTTCCACCTTCAAGGCACTCAAAGCACTTTACAACAAGGAACCACCCATTCACACACACATTCACACACCAGTGTACGCAGACACTGTGGGCAAGGTGGGTTAAGTGTCTTGCCCAAGGACACAACGACAACATTCATCTGTGGGAGCTGGAATCACACCAGCCAACCTGTGGGTCAGTGGATCTGACCGCTCAACCTGTGATGTTTATGTCGAGAGCTGGATTCGAACTGCCAACCTTCAGATCAGTGGGCGAATGCTCTACCAACTGAGCTACTGCCGCCCAAAACAATTCTAGGAACTAGAATTGAGACTAAGAACTAGAATATTCTTCACTAAGTATTTTGTGTGACTGATAAATGTGTTTTTTAAATGTTAATTGCCATGGCTATGGTATAAATTTGTCATCATTCTGAAACCCATGGATAAAACCCACCCTTGTTTACTCCAATTTTACTTCAATAATGTATCCCTTGTGTCTGTATTTTTTGGGAAGCCTGGCCCTATTTTCAATTGAAAAGAGACAGCTCCATGTATTAAGACTATTTTTGTACCATTTGAATTACATAATAATGATTTAATGCTATGGGAATTCCTGCTGAGAAAAGCAGAGTGACCCCGCTGTGCAGTCATTAAATATTCCCAAAGAGGCGAAATTAATTCATTTGAAGATTAATTACATAAACCACCACATGGTTAATGCTGTCTTAATGTTACAGCAAAATATTAATCATTGGTCATGGAAATATATTAGATTTAAGCATTAATGTTTAAAGTTTTGTGGAAAAATTGCGACAAAGTGTTATACATAATATAAATATTTAATTATGTTTAATGTTTTAGTACAGATTTGATTACCGCTGATCCATGAAATACTGTAGTACTACTATTTTACATTTTTTTTGTTGGCCCAACCTATCTTAGTAGTTTTTTGAAATGGCACCTAACAATAACTACACCAAAGTCATTCAGGTTTAGTAACTACTTTATTAAGACTAATTAAGATTTCATACTAGTTTATTATTTTTTTAAAAGACTTTTCAATCGATTTTTGTTTCAGATGACGAGTCTACAAACAGTGACTCTACATTTCAGAACAGTGTCTCTCCAGAGGAACCGATTCAAACTGTGTCTGATATCAGAGACGTGAAGTGTCTTGATGCTTTAATAAGATCCCACACTCTCCTCGCTGTGATGACCGAACAGAACTCCCCTGAGCACCAGGCAAACCTGCTCCGAGCCTACTGCTTCGTCGTACAGATGTGGAAGGTATTTTATGCTTAAAGGGGACTTTTTGAGTAAAATGTTTGATTAAAGGGCCTGTATTACACAAAACAGACTCTTATGAGCTTTAAGACATGTTAAAATGTTGTTACCTCCTCAAAAACTGAACTGGAGTTGTGTTTTGTTTCATTCACACACAAACCCTACAAAAGAGTTCTTCTCTCAAACAGAAAACACTATCCTCCACCTTGTGATGTCATGCGGTAATGCAGGAGGTGCCACACTGTGTTTTTAAACTCCATACACCTTGACTAGAATCATTTGGATAATTTACGACCTGGAATTGCCGATCTCTACTCAATTTCCGCTTGATAGCATCACAAGGTGGAACAGAGCATTTTAAGTTTTGGAGATATAAGCTAATAATGAAGGATTACTCACTCAAACATGTCTGTTCAAGTGTTTTTTGATGAGAAAAACAACATTATAACTTTTTATTAGATAGGAAAATAGCATAATATGATATGGCCTTTTAATCCTGCATTGTCCTGCATTTTGAGGCTTAAGGCTATTTCCACGTTATACTTACCTCTGTTTAAAAAAAAAAAAAAAAAAACATACTTGGTGTCATACATATAGGGTTGATAGGGTTTTTTCTTCTTCTTCTTCTTCTTCTTCTTCCCATAATTAAAACAAGTACAACGGCCTATTGAAAATCTACAGCTTGCTATGGTGAAATTACATTATGGAGTTGTTTTGCCAATGAACATATTTCTATTACTAAGTTATTTTTTAGATCGATATTACAGTTTTATAATGAACAATATGTAATGATCTGATCTAGACATGTTGTAGTTTCATACTCATACTTACTTCATACTTTCAAATACCCCAAAAAACATAATATGTCTTCTTTATTTAACTTGAATAATTGTCTTTTTCTGTCTACTAACTTGTTTAATATGATTATTGTCTCTCTGTAGATTTCGATGACAGAAGCTAGTCATGTTTCCAGTGATATGGCAAAGTTCCAGGCCCAGAGTGCGTCTCCGGCCTCAGCGGGATCCAAGAAAGGCAAAGACAAAGACAAGGGCAAAGTGAAGAAACCGAAGGAGGTGTGTAGATGGCACACTACTATGACTAGACATATTCACAAAGATGCAAGTATTTGGACTGTATTTTACTTTGTGACTTTTTGTTGAAACGCTAAAATATTTTAGTTGAGATCTGTATTATTTTACAATGGATAAAAATATCCACTCATCACCCTAGTATATCAGTATGTTTGGATTATATAGCTTGTGGTTTTAGTTTACTTTGATTAGTAAAAAAGTCAGACAGGCTGGTAGGTTTTTAGCACCATCATGTGGCTTCTGGAGGACATTACAGATGAAAAATGGCTCAATGAATTTACTTTGAGATCACATTTAAAGCTAAAAACATTATTATTATTATTTTATTATAAACATTATTATTATTTAAATTCTACATGATAATAATAATGATAATAATAATAACAATAATAATAATAATATCTGAAGATAATTGGTTTTAGCAGAACATTTAATTAATAAAAAATAACTAAACAATTATATGGTAGATCATATTCAAATAATAAGCAATAATAGCTAATAATAATTTTTAAAAGTTATTTAAATCCACTAAACTGCTGTACATATAATTTAAGTACCTATTTAGAATTTCTCATTGTGTCCAATTCATAATGGAGTAAAAGAGTTCCAAAGTACATGCATTCATAATTTGATTAGTAATTTATTCAGTAATTCCCTACTTGTATATTGCACATATTACGCTACTTTCTGATTTATGTTATAATGTTGTTTCCTCATCAAACAAACCTGAAGTTGTGTTTTGTTTCATTCACACATTTAACACACAACTCCTTCTCTGAAACAGAAAACACTCTGTTCCACCTTGTTTTACTGTTTTTTTGTAAACTGTATACACCTTCACTAGAATCATTTGGATAATTTCTGATCTGGAATTGCCAATCTCCACTGAACTAAAACATAGCTGTTAACTTGAAATCGCTTCATGACATCAAGATGGAACGGAGCATTTTGAACTTGAGATGTAGACAGAATAATAATCCAGGACTCTTCAAACATATGTGAATGAAACAAAACACAAGTTCAGATATGTTTTTGAGAAAGTAAGAGCATTATAACATGTCTTAACGCTCACAAGAGTCAACTTAGTGTAGTAATGATTGTCCATCAAAAAAATGTCATAAAATCTGAACTATTTCCTCCTTTCTGCTTTGTCCCATAGATTTCCCCCGATGAGGACAAACAGAAGTCGCTGCTCTCAGATACGACCCCTCCTCTGACCCTGAGGGACTGGGTGTGCTTCCAGTGTCCCGACCAGGCGACAAGACACGTCTTCAGAAACAGCAGCAGCCCAGATGCCCTAACGCCCGCTCCATCCCCAAACAGGCATGACGAAAAACACAACTCTGTGAGCTCTTAGTTCCCCTGAGGGTCAAAAATTTTCAGAATGACTAGACATTGTTTCCACTGGATATGAAATCCGTCAAAATACTGACTTAACCTGCACTCTGTCATGTAGTGCACCACTTCACAACCTCTGTTAAAGGTGCACTGCGCCTGTTTGTCTCCATGGAGATGTCATTGCTTTGCCTGAAATGTTCCATGGTATGACTTTCAACAATTCCATATAGCATTTATTTATTACGTGCTTTCCTGTTTCTCAAAAATATAGTAATTTCTTCTGCTTGTGTCGCTCGTGATAGGTAGGTTTAATCTATACTGTGGAACATTCTAGACAAAGCAATAACATTTCAATGGAGACATCATGGGGCAGACCCTCTACTAGAAATGTTACACCATGCACCTATATTCAATTAATATAATAATTAGTACAACAATCATAATAATAATTACAATAATACATTTCATGATAACTCAAAGACACTAAAACAAGGACAGGACACACAAAACAAGCAGTGAGGAGGCAGTCATGTGTGGGGGTGATAGGCTGTGAGGAAAAGGTGAGTTTTGAGCTTTTTTTTTTTTTTTTTTAAGTTGTAGTAAGTCTAAGTTTCTGATGTGAAGGGGGAGAGAGATCCAGAGGGTGGGGGCAGCAGGGTGGACGAGGTCTGTGAGGTTTGGAGGAGCCTAGTTAAGGACTTTTGTCTAAGCTTTACCATAAGCTTTACTCTTACTCTCCCAAGTACCCCCTAACATGAGCAGAAGGAAAATACATATGTTTATTTTTTTTTAGTATATTGTCAGTTATTAGTTTTATTTCCTGTTTTAATTATATTGATGTTCATAATGCTCCAAAACAGGTTATATTATTTATTTATTTATTTCAAATACTATCCAGTTTTACCTCCTTTTAAAATTTAAAACTATTCATTGAACCCTCTGGTTGGAAAAACGAAACTAGTTAATTTGAAATGGTTTGCGGCGGTTCAGACGTATTCTTAACTTTCCTAACCTGGCAATTAAAGGTCCTATTTTTGTTCCCTAATCAAAAGCATACCTGGAGTTGTGTTATGTTTCACTCACAATGTTTGAGTAATGCTTTATTTTAGTCTGTCTGCATCTCCAAAGCTCAAAATGCTCTGTTCCACCTTGTGATGTCATGACATGTGGTAGTTAAGACTTACCTTTTTTTTTTTTTTGTAGAAACTGGCAATTGCAGGGCTAAAATTATCCAAATTATTTAAGTGAAGTTGTATGCACTTCCTGTATTACCACGTGACGTCACAAGGTGGAGTGTTTTCTCAGCCTAAATATGCTGGGTTTGTGTTTTAAACTTGTCTTTAAGCTTCTGTAGTTTGGAATAAAATGCTAGAAAACTGTCACATTTTGAGAGAAAATGTTCATATGTAAGAGATCATGTATAAACTATTTTTTCTCTCTTTGTACAGCCTCAGAGCCTGTTTTACCTGAACTTACTGGAGAAACAGCTTCAGTCCTTGTCTCTTCCTCACCTGACGCTGCCTGTGTTACACCTGGCTGAGACCATCGCTCATGACCTTTTGGACCGGAAAGCCCTCTCAGAACTTTATAGACTCAGGTAAATAACTACACTATAAATAATCTACAATATACAAAACTTCTCCATAGACTGGTATAGTAATGTCTGATTATGTTGCCCAGATTGCATTATTAACTCTTGTAACTTTTATGCAACTGTGTCAAATCTACAACAAATTATTTCCACATTTCTTTTTTTTTTTTAGAATTGTGAAAATCTGTCGTGAGCTGGAAGTGGAGACACATTCACCATACTTTGAGAAACTTCACAGTCTTGTGAGAATAAACGAGCAAGAGCTTAAATGGTTGGTTTTCTCAATTTCTTAAGTGCTCAATCATACTTTTTAACATACATGCAAAAGTACAGTTTATGTTTTTTGTGTTTCAGGTGCAGGAGAGAGATGCTCATTTCCCAAGAGAGAAAAAGCCTTGATCAAACTTATAAACAGGTCCGACCAAATTTGTTCTATTTTGATTACATTTTAGTTTTTTTCTGACAAACTGTTTATAATATGAGGTTTAAATTATGGTGAAATCTGAAATCTGTTTGCTGTATGTTTTCAGAAAGACCTTCTGGGTGATACTGGCGCACAGAGGGAGGACATTTGTGCTCAGAGCATTTGGCTGGGCAAAGCAGAGATCTGCCTCAGCATGGGGCTGCACGCACAGGCCAGACACTTCCTGGAGGAAACCCATTCAGTGGCAACAGTGAGTCTGAGAACGCTGTGCTCATGTACAACTGACACATTTTTGCACTCCAAGAACATCTTTCAGTTTGAATTTTATAATCTTCAGTGTAATATCAAGCTCTGAACTTCACAATAGATAGTACTTTGTCTATTTTATTTATGGTATTTTTGCTTTATGTAAGAAGATCCTTTCAGAAATTAAACAATTGAGGTCAAATAATGAAAATAAATGTAAATGAACAATAAAAATATAATAATAATGTAAAAATAATAACCTTTAATAATGTGAGTATGAAATTGTCCTCATTGTATATGACCAGAATAACAACTTAGATAGCAACAAGTCCAAATAAAAATAATCAAATAAATAAAAAATAATAATAAAATAATAAAAACTCCCATAAATTCCCAAATTCTTGTGATAAATTGTATCTGATTATGTTTAAATGATCTAGATTGTCTTTTTTATGATCTACTATTAATAGTTCTGAATGGTGATAAGTTTCTTTCTATAGGAGTTTGCAGATCAGATAAGCGCAGGGCGTGCTCTTCTCCGTCTGGCTGCTTTGGCCTGTGAGCAGCAGAGCTCTGCCCAGGCTTTGATCCTGTTGGATTCAGCCCAAGCCTCTGGAGGAGACCCGGATTTCTGGTACCAGCTGATCCAGACCAGAGTCCAGGCTACAGCCATGCAAAGAGACAAGCACGTACACGCCAAGGTACAGCCAGCTCTGATGCACACAGATCTGTACATAAGATTAGGCTAAACTCAAAACATGTTTCTTTAGATCGAGGATATTGTAAAACAAGGATGTGACGCACTGGAGCTCATAAAGGAGAAGCAGGTGAACAGACAGAAAGAGGTGGAGTTCATGATCACGTCACTAAAAATGAGGTAAAATATCAACATATGTGTATCCAATGAAAACAAAACAAAAACACATTTTCAACATTTAATTCAAATGTGTTGTTTAATGTTAGAAAATCAGATTTAGACATTTAACTAGTAACTTTTACTTTTTTCTGCAGAGAATAAGATGTTATTGATTTTTTAAAAGACAAACAATGAATATTTTCTCCTGTAGAAAAGGTTATACTTCAATTAAAGGATCCGATCAATGTGCCAAACAAAACAAATTCAATAATAAAGAAAAAATGTAAGATTGTTAGCAACTACTTTATTGTGTAATTGCTGTACAAATCTCCAGCGTATATAATGTAAACACTCTATGCCACGTTATTCTTGGTTCAGAAAGTATACAATATGCATGTAATAGTTTGTTTAAGCCTTTGACTTCATTCTACTCCTTAAACTTATTGTGACTTGTTAAATATTACAGTTTTGCGTCATTATCTGTGTTTGAGACAAATACATTTCATTTAGGATTTGAACGCTGAATATAAGTAATTAATCAGATTATTCTTTTACAGAGGAGCTGTGGAGTGCATACATTCGGTTGGTGACGTTGAACCTGGTCAGACCCTTTGTCCTGACGAGGCTCTGAGGCTTAAAAGTGACTGTGATAAACTGGAGCAGTGCGCACGAGACTTCACCCTGCTCCAACACAGAGAGCAGGCAGCAGAGGCCCTGGCACACTGCGCACATGGACTCAGGTACAAGATTATCGTCCCCTGGAAAATTATCTTTGGGATTTTTTCCTAAGGCGGATAGTCTGTTTTTTCCTTGCAGGTTTCTAGCCCAGCACAGCCCAGAGACAGAGGATAAACAGCGCCTCCTGCTGGATGCACTGTCACAGATGCAGGCAGCTGTCAGGGAGCTGGAACATGTTGCCCTGAATGCTCAGAATCTGCTCCCTGCACAGGAGGAGGTATGAGGGGCACAGGTCCAAGAGTCCATCTGTCATTAAAGCTTATTGAGTTCAAAGGGACCTATTTTCAGACCTAATATTTTTAAGTGAATCTTCAGACCTTTAATTTCATGGGTAATAAATGCTAATAATAAATTCTTCTTTTTAACTGAAAATATGAAGACAACTCCTTAATATTTTCAGTTTTCTAACTAAAACTAAAACCATTTTCTCACTATCTTGTTAAAAAGACAATGCATGATGATTTATTTGATCTAAAATCTACTGTATTGTCTGCCTCATTGATTTTGCTTTGCAGCTTTGGTCAGCAGATGGCGCTGCTGTTTAGCAAAAAGAGGCACCAAAGAGGCATTGATTTTTACACTAAACATGCTGTACAGTACTTTTGTCCTACTTCAGTCTATCAAAATGAGTTTTGTTAATCCGCTTTTCACTTTGGTGCTCTCAATTTTATTTCAAATGTTTATGAGCACACTTCATAGCCCACCTTTTTGCTTTTCTCCTGAGAAAAGTTTAAAGAGAATAGTAAATTGAGAGAATTATTACTGGTGACTATACTAGCCACTTAGACCAACATGAGTGTCAAAAGTTCAACCTGCAGGAACTGTTTAATTTAATCAAAGCTATTCACTCCATAATTACATTTTTTTTTTTCCATCAAGTTACATCAGTACTTAATTATAAGAGTGAGTTAATACAAATGAGCTTGTTGTCAAAGATGAGATGTGAAAATGAACTCATATTGTTGGTGTGGCCTTTCCCCCAGAGCCCTGTTGTATCCCTGGCCGTGCTGAGGTGGCTGCTGAGGCTGCGTCTGGCTCTGGCTGAGCTGTGTCTGCTCATGTTGGAAGAACACTGCACTGAACACACACACCAGGCTGTGGCCCGGTCCCACAAATCTGCAGCTCAGATCATTGTGGAGGACTTCACCCGCTCCACGCCTGAGCCTCACACCATCCAACAGGTCAGCTGATTCACAGGTTGTATTTAGAGTCACTGCCTCAAATTGTTGAAATTCATTAATTATAATAAAAAAAGAGGGACAAGTTGCTCACACACTCATAATTTTAGTAGTAGTTTTAGGAATCCTTACACACTGAGAGAATTGAATAGGTAGTAGGTGGTAGGTAGTAGTATGACAACCATTAATGGTGGTACACCCAAAAATATCATGTATTCAAGTGTAATTTTTAAGCACTTTATGTGGCATGACTGAAAAAGTTGGACATGCTCTAAATAAGTGGGGGGATGAACAGGGGGCTAAATGGCTGGACAACCAAAAGAGGGACAGATGGTCACCCAGTTGTATCCATGGTCTAGAATGTAAAATGACAATAGGACCTTTTAGGTATTTTTTAATGAAAACCCAATTAAAAAAGTCACAGCTGTTGTAACTTGCCACATTAATCATGCACCATATTTTTTGGACTATATATATCGATCCAGAGTATAAGTCGCACCAGCCAAAAAATGTATAATGAAGAAGAAAAGAACATATATAAGTCACACTGGACTATAAGTCACTCTTTTGGGGGGAAATGTATTTTATAAAATCAGGGACCAGGAACTGACATTTTATCTTAAAAGGCTAGTTCTAGTAATAACAATACAATAGATAACAACAGGCTGAATAGGCGTTAACATGTTAACATAACATATTATCAATTATTCAGATAGTAACTATAGCAGAAACAACAGAACAGAACAAGTTTACCAAACTCTCCGTCTCACTCCAAATCACTAAATCCATTGAATTCTTCATCCTCTGTGTCACTTCAAGTCCACGCTTTGTCATCCAATGACTTCCAGGAAAGTTTCATGGTGACCCACCTGGTTGCCATGAAACTGTGTTCTTTATACCTGCTTTCTGCCAGTCCCTCACAAGTTTCTCGCTCATTCCAAACTTTATTTCTGCTGCTTGATTACTGTTTTCTGCTGCATATTTCAGTACTTGCAGCAGGACAGTGGCTTTTTCTGAAGGAGACATGCGCAGAAAACTGATACACAAGTCTAGAGCGCCCTCTCACGGTTGTCAGTCTGAAAATTTTAATATATAAGACGCAGGAACACCCAAACCATGAAAAAAGTGTGACTTATAGTCCAAAAAATACGGTAGTTTAAAGGAGTGTTTCCCAAAGTTTTTTGTCTTGAGTAGCCCCTAAGCATTGTCTCACACTCTCTTCTTACAGTACTGGAGTTTCTTTGGTAATTATTAAGTATGTTTACTAGTACAAGGCCAACTATAAGTATTATATTTTTTGTTATATTATCCCACAGAATTATTCTCAAGCATGTAAAATGTATTACATAAAATAATGTGCCTTTCAATGCCACCTTTCTTTGAATTCTTAAATGATTCCAAGTACCCCTGGATGGGAAACACGGGTTAAAAGTCCTGTCACCCATTAACGATCATTCTCGAGTTTTATTAATAATTAAGTTGTTTTCTGCCAACACAGACACTTTGAGCCAGAGTCTACTTTTCATATGTCTATGAAGCACACTAAAAGACACCATAAACCAGACTTTTGACACATTTAACTACAGATTGTACCATATAGTTTACGCAGTCCTCCATCTCATATTCAAACAGTTTTACATCCCATGAACATAGAAAGTCATAGGCTGCTCACATTGGTAGTCTGAGCATGTTTATAAAGCAAACAGGCAGTGAATGTTAAATTTACCCAACATGCCGGGTTTGCTATTGCTCATTTATTATTAATAGATTAGATCAGGCAACTGGTATATGCTGAAAACGTGCCCATCAGTGTGTGTGAATTGCATATAGCTAATATATTGCTTTCTCAAGTCTATTTTCTTGCACCACTCAATTGTTCCTGGCTAGACACTTGTTTTCTCCATCTTTCCTCCATAACAAAACCTCTTGAATTCAATATATTCCTACTTCTGACAGTAAACAGATACAGATCTCTCCAATATGTTTGAAAATCGGATTGAAAAGTCATCCAAAATGCACAGTGTCTGAATTTTATTGAAGTCAAATGCATGTCTAAAGGGTTGTATAACAGGGCCTTGTCTAACCTTTCCGCCTCTGTCCTGGTTAGGCCTGGCTGAATGTGGGCACTACCCTTGGGCAGGTGGCGCTGGGCCAGCTGGCAGCGGTCAGCTCTCACTACCTGAACAGCGCCGAGACCAAAGCATGGAGCCTATGTCTAATGGGGAAATATCTGAGGTTACAGGCTACGATGGAAGACCCCATTTATGTATCCGCCCTCTGGGACCCTCACAAGCAGGTACAGCCACCGCGACTAATGCTGTCTCCTATTACATAAATACTACTGTCCTCAAGGGTTTCAATAAAATATAAACAGTCAGGGCACAGACTTTGGGTCTTATCTGTACCTCCTTTGGGAACACCTCTTGGCCCATTTCTGCATTATGAGTTTTTGTCTGCCTTTTGGTTTTTTTCATCCCGTAGCATTGAAATGAACTGGAGAGCAAATTTAGTCAGTCAAGAGGCTCAAAATTCACTTCTAAAAATCAATTGTATCTTCACAAAGTACATTGTATTGGCAGATGTATTGGGGCACACAGCAGTTTCTGAAATGTTACCCAGAAATATCAGTGAAGGACTAGGCAAGAAGAAGGTTTAGTTAGTTTAGCCCATGGTGGTATAGAATAACAGAGTCTAATGAGTCAGTATTTCCACCAACCTGCTCAGGAACTACAGGTGTAAATGAACCTGGCACCAGCATCTTACCTATGACTTTTGTCTTGTTAGTATATTGTTATGCACTGTCCCTGTGTAAATAAAAAGCATACTGTACTGTACCATCATATAGAAGAAACAACAAAAACATAGAAAAGCATGCTGCCTTACTAGGGGTGTAACGGTACATGTTTTCGTGTCAAACCATTTCGCTTTGTGGGACATTTGCTTCGGTGCAGGACTTTGCACAATTGAGTTCATTCAATTTGTGTTTGTTTACGTTCTACCACTACATGTGCAGCTACACGGAAGGCTCGGCTGTTTAATATTCATGAGGGAACTCGTCCGTGATTTGGGTGGCAGTGTTTCCCTCCGCTTGTTTCCTGCACTTTATATTTAAGGCGCCCTTCTTGACAACAATTGCCCCCCGCCTTGACTACTTCCCTGCGAACCATGTGAATCCTCGCAAAACTCCGGTCCTCACTCTCGCCTTTCGCCAGCTTCATCCTGCGCTTTATGTTTTGAAAAGTTTTGTTTACTGTTTAGAGAGAATTAATTTTTTATAATATTTCATAGATTTGTTGCTTATTTGAGAATATTTTATTTAACTTATTAGTATTACAAAGCAGCACTTTGCATTTATTTTATTTTCCCGTTTGTATAATGTTAAAACTAATTCTTGGTTTAATAAACACAGAAATAAACAACAAGTAAATGTTTTTGCATTTTATTCTCATACTGTACCGAAAATGAACTGAACCATGACCTCAAAACCGAGGTACGTACTGAACTGTGATTTTTGTGTACCGTTACACCCCTAGTTCTTAATTTCTCCGCCTGCTTGCTTCCAGGGAAAAGTTGTTTCTTGCTGTTGATACCTTGCAGCTCATCAACATTCCCTGGGGATGTGACGTTATCTGTAGACACTGCTTTGTCTGAAACTCTGCTACCCAAGTTAGAGTCTAATCTGAGCTTCACTTTAACACATAAAGATCTAACCAAAAAGAACTGACTCAGCCTGAACTATAAAAGGTTAGCTGAGTTGAGACACATGTTTTAGTTTTTTTTCTTTTCAGAGGTCATTGCAGACGCTTAAGTGTCTTCTGTATTGTCTGGAGAGTCGCACAGGAACCTTACACAACAGAATGATTCCTGTACTTTGTTCATAACTGTAAAAATGTGCCTCTTAAGCCAGTATGCAAGAACCCATTGAGCCGTGTAAGCGTGTTGCACTGACTGCAATTATAGGAGAAATCTTGAGGAATTCCACTGGAGACCTGTTGCTGGAATGCCGCCGCCCACACTCACACACACTTCACATAAGCCCCAGTGCTCCAATAACCTGGAAAAATCACTGGCTTATGCTGATTATGGAGAGATAATGTCAGCCCGTGTATTCACTACTGAGAGGCTTACGTCCTCATGGTTTGTGATCATAAGAAGATTTCATAATAATTACACCATTGTTCTGTGATCTCGCAAGAACTCGGAGCTGAAGGAGGCCGACCCACAAGCAACAGGAGCAGAGCAAGAGACTTCAGAGAAAGAACAAGAATCAGGCATCAAAAAGCCAAGAATGACCTCTGCCAAAAGCTCCGATCAGCAGGTACAAACTGTGACAAATGATCCTATTACAGCTATCAGTGGAAAGACCCATTATTAATGACTTTGAATACTCCTGCATGCTAAGATTGTCTTCAACTCATTATTTTAATAAGCTCAGTTAAATCGCTTTATGGCCCTCTCCTTCTCCTTCAGTGCTCCTCCATGTTTTTAAAGTCCACACACCTCCCAATTGCCTCTGCCACATCTAGTCCTTAGAATTCTTGCCTGTCATTCCTGTAATCAAGTCAAATTTGTTTTGCCTCAGAACAGATATATTGTATAAGCCGCTCTTCAGATCCGCTGTGTGGTGTCTGCAGCGAATTATAAAGCATTTCTAGTTCTGCTTTTCATCTTTTTAATACAGCAATAATCAGTTATTGTGCCTTTAAGCAATAGATTAAGCAGTTGGTACGATTCTTAGAATATGCACAGACATAATTCATATCTGCATCCTGCAACCTACTCCAGAGATATAAAGGCAGTTGCAGTGCTGACTTAATCCACCTACTCACTAGAGCAGAGGTCTCCCACCTGTAGCTCAGGAGCTGCCAGTAGCTCTCCACCCCGTTCCATGTAGCTTGCCAAGGTATTTTTTAATTATCGTATTTTCCGGAGTCACACCGGACTATAAGTCACACTTTTTGGGGAAATGTATTTTATAAAATCAGAGACCAGGAATCAAAATTTCAACTTGAAAGGGAAGTTATAGTAATAACAATAGAATAGAGAACAACAGACAGAATAGGAGTTAATATGTTAACATAACATACACGTAACAGTTATTCAGATAATTATAGTATAAACAACATAACATAAGTTTACCAAACTCACAATCTCACTCCAACTCACTGAATCCATTGAATTCTTCGACCTCGGTGTCACTTCTGCATGACCTCTGGAGATAAACCATAGATCCATGATGTAAACAGAGCGCTGCTTCCTCTCCTGTGTAGCTGTCGTCAGACTCAGCATCAGTTCCAGTTAGAATTATTCCAGCCTTTCTGAATCCTGTCAGGATGGTTTCAGTTGTCATTGAAGTTCAGGCTTTGTCGATTCATCCAGTGACTTCCAAGGAAAGTTACATGGCGCACCTGCCCGGTTGCCGTGAAGATGTGTTCTACATCCTCACTTTCTGCCAGTCCCTCACAAGTTTCTCACTCCAAACTTTCTTTCTGCTGCTCAATTACCGTTTTCGGCTAAATATTTCATTTGCAGCAGCAAGACAGCAGCTTTTTCTACAGGAGACATGCACAGTAGAGCGAAGTGACAGTGGTACAAGAGTAACAGTAGTACTAGATACTGACACACAAACCTAGAACCTCTCGCAGCTGTCAGTGTGAAAATTTTCATATAAAGTTGCACCAGAGTATAAGTTGCAGGACCACCCACACCATGAAAAAAGTGCAACTTATAGTCCGAAAAATATGGTATACATATTGTGCTGAATAATAATGATACATGTATCATTTTGATGCTGTGTGCACTTATAAATGGATAATGGTTTATGAGCATCTAAGATTTGCCATTACTCTTACATCTACTCAGTTTCTTATCACCGCTAAAATTAGTAGCTCTTTGACATTTTTGTTTTGTAGAGGAAGCTCAGTGGAGGAAAAGGACTGGAGACCTCTATATTAGACTTTTAGGTGTATCCATGCATTGTAAACATGTATAACCTGATTAATTACTCTGTGTCTGTTATATTTGTTCAATTAAATCTGCAGGGAGCACAACATCTATTAGCTGAAGCCAGTAAGTCCCTGTCAGAGGCCTCGAGTTTGTGTCTTCAGAACCAGCTCTCCCTTGCACTCCTGTCTGAAGTCTGCCTGAACATGATGGAGACCCACGGCCTGTCTGAGCCCAGTGTCACCGGGCAGTACCTGGCTCTGCTGCAGGTGAACTCACTGTCACAAAGCTCAATGTGTATTAATGTGCATTATTGGAAGATAGACAAGACTATTCTATATAACTTACCTTCTCTTCTGTTGCTTCCTCTCTCATAGCAACGGAATTCATGCTCTCTATCACATGGAGTTGTTGTTGCTATGTTTGGCTTTCTCAGTACGGCATTATACTTTAACCTTGCACAGGAAGATAGATTCCTCGTGGTACTTGGAGCTGCCTGCTTGTCTTGAAATAGATATGATATTTTGATTACATTTTTTCATTGCACAACACCACGGACACCTCTTCCATGATCCGCTTAGCTTTTCTTTTATATTTAATTATGTTTTACAAGAGCCAGTTTACTCTTACTTATGCAGTCTACGTTTTTTTCCACCTTCCCTACTTTCATCGTGGAGTCTGTCTTATGTAATCGCTGCATTTTTAATATTTGAAGTAATCTCAAGATACATACAAACATGATACTAGTAGTGTTGACACGATACTAAAATTCCAAACAAATTTTTTATACTAAGGAAACAGACAAAAGATACAGCTATTTAAAAACCTTTATGATGAGTGGTGGAGTGTGCTGGAGGAGCTTTTAGAGGAAGGTCAGGGACAGGTTATCCAGGGACTTGTACATAATGGTGAAGTTTGATTTGTATGGCCTGGGATAGGGAGCTAGTGTCCTCCTAGTTTAAGTCAGCTCAGTGGCACAGCAGTTACCGCTTCAGCCTCACAGAAAGAAGCTCATGGAACACTAAGGCTACGTTCAGACCTCAGCCTGAAGTGACCCAAATCTGATTTTATTTATTTTTTGTCCCCTATGTGACCTGTATCTGATCTTTTAATGACAGTCTGAACGACACAGATTCGATTTTTTCAAATGTGACCCAGGCCACTTCGATATGTGGTCCTAAAACCGATATATTTCCGATCTTTTGACATGCGACTTCAGTCTGAACAGCCAAAGCGCATTCATCCGACCTACACGTTATCAACAAGCCACAAACGTCACTGTTCTGCACATCGCCACTCACCACTCTTGGCTACGTCTCCACATCCACACATTCCTTTGAACGGTCGTTGCTGCCACTGCCCCACAAAACACCACGGCCAAAAACCTCGTCCTTCTCCTTCTCAATCTCCTCCTTAAAACAAGTAAGTTGTTCATGTTCTGGCTCCGGTACGAGAGAAACTTTAAAATCTCCAGGTGCTCAATGCTCGCATCCATGTTTGGACAACTTCCATAAACACAGAGCACGCTCGCTGCGGTTGATGTCATCATGTCTCCAGTGCACATGTGGGACACTTTTGGGCTGTTTAAAGTTAACACTGGAGATCACATACAAGTCGCATTTAATTGGAAATGTGAACGACCTCACAAAAACGGATTTCACAAAAAAATCCAAATTGAGCGTTAAGCCCTGCAGTCTGAACGTAGCCTTTAACATGTACAATAGAAAGTAAAAAAATAAAAAAAATTATAATAATAATCATAATATTATTATTATTATTATTATTATTATTATAATAATAATATAAAATAGAAATAGAAATACAGTAACATTAAATCTTTCTGTGATTTAACTTTACCTTTTTGTCCTGTCTTGTTGCTTTTTCTATTACACATTTCCATTTGTTACCTCACTCCAGAGCTGCCTCTCCATCAGCTTCATGTCCAAGGTCCTGAGTGCAGCCTGTAGTGACTCCAGGGACTGTCTCTCCTCTCTCTCCTCTGTGCTCCGGCTGCACACAAACCTGCTCCTGTCCCGTGACGAGAGCCCCACCCGCCCCCTGCAGGCAGCTCAGGGCACTGTCTGCCCCTGCTCCAAGGTACCGGCCTCCGCTCCCATCTCATGATTAATGAATGCTGTCACTGCCTCCTCTATGAGCTCCCTGGATGGCACATGCTATGTTAAGGTCTCTGCCATAAATATACTCCGGGATTTAACACACATGGGATTGGGACACACAGGAGTTAGGATGAAGTTGGATTTGGAAAATAAAAAAGGTAATAATGTTGCAAAACTGCACCATTTTGTGTTACGTATAGAAAACCCACAGCTCCTACAAAAGAGATTTTTAGAGATGTTATACACTGATTAACTGACTTTTGACCATGTTATATAGTGACTTCCTCAATCAAACCTCATTCAAAAGGTGTCTTTTTCTCTTTTTCTGAAAAAACGAAATTGATCTGTTGAAAACGGTTACATGGTTTAGCCCACCAACCTCATAAGACTAAGGTTATTTCAACTCTTGAAATACAATCTTCTGCAAACACCACGCACAGTTGCTGAATATATTTTTATGTACTTTCAACTCTTTCTTGTCCACAAGGGGACAGATACAGTAATTCAGTCCTTTGACTGTGCAGTAGTAGCCAGGCTGGCGCCACCTAGTGCCTCCGCTCAATTTCATGTCTCTCCAGCGACTAGCTCAGGAATCAGAATACACTAGATCAGACATGTCCAAACTATGGCCCGTGGGCCAAATGTGGCCCTCAGACAAATTTATCTTTGCCCTCAGGCTTCCAGGAGAATTGGCCCAAATTACCTTGCATCAATGAATAATAAACTTTTTTATTGCAAGTTTTTTGAAAATCTACCTTGGTAAAGCTAATATTTAATATTTTGTGTGTGGCTTTAAAGGACTGATGGCTCATTCTAACATGTTAGACATGCACATATTTTAATTATTCACTGTATTGAGCACCAGTCTATGGCCCTCGATCGGCCCTCTGCTTCGTGTGTGTTTAGATATGTGGCCCTTGATGAAAAAAGTGTGGACACCCCTGCACTAGATGGTTTGCACAAAACCCCGGACGTGTGAGTCAATCAGCAAAAAGCCATACATTCTGTGTTGGCAACGGTTCTCAAGATTGAGGAGTTAAAGCCGGAACAAAGAGAATGTTTGGTGAATTTTATCAAGGGGAAAGACGTTATTGTCCTTCTTCCTATGGGATTTGGGAAAAACTTAATATACCAGTTAGCCCCGTTACCAGTGCATTACATACGTCACGACCAAACAGCAGCGACTGATTTAATAAAAAAAGTACCCGCCTACCGTTGAGTGAAAGAATCCTAATGCTGCAAGGTCACTTCGTGGAAACCGGCTGATGAATCAGGCTAGTGCACTAGACCCCATGTGTTCAATTATTCTTTTTTTTTTATAGACATCTATTGGATACGTATTTTTCCAACATATTTAAAAATAGGATTGGTTATTGCAACTATTTAATTGTAATAGTAACTGAATGTTGTTTACTGCTGGCCTTTCTGAAATAACTAAAGTGTTCTGTATCTTCTCCAGGCGTTCTCTCATTTGTCCATAAACCCTGGGCACCTGAGCCTCCTCTCAGATCTGCCTCCAAACATGAAGCTGCTCCTGCTGCAGCACTCCGAGGACAGGTGAGCCACTCTGTTATATTTACTTTATGTTCTCATCTGCCTTTTACCTATGGACTATAAATACTGCCCTGGCTCCCCCTGTCACTGCTATGATGTATGTGTTTGCATAAGGACGAACAAAACACTTTCAGGACCACATTAACTATATATGTACATAACTGGACACTAGGGGGCTGTTTTTCTGACTCTAATCTTTTTTTACAGGAAAGAACTTTATGGGGCTTTCTATGAAGTGAAAGCTCAGGGAAATCAAAAAGGGAGGTCAACTCAAACTAAAGGTAAGAACTTTTACCTCATCATTTTATAAGTAATATTCCTCTTATACTCCTCTGTATGGCTGCATTCACACTTTCACCATGCACCACAAAATACTAAAATTGGGACAGAATAACCATTAAGTTCAGAAGGATTTATTTAGTGTTTTTTTGGACACTCAAAGACGCTTAAGAAACAATGGAAATCAGTAAGAAATTGTAGAAAACAGCAATGGAAAAATAGTCACGCCAGTAGAAGATAGTTCACAATTTTTACGAGAGCCATCACTAGAGTTTACTGGAGTATGATTGTCTCAAACATAACCATTAAAGGTGCGTTTTGTAATTATTTTGGTGGAGGACTCATTATCATAGCCTGACTCATCAGCCAGTTTCACTTCGTGGAAACTGTCGGACCTCGCAGCATTAGAATTTGTTCGCTCAACGGTGGGCAGGTACTTTTTTATTTAACAAATCGCTGCTATTTGGTCGTGACGTATGTAATGCGCCTCTAACAGGGCTAATTGATATATTAAGCTTTTCCTAGACCCTGTAGGAAGAAGGGCAATAACGTCTTTCCCCTTGATAAAATTCACAAAACATTCTCTTTGTTCCGGCTTTAAATCCTCGATCTTGCGAATCGTTGCCAACACAGAATGTATGGCTCTTTGCTGATTGGCTGGTACCCGAACTCGCACTTCCGGGGTTTTTTGCAAACTGTGTACTGCATTCCGATTCCTGACCAAGTCGCTTGAAAGAAATGAAATTGAGCGGAGGCACTAGGTGGGGCCAGCCTGGCTATCATCACCCTACTCGTTTCTTCCTGTGGAGATGTTTTTATATGCCTGGAATGTTCCACGGTAAGGCATTACATTTCTCTGTCTTGCATTGATTCTTTTGCAGGTGTCTTAATTATCTTAAAAAAACATGCATTTCAGTGAGAGGGCTCTCCTCTCCATAGACCTGACCTGTAACTTGGCCTGGAAATCTTCATGGAAATAGATAAACTGGCCATACCTTTGAACGTTACTAGCAAATAATGACATCTCCTTAGAAACAAGAAGGTGCCAGACCGTCCAGTAGAAAAGTTGCGTAGTGTATGTTTTAAATAATTATACTTAATCGTCTTTATCTGGAATCTAACAGCTAAATCTGCTAAGTTGGCATTTATTTCATGCGCATATAAACTACTAGACTGCAGCTCTGCTAAGAAATGCATTTGGAGTAACTTAAATAACACCGACCGCTTCGGAGACCCCAATTCTGAATTTGTAATGCCCACTGTTACCTTGAAGCCGTATCTTGCCCTATAGTCAGCATTTACATAGCTTTGAATGAACATGGCTTAGCATTTCTCCTCGAGGGCAGCTGAAAGTTCACATTTAATGAAGACAAAGAAAAAATAACCACCCCGAAGTGCAAACCAAAGGACTTTGTGACCTCGGCATCCGCATCGTCTTTGAACCTTGACTCCTAAACGTCACCGCCTGATATTAAGATGGACCACATGGGCTTTCTACTGATTTACCAAGACACACAAGTGCGACCGGATCGGATCTTAAGTCATTATGTAAGGATAAATCGGAAAAGACAAGTGGAAAACAAGATTAGACACGAGAAGATGTATGTGGTCGGAGCTCGCAGGGACCAATTATAAGCCAGTACTGTACCTGTCCAAGTATACATGCCTCAGTCTGTGTCAATCTTGTTGTTTTAGGCCTGACATGTTCAAAGGTTGCCAAGGTTACCGTCTGCCCCAGGACTCTGCTGACTCTGCAGGACAGCGCTCAGACCTTGGACCGAGAGACCAGACGAGTCCGACTAAAGGAGGCCTCCCGCCGGACAGCAGAGGGCGCAACTCTGGAGGTGTGGACGGATTTACATGAGATCGCTGCAATGTTCACTATCATTTCTTAAGAAGTACTCCTCTCGTACTCCTCTTGCACATACACCACATCAAACTGGGGACTAAATCTAGAAATAAACCAGGACTAAACCAGGACAAAGTTTTAGCCTGTGAAATAGATGCTGATTTAATAATAATACAGTAAAAATCTGATTTATATACAGTTGTCCCTCGCTATATCGCGGTTCTTTTCACGGTCTTGCTGTTTCGCAGATTTTTTTTTTGCTATTTCGCATGTTTTTTTTTTTTTTTTTTTTTTTTTTTACAGCGTATGAACATGTTTTGTGTATTATGGGTGGGTAGTAATTGCACACGGGTGGGTCAGGACTAAACCAGGTCTAAATCTAATCTTGGACTTAAGAGAGAGAACCCGAGCACGGTGTCCGCAAAGTGCAATTGGGCATTTGCCGCGTTTACCTTCGTGAGGTGCTGAGCTCTCCATCGGTCCTTTCTCCTGCGGTCACCTCCGATCCCGTCCCAACAGTGAGTCCTGTTTCAGTTCTGATTTAGTCCTGGTTTACTCCTGTTTACTCCTGTTTTAGTCCTAGTTCAGTCCTGGTTTAGTCCTCCTCTTCAGTCCTGGAATCAGTCCTAGTTTAGTCCTGAGTTAGTCCTGGGTTAGTCTTGGTTCAGTCCATGGCGTAGGCAGCACAAAAGTTTGATACAATCTCAGGTTAACGGGCGGGTGCGGTGTTGTACTGCGCGGGTGCGGTGCTGGGACTCTGTGCTGTAGGACTCCATTATGGAATAAATTAATCTTCAGTTCGTTACATAAAGAAGGAGGAAAATAACAAAAGGACGACAGCAGCAATAAGTTTTAAGAAGGATGCAAAAAGGGTTGTAAGTGTCCTCTGTGACAAAAGTGTATAAAGTCTGTGGTGAGGGGTTTTACAGACTTGTAAAATATAAAGTTGACTACTTCGTGGATTTCACCTATCGCGGGTTATTTTTAGAACATAACTCTCACAATAAACGAGGGACCACTGTAGTGCTATTTTTGGAATTACCAATAGGAAACAGTAGAAAACGGCGGTGGAAATCTTAGTGGGGGATGCCAGATTGAACAGTTTTAGCAGTGATTTGAAGTGCTGTAATGACTCCGAGTTCCTGATGGGTTGTGGGATTGAGTTCCAGAGGGTGGGGCGGTGGCAGCGAAGGCTCAGTTCCTCAAGGTCCAGCGCTTTGTCCTGATGAGGGGAGTGAGGGGGTTGGTGTCTGATCTGAGACAGTGGGTGGGACAGGGACAGCGTTGATGGAGGAGTCGGTGAGATACGGAGGAGGGAGGAAGGAGGGGCCGGGTTTTGGAGGGACTTGTAGGTGATGAGGAGGACCTTGTATTGTATACAGTATTGGACCAGGAGTCAGTGGAGTTGTTTGAGGACAGAGGTTATGTGTATATGTCATTTTTGTTTACTATCCATGTGCTCCAAGTGAAAAAGTAGTATCAGTGCCATCGAAATTATTTTATCTTTTTGTCTAAAGACCCCAAAATGGCTTCCATAACAAGGAAAAGTTATTAGGCTGACACATATAAAGTTTATCTACTGGCAAAGGAGAAATTAAATTGGTCAACTGGACAAATGTTTATTTAGATCAGGGGTCTCCAACCTGTAGCTTGGGAGCTACCAGTAGCTTTCCACCCCCTTGCAAGTAGCTCGCCAAGGGATTTCTGAATTATACATTTGATGTAAATGTCTGTGTTGACAGAATAATAAAACTAACCTTGCATCGCATGAATCTTTGCATGTTGAGGGATTATTTTCTCATATATCAGTCCGCTGCTGCCAAGCTTTCTATCAGGAAGTACAACTCACTTTTGCTCAGACATAAATCCTTCAAATGCAATTTTGGTTTTACCTCTAAAATGATTCTATCAACACAAACATTCACATGGACAGTCTGGTGTAATAATAGATTTTCTTCGGGTGTTTTGTTGAGTGGGTAAGACTGTTTTTAGTGGCAGGAGAACTATGACCATTGACATGCACTAGCCTAGCACCAGCGACCTCTGCAAATACAAGGACTGGATGGAATATTTTAAAAAGTGTCTTCACACGTCTCCAACACTCTGGCTCACTAGGAAATGAGGACCTATGTCAAAAATTCCAGACTGTCCCTTTAATATTATCGTAAACCTGCAAAATATTTGAAATGAACAAACATAAGGCATATGGCTCCATCTCTTTAGATTGAAATTTGCAAGTGGTCTGTCATCTATGAACAGTTTTTCTCTATGGATTCACTCACATGCAGTTATATTCTTTTTTTTTAATTGAATGTACAAAAGTAAAAAATACTATTACTACTACTCATCTGCTCAAAAAGATGTAATGAAGTCAGATAACGCTTTCAAGCACCAGCAGAAATGGGTCGTGTTAAAAGGAACATAATAATGACTTAATCACAGGGGTCATTCAGGCCCTGTACAAATTGAGACATAAACAGATTTGTTCCTTGTTCCTTAAACAGAGCTCAGCAGCAGAACAAGCATTAGCACCTCTCTTCAGGGAGCTGCTACAACTAATGGAAGCCTATCTGAATCCACTTCTTTCACAGTTTGACTTCTCTGGTTTCAGGTGAGTGTTCAGATTCTCTGCTTTGTCCTTTACAAAACATTTCATGGCCTAAAGAAACACTTAAGTTTTAAGTCAGTGTACAACCAAGGTTTGAATTGTCATTTTCAGATCTCTACACAAACACTGTACAATCAAGTTACTACAACATCTTCTTTAGTCTCAATGCGTGTAAAATGTGATGTTAGTGTGCCAGCTTACATTTTTAATGATACAGTTTCAGTCTCTTGGCTGCAAATTGCATGACTTGTAGCAGTGAGTATTGTTTTTTTTACCAAGAGAAAGCAGTTAGCGGAAAAAAAAAACATAAAACCCTTTTGGATCATAATCATGTGTTCATAGAAGCAAGGCAAGTTTATATGTAGAGCACAATTCATACGAAAAGTAATTCAAAGGGCTTTATGGAAGAGGGCATTAAAGAGGAGGAATTACACACATAAAACAAACAAATAAAAAAACATCAATAATCATAATAAAAGTAACATGAAAAGTGCAGAGAAAAACCTTTTAGCCATGTGCACAGCTAAACAGAACTGTTTTGAGCCTGGATTTAAACATTGTCAGATTAGAATCTGGTCTCACATCTTTAAGAAGTCTGTTCCAGGTTTTAGCTGCATAAAACAAAATCATTCCGTGTTTAGTCCTGACTCTGAGGACCAGCAGGAGGCTGGTCCCTGAGCTCCTCACAGTGCAGATGGTTCATATGGCGCTAACATGTCAGAGATGCTCTTTGGTGTTACGCCATGGAATAGAGATCTGAAATTTTTGATCAGCTGACAGATAACTTTATTATTCTGTTGTAGAAGTGTAAAACAATCATATTTACAGACACCCCAAATCCTCCCTTACTGTACATGCATGGGTTTCAGAGCTATAAAATAGAGGCACTCTCGTCATTAATAATTCAAAAGCAAATATTCTATCTTTTCCATGGTCAAAAATTACACCTACAAACAGGAAAGTGAAAAACATGAATATTGTTGCAGCATTAGTGATGTTTCTCTATGGTTTTACTCCAGGCCTGTGTCAGCAGCTCTGGAGCCGACTCGGGCCAAAGACAAAGAGGAGAAGACCAGCTCAGGTACAGCTGCAGGGACTCTAACCTGTGTGGACCCGGGCAGCCTCATTAGCTCCATCTGTTGTGGCTCACTGCAGCACTGTATTCATTTGAATCTATCCAACTCATCTGTAAGCCTTGTGCAGGGCATGAAAGAGGAGGACATACACACATACGCACACACACACACACACACACACACATGGATGCTGCCCACAGTAAAATAGTGCATGTGTGATGAAAACAAAAAGACAAAAAAAATAATATTTCAAACTCAAGAGCATAATCAAGAAGAGAAGATAATAATTTTAATATTTGTGATAACTGTAATGATTTAAATACAAGAAATAATAGATAACAAATTGATCACCCAGTTAGGCTTTCGGCTATTAAAGGTGTACCATGTAACATTTCTGTTGAGGGATCAGCCACGTGCTCGTCTTATTAACAGTGTTGGGAGTAACGCGTTATAAAAGTAACGAATTACAGTAATGCATTACTTTTTGCTGTAACGCAGTAATGTAAGGCATTACAGGGGAAAAAATAGTAATATTTTACTCGGTACAAATGTGAGTAACGCGCATTACAGTGTTTTTTAACCTGGATTGAAGTGGTGGGTTTTTCTTCATACAAATTCGCTAAAATCACCTCGATATCAGCAGTGGTGAAACGCCGGAGATGCGCCCTCGTAGACCTTCAGGTAACCGCGGGCGAAAGGACTGACAAAGAACTCCACGCTGTTTAGACCTGGTTTAGTCCTGGTTCAGCTCTGGTTTAGTCCTGGTTTAGACCTGGTTTAGTCCTGGTTCAGTCCATATACAGCGCAAAAGTTATTTTGATGAGAGTAACTTAAAGTAATGCAATAGTAATGTTTATGCCTTACATTTTAAATGCAGTAATATTGTAATGTAACGAATTACTTTGAAATGACAGTAATAGGTAATAAATAACGCATTACAGTTTCAAAGTAACTTGCCCAACAGTGCTTATTAAATTAGATCTTATTAAATTATTATTATTAAAGATCATATACATAAGTTTATGGAGGCATCAGATGGCTGACCCTCCCACAGAAACCCTTCATCATGCACCTTTACATTCCATTTCCAGCTCTTTTTTTCTTCCTTTTTAAATTTTTTTTATTCAAAGGCTCATAGTTGGTTTCTGATTCAGACTATATATGTATTTTCAATATCTAGGGGTGTAACAATAGTTCTCTCAATAATGTCGTGGACCATCACAATATATCGAATTACAAGTCTCTTTGCTTAAATTAAGGGTTATGGTGCAGCAGTAGCTAAAAAAAGACAGAGGGAACTACATAGACCATGATCCTTTGCTCCATTTCAGTGTAGACTACAAGACGAAATAACAGTTCTGAGCATTTTTAAGTCTTAGTTTTTTGGATTAAGTCTTGTCAAGGCATTTTAAGAGAAAAAAGTAGCATTTTAACAACTTTGTTAGCCTCCACAAAATATCGCAATAAATATCGTACCGGGAGATGTATATCGTGAAAATATTGTATCGAGAGATTTGGATATTGTTACGTCCCTAATCATGAACCTCCCCACCATATCGCGAGCTTTCCCATGATATCGCAATAAATATCTTACCGTGAGGTTCATACCGTGACGATATCGTATCGTGAGACTTGGATATTGTTACACCCCTATCAGTTATTGTGTATCAATTTCCAATCAATAAGACAGATTTACAGTTGAGTTTTCATTGTTCTGCTTTGGTCTTAAAGTGGGACTAAACACCTAAATTCTACTAAGGGGGAGAGTGAGGGGGAGTAGAGCCAGGATCTTGGGGTCTAACAAGTATTCACACTTTACACTCCAACCCTGCAGCCAGGTGTTTGTGAACAGAAACATCTGGTTGTAAATTAGGCCAGTTATGTGTGATGTCACCAACTACTGGAAATCAAAGATTAGATTTAGATGTTTTTAACCAAAAAGCTGTAAATATACCTAGCATTGAACGATAGATAATGCTGTTAAAACATCACATACACAGTTAAGTAGCGAAAAGAAAGTTGACTTAAAGTTTAGTTCCACTTTAAGACTTCTTCTACTACTTTGTCTTGCCCTATATGAGAAAAAGAGTACAGTAGAGACAAGTTAAGCCCATTGTTATTCTTATAGTCCTCTCCCTTGTCCATACAGCGACGTTCTCGGGGGAGTCGGGGGAGTCTCTGGTGCTTCTGGCCGATCACATTCTGCTCCTCTTCCCTCTGGAGGCTCTGTCTGTGCTGCAGGAGGAGGGGCTGACGGCTGTGTCCCGGGACTTCTCTCTCCAGCTCCTCCACTCACGCCTGCAACAGTCAGAAAAAGGTACTGCAACACTTTCATGTACCAGTACTGTATTTGGGTCATAATCAAGATCAGAACTTTTTTGTTACGTTCTGCTGCTAGGCCTGTCACGATAAATACTGTTATAGACTTATCGTTCAATTAATAAAAGTTCGAGAAGTATGTTTTACAGGATAAAAATTTGTCATTGGTTCTTTTTCTTTTCACTATGGGAATTTTTTTTTAATAAGAATAAGATTTAAGCTCTAGAAAGTCAAATAATCATAGACACAACTTTACTACTAAAGCAGTGTTTCCCAAAGGTTTTTTTCTGGGGACCCATATTTTAAAAGTCACAAATCTTCACGACCCAAGTCACGGGTGGAGATTCCGTGCACAGAGAAGAAGTGAGGAGCAGGGGGGTGTATGGAGAAGTATGTATATGTATATTTCAGATCTACATGTACATTGTGACAAGGCGACCCAAAAAAATCTCTTGCAACTCACTTGAGGGTCACGACCCAGTCTTGTACTACAGTGTACTAAAGTGTGTATTTATTGCAGCTCATGTTTTTTTTTTCAATGATAGAATGTATTTAAACGTTTAAAAGAGTTTTTTTTTGGTTGGGATAATCCTGCTTTAATAATGCTTTCAATATGATTCAATATAGGACATTTCAAAATGTGTCATCTTGGCAGGCCTAATTGCTGTCAAACAAAATTCAGCCATAGCAATTTTTTTCTTAAATGTGCTAAAAGTGTGCAAGTGTAGAAAAAACATGATATCTAAAGGTGCATCATGAAACTTTTTTAGTGGATGGTCCACAACTTGTCTTGTCTCCATGGAGATGTTATTGCTTTGCCTGACATGTCCCACAGTTTGGCATTGAACGTATCTATCGTGATGGAGACAGGTGGCACTTCTAGGCCAAGCTACAAGTTAGAATCTTTAGAGAGGCGAGCCCACTCACAGTAAGAATGCAGATTTTTCCAAAGTATTCTTGAGCAGTGAAACAACTTCTAATTGAGTAAATGCAAGACAAACAACTTGATTGCCTTCAGTACTGTGGTACAATCCAGGCAAAGCAATAACAGGTCCATAGAGATCTGCAGGTGACTGACACTCCACCAGAAAAGTTACATAGTGAAAATCTGTCAGATTTGTAGAATAATAGTTATACTCAAAATTCATGGTAATTTAAATTGAATCAAGGATTTGTCTATTTTATTTTAAAATATCATGATCTTAGAATTGTATAGTGTTACTGTTACTTACTTTCTACAGTTACTTTCTAGAGTAGCCTTATACTATGAACATGTACTACTTCATATGACTCTACTGCCTGATTTTCAAGCGATTTTTATTACAAGCAGCATTTAATTAACACTTCCACAATCACCTGTCTCTGTGGGAGGCTCTTTTCAATCATTTAAGAGGCATTCATTGCCGTTTTCTTTCCTCGATTAGCAGCTTTACTGGAAATCATTCACTAAAAATACCGTTTTAGGTGCAAATAATAACTTTCTGATTATATAGTGCCTTTCAAGATACATTTACATGGCATTATTTATTTACTCTCATCAGTCACTCAACCACACACCAAATTCATACAAGGTGGGAGAAATGTCTTGCCCAATAACACCACAACAGCTACAAGTCTTCGCTTCTAACTGGAGCTGGGATCTTACTACTGACCCTGATTGGTGAATGCTCTGAACACTGAGCCCCTGACACTTTGCTGTTGTATTGACTATGTTTACAATCACACAAAAGAGTAAGATTATATGTAAAATTAATGAAATGACATGCACAGTTTCTGATTGTGTGCACATTTATGCAGGTTTTGATAAGGAACGTGACAAAAATGAACAACAATTATTCTTAAAGCTACAAATGAACTGTCACATGCTACTGAGTCTTTTTGAATATTCAGATTTGTCACAAACACACAAAAAGAGATGATCTATTATTCAGTTCTCTGATTATTCTGATATTCTGATTTTATTCTGGCCAAGAAAATGCACCACCGATGAAACATTAATTCTTTGACAGCTCCCAGGGGTTATTTTTAGACAATTTTTACTGGGTTATAAACCAAGAAACATTGTGATGCAGACAGGATAGTGAAGCAAACAACTTATAAAAGATACATCCAAACAGACACTGCCCTATCCACTGATCTATTAATAACCAGGGGCAGGCTTTGTGGAGTAACTGGGCCTGTGCCACGTAACATACCTGATCTTATTCCTTTTAAATAATGCCTTACACTTACCAAACCATCTCAGAGCCGGGCTTGAGGAGCGGAGGCAGCCATCCAAAGAAATGGAATTTGTCCAGGAGAGAAAGGTCATTCTACATCCCACTGGCATGCACAGGTTTATCCAGACATCCGTGAACACCGCTGCCTACTGCAATAAAGGGTTGACCATTAGATCTGCCATAATACTGGGGACAATTCACTGCCCGAGTCCAGTCTGATTGGGCAGCGTGATTTTCTATAGGAGAGTTTGGTTTGGAATTTATCTCTTATACAAACCTGCAACGTGTGTGTTTGGAATGTCACAGTATTAAAGACCCTGTATCCAGTGTTTCCCGTGTATTTGAGCAAAATGTGTCTTTCCCAGTACAGATATATTGTATAAGCAGCTCTTAGGGGCAAAATATATCCACTTTGCGCTGTCTGCATCTAATTAGAAAGCATTTTTTTCTTGTAATCAGGAAATGCATGTCAGCATGTTAGTTGTTAGCTGTGAAAAATATTTGTAAACAACGCAGTGAATAATTAGGATACTCGTAATTCATATGGACCATACAATTTACAACGAACTAGTTCTGTTTTTCACATTTTGAATACAGTCATCCTTCGCTATAATGTGGTTCTCCTTTCGTGGTCTCACTATTTCACAGATTTTTTTTTTTTTTTTTGTGCAATTTTGCATATTTTATTTCATTTTATTTTATTTTTATTTTTATAGCATTTGAATGCGTGTTGTGTTCCTCCCTCTGCATCATTGTCAATCAGTCTCCTTCGTGCCGTGTCTCCTGAACAGTACAGATGTGTTCAGCTTGTCAGATTTTCATAAATGTTCAATCTCTAGCAGTGTGATTCTGAAGTGCTGTATGAAGCCTGTATGTTTGCAAGATTTCTCCCTGATGTTCTGCACCGACACAGACTCCTGTGGTCGCTCCCAAAAGGCAGAGGAAGATTCTACCCATTGCACAAAAAGTTGGACTTCTGGACACGCTGAAGGAAGTTAGAAGTTACGCAACTGTAGGGTTCGTTACATGAAGAAGGAGAAAAATACATAAGCATGAGGACGACAGCAGCAATAAGTTTTAAGAAGGATAAAACAGAGTTGTAACTTTCCTGTCTTAGAAAAGTGTATAAAGTGTGTGATGAGGGGTTTTACAGCCTTAAAATACACATAATAACTGTACAAAATACAGCTGACTACTTATTGCAGGTTATTTTTAAAACGTAACCCCCACGATAAACGAGGGACGACTGTACAGTAAAAATCAGGTACAGCGCCTTTAAAGCATAATGTTATTTAGTGTTATGATTATTGTGAAAAGAAATGTTACAATCAATGTTACAGTCAGTGAAATCCTTAATTTTCATTCAGTGACATTAAAAAAAAAAAAAAAAACATTCTTCTAGTCCAGTGTACAACCAACATTATGAAATTAAATGTTCTTATAAATTAAGGTTATTGTGACAAACAAACAGATGAAAAAAACATTTAGATTCACTTTTTGGAGTTTTCGATGGCATTAAAAACTTAATTGCTTCGGACATCCTCATCATTTTTAAATGAAGTTAATGTGCCTAAAAAACAGCTGAGCAAATATGTCCTCTATTTCACTTGGCACTTGTTTATCACAATATTAAACTGTACCTAATAGAGCTGGGTATCATTAAGAAGTTGCCGATACGATACATACTTTGATACATCGGCCACGATTCAGTACATATCTTGATACAGTGCACTTTCGATTCAAACACAAACATTTTAATCATCAAAACAGTGAAAATGTCAAATGTGTCACATGAACGAGTTTCCTTCTTCTAAATGAGCAAAAAAAACTATAGCTCTGTAACAAAATAATTCAGTAAAATATACTATACCAAAAAGTACTCTACACTATACTATATTGATACAGAAGCCCATAATATCGATACTGTATCATCACATTAAACAATACGATATGTCGATATTTTGATATTTTTGCACACCCCTAGTACCTAACCAGTACTCGCAACAGTGAGTATTAATATAGTATAACTTTATTATTTCAATGAACTACAGACTTATTGTGGAATAAGGATGTGTTCATACATTACACCACATTCAAATTGCAACTAAACCTGGAACTAAATCTTAACCAAACCAGGACTAACCCAGGATTAGAACCAAATCCTACATCAGAATTAAACTGGGCTCAAACCAGAACCAAACAAGTACAGCCCTAGTAGTGAATGATAATGCATGTTTCTGTCCTAGCAGCAGTTCAGGATACAGTTTATCAAAACAACAACAGCTGTGACAGGTGACAGCCACATCACCCATGAAAATCGTAAATGTACAGTTTGCAGTCAGTCGCATTCGTGAAATCATAAATGGACTGGAACGTTTTGACATTTTGGAACACAATAAATACAAGAGTTTAAAGTGTGTGTGACTTTCAAACTTAAGGGAAAAAAATCAATGTGTCTTCTATTTCTGCATTTGTGTACATAATAAACACCAACAAATCACAAAAGTAAAAGTCCATACTCAACTCCTGTACAATCATCTATCCGCAATCCATTTTAGACTGGAGAAATTTTAACTAAATGCCCACACATCTCTCTGTATGCACTCTTTTCCTCTACCTTCTCCCCCACAGCTGTTACATGCAGCAGCACCTGTTTGCCTGTCAATCTCGCACTCCATCCCTCACCTGAGAACAGCCCAAGATACTTAACTCCTCTGCTTCAGACATGGCCTTGAACATGTCCAAACACACGCTGAAGGTCGCGCCTAATGAATCCAATAAAATGCAGAAATAAGGAATTCACTTGATTCTAATATATGCTTCTATAAACTTCTATATGTGAGGTTCAGCTGTTGGTTGTTGCCTCATTTTAACTTCTCCCAACGAATCTGTAACTTGGCTCATACCAGACTGATATACGTGTCACTCTGAATACATTTCTGCACGTTTATCAATCTGGAATACTTTCTGAAAACAATCGAACAGCATAGAATCTGATGGATCACGACAGTAGAACAAGTCGAAAAATCGAACATCTTACCCATCCACAAATGTACAAAGCACTTCCCTCTGCACATTTTTCACAAAGAAAACAGACCATATTTTCACTAAAACAGATGAAATTCCGTGTGCCATTGGCTGTGATATCTTTTTCTATATGAGTGCGTTTACATGCACATCAGTTTCCCAGTTATGATCGGGTTTTTTGAGTATCCCGGTTTCTTCATGGAGCATGTATACACAGTATCAAGGTTTCAGTAACCCGGTTATGGCAGTATCCCGTTATTAGAAACCGGGTTACTGTAGCTGGTATATTCCGATAGTAACCGGGATACTGTGGCATGTATACACAGTATCCCGGTTACTGCTACATAAAGTTGAGTGCGCATGCGTCCAAAAGACACTTTCCAGCCTTTTCACCACAAGAGTAGGGACATAAATAAAGTGACCATACATGAGTGAAATGACTGTAAAATAAAGAGCTGCTAAACCCGCACACGTACAATCTGCACTCGTACGACCTGCACATGTATGATCGCTGAAAAGTGAAATATGAACTATCTCCTATATGATATACGCACAGAACAGACTCACCATCATTAGCACCTCCTCTGTCACAAAAAGAACACACATAATCCACTGAGTCGTATCCTTCAGTCCGAATGAAGTTGAATCGCATCAGCAGCACAAGGAGCAGCTGTTTTTATCAGCGCTAACAGTTTATGCAAATGAGCCATGCGGTTTTAAGTTTAGTTTCTGTAAAATTTAAACAAATGTGATCACAGCTGAATTATATTATCAAACGGGCTGATGTGGCTCTGTAGTGGTTATGGTTTATATGTTTTAAAGTTGAGTTTATTTATGCAGAAGATTTTCATGAAGAATCTGTTCGGGTTGATCTGTGCAGTGGATTGTGGGATATCTCATAGCTCCTTACCGCTGGTTAACCCTCCCAAGCTTCCTCTGCTAAAAGAGCTCATGGTTTGTATTTTTCCTGGTTTATTCATTTAAATTAAGTTAATTTTTTCGCTTGTGCATTTGTAAGATTATGTCAAGAAACCGGGACTACTGACATACATACTGACATAATCGGGATATGGATAATAACCAGGCTACTGATGCATGTATACGCACTCAATAACTTTTGACTGATTTGACAGACAGTTCAATTTTGGTCTATCTTTATTTTACTGAAAGACCCTTCTCCCCCACTGCTCTGGATGTGTACTGTATATTTGGATCTAAACACCACTGACCTCCTGGTGTCCTCACGCTGTCCTTTCCAGTTTATGTTTGAGCTGCTCCTGAGTCTAAGGCCTTTCCACACAATCTTTTAGCTGCTTTAAGTGTCTCTGTCCTCAGGGGACTGTGCACACATTTGAAAATGAACAGCAGATATTTTTACTTTTTAAAGGTTGAATCGTTTGCATAGCTGTGTGAATCATATTTAAAGGTTATTGTGAAACTCCGCCCCGCAGCCAGGTGTCTTGTTTTTTTTTGTTTTTTTTTATCCTGTCATTACCATATCTCTGACGTCTCCAGTTTACCATTGTGTCAGGAAGATGTAGTACCCCGGGCCACATTTGAAAGGGCTATCTGTTATTCTGCTAGTGTTTTGCATGAGCACAACAACACACAGCGAATTAGCACAACACATGGACACAGCTTCTCCACATCAGAAATGTTTGTTTTGTTCAAATGTCTGACGGTGGTGAGTGATTTATTGTACCTTTGCCAGGCTGCATTGGCCTGTGTACATGAGTGACAGTATGGAAAGTCTTTGGGTAATTTGAGCAGAACTTCATTGGTTCTTAAGTGTAAAAGGACCACATTACAGTGTATTGATACTTTGCAGCTGATGTGGTGGGTGTGATATTAACCGTAAGCACTGCTCTTTCTGAAGCTTGTTAGACTTTAATATGATCTTTATTTCAACATAACCTGCATATCTCTATGGAAATGTTGTTCTTTAAACTTTAATATTATAGCCAGTTTGGCGCCACCTAGTGCCTCCGCTCAATTTCATTTCTCTCCAGCGACTAGGTCAGGAATCAGAATACACTTGAGAGTTTGCAAAAAACCCCGGAAGTGTGGTGCCTCAAAGAGCCATACATTCTGTGTTGGCAACGATTCCTGAGATCGAGGATTTAAAGCCGAAACAAAGAGAATGTTTGGTGAATTTCATCAAGAGGAAAGACGTTATTGTTCTTCTTCCTACAGGATTTGGGAAAAGCTTAATATACGAGTTAGTCCCGTTAGCAGTGCATTACATACCTCACAACCAAATAGCAGCGATTGGTTAAATTAAGAAAAGTACCCGCCTACCACTGAGTGAATGAATTCTAACACTGCAAGGTCAGATGGTTTCTGCGAAGTGAAACTGGCTGATGAATCAGGCTAGTAATATTACACAGTATGGCATTAAACTTTTAAGTATATTTTTAACTTTCTACCTACTGTATCTTATATATATTATGACTTATTTAAAGGGCCCATATTACTCTGTTTTGTGATCTATAGTTCAATCAATCAATCAAACTTTATTTATAAAGTGCTTTTCATACAAAAATGTAACACAAAGTGCTTTACAGTGATTAAAAACAAGCTCACATTTCCATCCACCCACCCACCAACCCTCACAGCTGCCCGACCCCACACAACCAAACAACCCAGACGCACACACACGCACACACACTCACACACACACTAACATGCTAAAATACATAAAAACACCTATAGTAAAATGTGAGGCTGAATAGTTATAATGTTTCCTCATCAAAAGCATACATATGGTTTTGTTTTCCTTACACTCAAACCTTGTAGTTCTTCTCTCAAACTGAAAACTCTATATTCCATCTTGTGATGTCATGTGGTAATACAGGAAGTGCTTCACTGTGTTTTTAAACTCCATATTAGAGCCCTGCACCCACAGGACCTGACGTAAAACAGTGCGGCACGGGACACATTTTGAAAGATTATTACAGGAGCGGGCAGGAGCGGGACTGCACAATACGGTGGGCGGGATGATAAACTGCAGTCCCGCAAACTATAATAACTATAATATGAGTGTAAAGTAAAATGATAAATGTATGCCTATCATGCATAATTTGTGCTGGATATTTGATTTGGCCTTAATAAAAACTTTTTAAGCAGCCTAAACTTGCAGACGTGGTCTAATCTCACACACATTTTAGACAATTCCTTTCCGCTTCTCTGTGTTTGACACAGTTTAAGAAAGCGAACATCCCCATCTTGCAGGACTTGCGGCTGGGAGCAGGAATGAAAATTATAATTCTTTGCGGGCCGGAGTAGGACCGAAGATTCTGTCCCGCTCAGACCTCTACTCCATACACCTTCACTAGAATCATTTGGATAATTACAGCCCTGGAATTTCCCATCCGTAACAAAAGGCAAAAGATAGCTGTTTTTAAAAACCACTGCATCGTGACATTACAAGGTGGAACAGAGCATTTTGAGCTTTAGAGATGTACTATTAACAGACTAATGTGGGATTACTCCACATGAATAAAACAAAAATGAGGAGGTAACAGCATTATAACATGGCTTAAAGCTCACAAGAGTCAATTTTCTGTAATATAAGACCTTTAAATTCAGAGTTACATGAACATTGTTACTATGCCAGACTTCCATGTGGTCCCTAAACTGCCTAATTTGTATTTATTAAGAAAACATCGGCAGCTCCTCTGATGCTATCATGAGCTGAAAATAAATCATAATCAAAATTGTTAATTAAGATAACTGCTTATCTTTGGTTCATTTTTAATTGTTATCTAAATCCAACAAAATAAACACTCTTTTGGGGAATGAAAATGATTCTCCGTACCTGCTTTGGGGCTCATTAACAAACAGAGCAGCCGTGCAAAACTTCTCCACACACCAATAAATGTCATTGACTTTGCAGACATTAAAGTGACTCCCCCTACAGTCCAAACGCGGCGTAATCTTCCTCCGCCAACAAGTGTACATATTAATTCTGCTTCCTGTTTGTGGCAGTTGAAGGTGACAACAAAAAGGAGACCAAAGGAGCCAAAGCCAAGGGAGATCAAAGCCAGGCCATCAAAGCGGTGAGTTTAGTAAATTAATCTTGGGTTGCCAGATACACCACGCAGTATTACTTTCACCTGCTGTCAGCGCTTGGACTATTTCACTTTCCTCCCATACGCTTTTATGTGCACTTTTTCAATCAATTACATAATGTGTTTTCATAAAGATCCTATTTCGGGCTGTGGAGCGTTTCTCACTTCGATTTTCGCTTTTTTTTTTCTTTCTCCAAGTCCCACTTCCTCCACAGCGCTGTGATTTAAACTACTATTCATGTGGATGACTATTGTTTTTCAATACATGGCACGCTATATGAAAAACGCCATTAACTGAGTATGTGTCTATTTTTCACAGCGGCCATTCGTCCTGCCCCCGAACACCATCCCGGTCAACTCCAAGAACATCAAATGTATCTTTTTGTCATTTTCGAGTCAATATTTCTCTGTTGTTAATGGTTTGAATTTTGTCATTTACTGAAGTTAGTGTTTTTAACTTTGCTTTAAAGATGTGGTGGATCCTCACAATGACGGCATCTTTGGTAAGACAATGTTGTTTTAAGCTTTATTTTTATAGGGCTTATAATTGCTAAGATGTAGTGTGGACTATTATATGTGATCTTTATTTCTAGAAACAACACAATTGAAGTCAAATAGTTAATCACCTAACTATCTCAAAATGTTTTCAGTGTTATTTTCAATCGAAATACCAATACCAACAAGATAAAGATAACACTACATTTATTTTGAGTAGTAATAAACTTAACAGGTACCTCAGTGGATTTAGGGCAAAATGCTGACTTTTTACAACAGCAGCTCATGGTGGTTCAAATGTTTTGGCTGTGTGCCTATAGCCACCAAAGTTTCACCTAAGTTTGTAGTAGTAGTAGCAGTGGTAGTAGTAGTATTAGTAGTAGCACTAGTAGTAGTTGTAGCAGTAGTATCAGTAGTAAGGGTGTAGCGGTACGCAGAAATGATGGTTTGGTACGTTCCTCCGTTTTGAGGTCACGGTTTGGTTCATTTTCAGTACAGTATACAAAACAGTACAAAATACAAAACATTTACTTGTTGTTTATTTGTGTGTTTATTAAACCAACAATTTGTTTTAACATTATACAAACAGGAAAATAAAATAATCGCAAAGTGCTGATTGGTAATTGTCAGCTTCTCCTGGAGGCAACCTGAACAGAGAGTCTTAAAAAAGAGCCTTGGAGAGTTAAAACAGTTCTCAGACATGTCTCTTTTTTTAGTTCAGGCAGGTACAGGTCTCCGATTCAAGTTGATTTTACATAATTCAGCCACACGGCATCTCTTTGCGTCGTCGTCCCTCGACACCGCCCCTTAGACGACGTCCCCCGTTCTGACTATTCACAGAAAAACGAGTGCCTTTATACTAGCATAACTTGTTGATTTAGCATTTTCTGCAGAAACATACACAGCAATTTTGACCCAACACGTGTTTATCATAGATTGGCATATGCTAAAGTTTGAAGACCTACCCCGTTGCTGTCCCATAACACTCATAGTCCATATGACATCATATCCCAACCCCACTGACATTCCAAAGTCCAGAAACATACCCATCACGTCAAGGAACACAGTGACTTCTATTACATGGTGAATTAACATGAATGAAACATTAAAACATCCCACATAATACTAATAAGTTAAAGAAAATATTTTCAAATAAGCAAGAAATGTATGAAATATTATAAAAAATAAATTCCTTGTAAACAGTAAACAAAACTTTTCAAAAAGTAAAGTGCAGCACTAACAGTTCCAGGAGGAAGTTTTACTCAGTCTTCATATTTTTGGCCAGAAAAAACAACTTGTCCACATTGTCTGCAGTAAGTGCAGATCTGCTGGCAGTTACAGTTGTCCCCAGCAGTTGAAAATACCCTTATGTAGTTCAGAGAGACATCATCAAGGCAGGGGGCAATTGTTGTCAATACAGCCACCGTAACTATAAAGCACTGCGAGAAACACTGCCCCAATCACAGACGAGTTTCCTTGTGAATCTTAAAGAGCCGAGCCTTCCGTGTAGTGGCGGAATGTAAACACACACAAATTGTGCGAATTCACTCATGCACAGCCCTGCACTGAACCGAACATCCTGTACTGAAACGGTTCGGCATGAATACATGTACCGTTACACCCCTAATCAGAAGCAGTGGGAGCAGTAGTAGTAGAAGCATGTTAGTCCAATACTCCAATCTGTAAAAATCCAACTCAAATGGGCCAGACCAATGTGTCTAGTTTTTTTAATAGAATATCTGTTTCATGAGACCTGTATCATTCCATACTCCAAATGAAGGAACTAATCAAAAAGATATTACATATTAATCATTAAATAAGAATCCTTTTTTTTCATTGCCACCGCTAGACTATCAAAAGATCCGGCTCCAGTATGTTTAATCCTGGTTCAAGTAGCCGTCTGATTTATAAGTCGTGCATTACCTAATCTTTCCCTGTAAGCCTCCTTTTCTGCAGCTTGTGTTCTTACTCAGTGTGTTTACATATGTCTATTTCTCATTATATCCATGTTTTGTGTGAGCAGATGGTACCAGTTTATCCAGGAGGATGAGTGATATTCTGGAGGCACACCGCCAGCTCTCTGCCCATCTGTGGGAGGGCTTCATGGGCAGCAAATACAGGCCTAGGTGAGTGGATAAGCCCTATTATCAAACTGCCTCCAGAAACATGGGCTTGTCCATACAACCTCACTTCAAAATCCATTTCATGTATATGGCAAATTTTAAAGGGCTCATGTTACTGTATTTGATTTGATCTACGTTATAATGTTTCCTCATCAAAAACAGACCTTGAGTTGTGTTTTGTTTCATTCACACATGTGTTTTTAAACTCCATCCATCTTAACTAGAATCATTTGTATAATTTCAGCCTTAAAATTGCCAATTATTTCTAAACAAAAGGTAAAATGGAGCTCAAGGATGTCCAAACTTTTTTCATCTAGGGCCACATACCTAAACACAGACGAAGCAGTGGGCCGACTGAGGGCTGTAGACTGATGCTCAGTACAGGGAATAATTTAAATATGTGCATGTTTAACATGGTAGAATAGAAGGCTTTATCAAAGTAGATTTTCAAAAAACTTGCAGTAAAAAAATATTTTTAATTGATGCAAGGTAATTTTGCCAGTTCACCTGGAAGCCTGAGGGCCAAGAAAGATGTGTCTGAGGGCCGCATTTGGCCCCTGGGCCATAGTTTGGACATGCCTGATGTAGCTGTTAACTTCAAAACTACTGCTTCATGACATCACAAAGTGCAACAGAGACTTTTGAGTTTTGGAGATGTAGATTAATAAACCAGGATTACTCAAACATGTGTGAATAAAACAAAACATAACTCGGAGAACATGGCTTGAAGCTCACAAGTGTCAATTTTGATGAATATGTAATAAAAACAAAACCATAATGTCATAAAATAGCAATAAATAAGTAAAATAAATAAAAATAAAATAAATAAAAGACACAGAACCGCTCAATTTATGCAGTGTTAAAAGATAGGAAATAGAAATGGGTCTTCAGACTTAAACACTGCAAAAAGATTGACACAAATTATGTCTTGTTTTCAGAATATTTGTGGGAATTGATTAGTTTTGACAGTTAAACAACAATTCACCAAGATGTATTGACTTTTCCCTAGATATTTATTCCTGCCTGGTTTCATTACACTTATTCTAAGATCACCTCTGGCCATACCTCCTTGACAAATGCTCAAGCTGTGGCTACAATAGTGATATACCACAATCCAGTATGGGAAGAATAAATAATGCAAGAAATAGTGAAACATCTTCTGGAAAAACTCTAATGAGTGTATATGTATCTGTAATTATTTTCAATACAGCTAATGTTAACTTGTAGATATATATGTGCTATGAATGTCGTCAGGATTAGTAGTTAAATATATTTTCTTGCTTGCGTTAAGGATGAGATGAGGTACATTTTCTTACCCATTGCTAGACTGACTCATTTCAAATTATATTCTCTCAGTCGGAAATGTCACATAACAATCTAAATAACATGCCTCCTATTATAAATTAAAATGCCTGTAATGATTCTGAATATAACTCATTCTATCATATATCAGTATTATAGCTGTTAGTTGTGATGTACTTGTAGAACCTTGTTAGTTCTTTAGTTCTGACATATGTTTTCTTGCGGTGTAGTCGAGCGGAGATAGAGCAGCTGCTGTCCAGATGCAGTACCTTCATTTTCCTGGGGATGGAGCACTTCATGGGGAACGTGACTCCAGCCAGAATAGCAGCTCTCAATCTTACTGGTAAACCCAAAACTCACCATGCAGCTCACTATTTAGAACACATGCCCAATTTATACTTTGCATTACCATCATGCTGGGGGTGTTCTGCATGTATTTCTATGGCAGAATGTTCTTCAGTTAACATAGTGACACAATGCACACGTTTAGCAGACTCAGCCAAAAAGGTTTTAAGATTGTCTGAAAAAAAAAAAAAAATAATATATATATATATATATATATATATATATATATATATATATATATATATATATATATATAAATAAAAAAAAATTTAAGCTACACCTTTTCAGGAGCCTGAAATCAATATGTGTTTTCATGACCATGTTTAGGGGCCTGTATTATAACAAAAAGGTCAGACGGATGAGCCTGATTCACCTCGCAGCATTAGGAGTCGTTTGCTCGACCGTAGGCAGGTACTTTTTTTATTTAACCAATCGCTGCTATTTGGTCTTGATGTATGTAATGCGCCGGAACGCTCAGTGATATCCAAGTAATTGCCGGCACAACAGCAAACAAAGCAGAGAGTGAACGTGTCTGTCAATGATCATTGCCGTTTCTGTGAATTAAAGGTGCAATAAAAAATGTTTAAGTTCTTATTTGACAAAGTCCAAAGGAGGATAGCGTATGCAGTCTGCTATCGCAACTCAGGTTGGTTCAGCTCTTCGCTGATTGGCCGGTGTGCAGTCTACAACTTCCGGGGTTCTTGCAAACTGTCAAGTGTATTCCGATTCCTGACCTAGTCGCTGGAGTGAAATTAAAATGAGCAGAGGCACTAGGTGTAGCTAAAGAGGGACTTGTCTGACAATAAAAAAACAGCTCACCTGTTGTTCTTTATGGAGAAAATCACCTTAAAGTTTAATTTGAGTAACCAAGCTCCACACATCAGCTGCAAAGTAACAATACAGAAGAATTATTGGTCCGTAAATGTATTTTCATTCTTTTCTAACTAAGAGACGGTAACCACAATCAGCAGTAATAAAACAGGGCAGATCAAATGTATTTCTTGAGCAGCCTGTACACCATGTAATTGAAAGTGTTCACAGAACAATGGAGGTGTGTTTAACATTTTGAAACTACATTACAATAATTGCAATTCCAAAAATCCTGTTACAGTTGACATTTTGAGGACTTTTGCGATACCCAGCTCTGGTTAGAGAAGTTTACTACTACTGCTTAGTTTGTGAAGTTAATCAACAATGCAACAACATTTATGAAGTATGTTTGAGCGTCTTAAAAAAGTGACTGTATTAATATTGTTCTTATGATAATCAATAATCCTTGTGAGGTTTTAGCCATATCAGAAAGTTATTGTCTCCTGAAACACATCCCTGGAGTTGTGGTCTGAAATTCCAAATGATTCTAGTGAAGATCTATGGAGTTTAAAAACACAGTGGAGCTCCTCCTGTATTTCCACTTGACATCACAATGTAGAAAAGAGCGTTTTTGTTTAAGAGAAGACCTCAGTTTAAATATACAGGGTTTGTGTGTTAAACATGTGTGAATGGAACAAAACACAACTCTAGGTCTATTTTTGATGAGGGAACAACATTATAACATTGATCAGATTATAGTGTTAATATGGACCCTTTTAAAAGTAGACAAAATGTGGTCTGATGTGCTCTTACAGTCATTATCTGGTATTTGACTACTAAGTAAAACTACTAAAACTACTTTTAAATGTAGTAATAAAGTAATGTGCAGTCTTTTCATTCTCTTTGTGTTCAAATATCTCTTAAAATAGCTGAGAACAAGATGTCTTGTCTCTAGTGAAAATACTTCTTCCTGTTCTTTTTCCTGGATCTGTGTCTTCTACGTATATCCACTGAGTCACTCCTGAGCTCTAATTCTCACCTGGAGTGTGGAAGAGAGGAGACAATCCATTCAGTTGTTATCACCTATGGATGTTTGAATAGAGAGCAGGGCTGTGTCATCGAGCAACAGCATTCAGACGCCATGTTAGTGTTAGGGCTTTTAGAGTTAATGCATTCACTCATATTGTTTTATTTATTTATTTTTTATGTGTTCATTTTTTTTAATAATATCGTATTTTTCGGACTATAATCTGCACTTTTTTCATGGTTTGTGTGGTCCTGCGACTTATACTACAGTGCGACTTATATATTAAATTTTTCACCCTGATAGCCTCAAGAGGGCGCTCTTCGGCTTGTGTGTCAGTATCTGCTACTTTTATTCCTCCTGTACCACTGTCACTTCACTACTGCGCATGTGTCCTTGCTGCAAGTAGCAAAATATGCAGCCAAAAATGGTAATCCAGCAGCAGAAATAAAGTTTGAAATGAGCAAGAAACTTGTGAGGGACTGGAGGAAAGCGGGGATGGAGAACACAGCTTCACAGTAACCAGGAGGGTGCACCATGAAACTTTCCTGGAAGTCACGGGATGGATCGACAAAGCCTCGACTCCAGTAACAAGCGAAACCATCCTGTCAGGATTCAGAAAGGCTGAAATAATTCTAACTGGAACTGATGCTGAGTCTGACGACAGCTATACAGAAGAGGAAGCGGCGTCCTGTTTACCTCCGGAGGTCGTGGAGTTGCTCAGAAGTGCAACCGAGAAATTCAATGAATTTAGTGATTTAGAGTGAGATGGAGAGTTTGGTAAACTTGTTCTGTTCTGTTGTTTATGTTATAATTATCTGAAGAACTGTTCATATGTGACATTAACAGCCTGATGTTCTCTCTTCTATTGTTATTACTATAACTTGCCTTTCAAGATGAAATCTATGTTCCTGGTCTCTGATTTTATAAAATAATTTCCCCCAAAAAGTGTGACTTATACCTCAGAGCGACTTATAGTCCGAAAAATATGGTAGTAAACCAATAGACATTTTAAGATCTTAACTACCTGAGTTTATTAAGTTTTGAATAATGCATCCCTTTTGCTGGGTTTCAGATACCATCACAACATTCTAGGCCAATAATGTTTAATACAGATGGAGGCAGCAAAAGTTAATAGTGTTAAGAGTCACAAACTGTAAATGGACATATCTAACCTGCTAGTGAGCACTTCCTGCTCCAGCGACTCTGTCTCCAATTGACTTAACATTAAAAAATGGTCACATTTCTCTCTGTAACTGCTCTAATGAGCCTCGTCATTTTGGTCTTAAAATGTTCATATTGACTGCTGTACAGGATCCTATTTCATGTTTTGTCTTTAAATAAATTCCTATTCCTAATATGGAATGGCTCCTATAACTGCTAGGGGCGGCAGTAGCTCAGTTGGTAGAGCATTCGCCACCTTGAAGGTGGAAAAGCGCTGTAGAAAAATGTGACCATAGCCTGATGAGCTTCCTTTGACTGGAGCTGAACGCTGTTGGGGATGTCACACTCCCTTAGTCCACTTCTTTCCAGTTTATGGTTAAAATGCTGCTTTTTGTTGTACCGTGAGTCTAGTCAGTTCGGTAATATAAATTATCTGGTTCAACTTAAGAATATTTCAAGGCAAAGTGTGATGTAATCAATATGAAAACTGAGAGTATGAAATCTTTACATTCTAGGATGTAAAAACCACCAGTACATGTTTGACTTGATCAAGATGGTGGATTTTGTCATTAATGCCCCATTTGTGACATTTGATTCAGACTAGAACAATATTGTGAAGATTGCAATTCTGATTCTCACTAAGTACATGTTAAATAACATTTCTTTTTATCTTAATTGCCTTCATGGTTTGTCCTTGTAATTTCCTCTGATGCCTTTTTTACCTTGTCTCATACAGAACCTATGTAAGTGTTTTATAATGCACTCCACTGACCAACCCAAGAAAACCAAATGACTCAGAGTTCAACCTACAGTAGCGTCAGTCATTTAATGAGCTTTCAGCAATTATTAAACATCTGCTTTCATAATCAGGTCTTTGGCCGACTTTCCTCCCATTTGCATGAGCTGTGACATTTAGTATGTAAAACATGACTGTGTAGTGAGGATACCAAAGCACAGTGACCTTATAGTCACTGTTACAGAAGCATGAGTTGGTTAAAAATACATGTTGTTATCTTCAAAACCACTGACTCTTAAAGGGCCCGTATTATACTATTTTCTGATCTATGTTATAATTAGTCCTGAGCCCCTAGTAGGGCCTATGGCTTTCAACAACAATACTCATCGATGTCAACTGGATACTGCATTAACAGCAGCATCTTAACCTAGCCTTCGGCATGGGACATGCATATTTGTTATTGCTAACATGTAGTGATCAACATTGAGTCAATGGGCAAAGCAACATTGACTGAATGTTGACAAAAGTAGCGTGAGGCGCTCCTGTCCCCCAAACACTCCTGACATCAAGCTGTAGCCCAGCTGGGCCATATTTATAACTGCTAAAAAGTAACAGAAATCAATGGGTGTCAATGGGCGACCCTGGTGGCCGTCCCTCAGTCCCTCGGTTGCCCCCTGCATTAACAACAGTATCCTAGCAACCCACGCCAAAGGCATGGGACATGCATATTTGTTCTTGCTTACATGTAGTGACAAAAGTAGCGCAAAGCTCCCCTGTCCCTCAAACACACTCCTGGCATCAAGCTGTATCCATATCCGTATTTATAACTGTTAAAATGAATGGAAGTCAATGGGAGGTCAGAGAGAGACCCCAACGAGATTTCCCCATTGACCCCACGGTGACATGGGGAAAGTCGAGAGCTTTCAACAAACAGGTATATTGTTTTTGCTAAAAATTTTATTATTTTTATTTTTTAAACAGTCGCCCACTGCATTAATAGCAGTATCGTAGCAACCCATGCTAATGGTGTGGGACATGCATATTTGTTCTTTATAAAGTGTAGTGGTCAGCATTGAGTCAATGGGCAAAGCCTGATGAAATGGTGCTGACCCGCTCGTCATTCATCAATGACCCCACGGTGACATGGGGAATGTCAAGAGCTTTCAAAAAAGTATATAGTATACTGTTCCCATATTAACCGATATTGTTTTTGATCAAAAGATTATTAGGCATGAGCTCCTAGAGGGCGGAGAGCCTGTTGTTT